ACGGGTTACGGCGACGATAGCGAGGCTGCAAGGACGGAAGGAATCGAGAGAGTGGTGTGTACCTTGCAGGCAGTGGCCAGACTACGGACTACACTAATAACACGTACCTGGGCAACTGGGCTCCCAAGGCTCCTCACCAAGTGCTCCTTATCCCCATTATCCTTAGCCCGTGCTGTGCCCGTAGCCTCCTGCTGTTTGTGGGTGCGCGGGTGGGTTTACATACTAATGTAGTACACTAGCTGGTCCCTGGGCCCGCCCCACCGACCCCTTCTTCCTCCCCTCATCCACTCCTGCTCTTCCCCCAGCTTTGTCGGTCAATGCAAAATGCAGGCAAGATACTGACCACAAGGACCCCATTCTCGATGGCCCCAAGGCCCACCCGCCGAGGAACGCACGCAGCCAACAGCCCCCACGCCTCTTCAGCCCACGGTAACAGCCAGACCCAAAGACGCATTTGGCATCGGCAGTAGCGGTACGGTACCGGTGGGTTCGGTCTGCGGGCTGGCGTTTGGGGGCTGGGGACAACCGTCCTCGGGCGGTTCAGTGTTGTGGTACATGGGTACCGAGTACCTATCAACGGGAGACCACACAGATGGGGTTTGGTGCTAGGCCGGATAGGGCCACAAGTGGTGCCTCTTCCTATCTAGAGGGTCCCTATCTCTAAGTATCAATTGATCGCTCCAGCAAACGGGGCTGGTCAACGGGGACTGTCTGTCTACCAGGTCTACCTAGCATCTTGACAGGCTGACAGGATGCGTGTTTCTGGTCGGCTGATGCAGAACATTACCACAGTGGTCTGCCAGCACCACTCCAGGTTGCATCCAAACAAACACTTGAGCCTTCAATGTTCCCACAGACAAAGACAAAGCGCTGTCCACCACGCTAAAACCGGAAAGGAGAGGATTGGGATAGGCAGTGGGTGGTACGTACTATTTATTCTCGTACCATGTACCTCCGTACTCTGTGGTCCCCCCTTTCAAGGCTGACCACTGCCAGCCATGTGCTTCCTGGCATCTCAGTCATCTATCTCATCGGCCACCGCCCCCATCGCACACACTGTAATCTGTATCTACTCCGTGCTGTACACAATACTGACCAGCATCGGGCTGCATGGGCACACAACATCGGGTGGCACAGATCCACCTGCAGGCGATGAGCTCCTGCAGCCTGCAAGCCCAAAAAGAAGGGCCAGCGAGCGGCGGCGCCAGCGCCAGCGCCAGCAGCAGCGAAAACGAGGGTGACTGATGAGTGGCTGACGGCCTGCTGCAGACATGTAGGAAGGTGGGGGGCCCTCGCTGCCCCATGCCCCACTCAGGGGGTTGCTTCCCAAATTGGATTCATCCCGAGGTCGTAGAACAGTCAGTCTGCACTCCGTACCCCGTACCAGAGGGACGATTGTCGTCACCAACCACTGACTGACTGTTCCTTCTCCTTTGCATGCAGTACGGACTCGGGCTGGACTACGTAAATGGTGTCACCTGTGTCAAAAGAAATGCTCACGTTCACAAGCGCCCGCCACTGCACTGCAACATCATGAAGCAGACGGCGGCCCATAATACAAGTGTCAGTGTAATAATATACCATGGCACGTATACACTATACATGGGGCTTTGGTGTAGTGTATATATGCTGCTAATGAGAATGAGAATAGATTCCACGCCACCTATATATAATACGTAAATGCCAATGCAGTCAGTCCCTATGCGCATATACCACATCCAAGTTAGTCCCACCTCAAAGAGCCATCCAGCTAGAACACTCACGACAAAAAAAAAACATGGCGTCTGACTACTGCGCAGAGCGCTACACACAAATATCCACGCATGCGCCCTCCCTCCCTCCATGATCCTTGTTTCCCGCCCGTGCCTCGCCAGCTGGCCACGTGCTGCGCTTGGCCCCAAAATCTTCTTCCCCACCACCCCCAATCCATCCATCCTGCCCTACCTGCCCGCCGAGCGGCCCTCGAGGGGGCTCCAGCTGCTGCTGCTACGGTTACTCGGTAATGCAGGTTCCAGGCCCGAGCACGGGCTTTTGTGTGTGGCGTACACTACACTAGAGTCCCAGGTCCGGGTCTGAACCGCCAGGTCTCGGCAGGGCTGAGAAGGGGTGACGCAGGTACGGAGTACTGTACAGTATGAGGCACATCACACGGTGGGTGGGTGAGAAACTTTCCCTCTGTCTGCTCTCAGGCTCGGTCGCCTGTATGTATGCATATGCACGTGGGGATATCGTATCGTCTGGACTGCAGATTCATGCCCCTCGGGTCCCCCTTACAGGTGTCGGGTCGCAGTCAGACTGTCTGACCAGTCGTGATGCTGTCAGACCTGCATGTTCTATTCCAAGGTCCCGAGTGCTTACCGTGCCCACTGCTACTAGTACTCCCTGCCCGGTGGGTGGGTGGCCTGAGGAGTACCTCCGACCCGGGCAGTTTTAAACTTTCGTGTGCTCAGGACCGCGCGAATGGCCATGTACCGTCGTACGAGCTTACTGCACAGTACATCTTTTGCTCAGTGCCCAGCCCGGCCAGATATCCGACGTGGCCCCAGTGCCACAGCACTGGTAACCTTGGAAGTTCCGTTCGCCGCTGCCCGTCCGAGTCCTGGTAGAACTAGAATACCTCGGTAGCGTGGCACCTGGGCAGACAACGAAACGGCTGCCGAGTCGCATCTTCCTTCATCTGCCAAAAACGCACAAAGTTATGAACGAGACGAACGAAACTTATCTCCTGCAGATAATGGGAGTATGGACTATGGACTATTTGTATTTTTTTTGAGTTCCACTACTAAGCTGGAAGATAATGGGAGTATACTAGTAGTGTCGACATCGACGTGGCCAGTCAATATGCACCTATGTATTCTACAGTGAGATCATCACGGACATGCGTGGATCCAGCATCTAACCTCTACACCCAAGCATAGTATAGTCCGAGTCCTCCTAAAGTTCGACCTGATCAGAAAGAACCAAGCACCCAACTCAATCGCCGAGCACAAAACCTGAACATGACGTCTTCCCCCGTCATTCCTATGACACGAAGCAATCACAACCCAGGCGCCCCCAGCTATCAATCCGTCAATCCGGGCGAGCCAAGTCTTATCTCTCGCGCGATACTCCCCATGCCCGTTGCGCCCTCGTCTCCAAAACGCCGCCTGTTTCATAGCACATGGGCTCACACCCACACAGGCTCGCCCTCGCCCCTCCCAACCAACCGGTCGGCTAAGCTACGGATACCTACCTCATGCTCGAGTCCCTCGTCCCAAGAAGACAATGTCGTCTGTCTGCCTGGCCAGCCCGCAGAGTTTGTGTTTTTTTTTGTCCTGATTTCGTTCATACCTAGGTGACTAATCGCATCATGTCGTTCATATCTACTCGCATCGTGTTCACGAGTCGGTGCAAGATATACTAGCAGTTGCGATTGGACACGCCCTCGCTGGAGCGCCCAACCTGGGCTCGAGCTTGGCCCACGGTTTCGCGATACCATTCACTCAGTGCTCATATCCAAACCACGCAATACACCACCCAGTCAAGCAACCGATGTGGTCTTTTCCCGGACACCCAACCAACCAACCAACCCAGCAGGCGACACATCAATCCGGGGTCAGTACGTCAGTGCCATTGATCCACCCCCAGTTTGCATGCAGCCAGCCCTATTGGAAAAAACCTCAATGTGTCCTCCCGCCCGCCGCACCAGGGCCAATCCAAACCCTACCGACGGGCGGGCAATCTCAGGAGCCGGCTGTCCCAAGGTTGGCAAGCACCTTGTTGGCCCGGGACCTGCCGCTTCCGAGTGCTGTCCCATCCACGTCCCCGGGGTCCCGGCCCCTGCCAGGCCTGTGTTTCAACTTTACCTACCACGTACTTGTCCTCGCATTGCTCCCCAGCGGCCATACTAGTAGTTGCGAGAAGAGCTCCCTCGATGGAGGAGGTTGCTCCGTGCGTGCATGCGGGTGCCGAGAGAGATAGATGAGTCTGGTGTTCGACCAAAGATCGTGACGGCCGGGTCTGTTTCCCTATTCGTCTGTGTCGTTGGGCCAATGAGATGGATGTCATGTGTAGATTGATTGTTGACATCTGGGGAGGTTAGGTATTTCTCTCGAGATGCATTGCCATGCGGCTCTGTCATGGCCTGCGTCTAGCTAGGCTCGTCGTGTCGTTGTTAGTATTGAAAGCCACAGTATCAGGGCTTTTGAGCTGTACATTGATTGACGAAGTCGTAACTCGTACACTGACAGAAGCGCCTCAAAATCTCTGAAAGATCTTTAGGCGTGCCTACGTATACTAACTTGTCTTTCTCAGTCCTGATTTCAAGGATTTGTCTTAAAGCGTCTACTGAAATAGTACCTGGATATGGCCATTCCTTCATATTCTCAAATGTACGAGGTGTCTGTCAGGATTTAGCTGCTATTTCACTACCAATCATGACTGAGGAAAAAGGATTCAATAGCTAACAGACTTTCTATATCAAAGATCCCCGTGCAGTAATGTCTCTGTATGGATGGCTAGCTGGTAGTTCAATGCAGAATGTACAAGCAATGAATGCGATATGACACTGCGGTGAAAGTTTCTTCCACATTTACTACTATCAAATTCATACTGCTAAAGGATCTGTGCCTCTGAATAAATGAAGAGTCAGACATAAATGACGACTATAAAAACATAATGAAATTAGTGTATGCAGTATGACATACTCGACCATCAGTGTGGCTGCTCAGACCTGCCAGGTGAGGAAGTTCCCGTACCACGACCACCATGAGAAATTATGAGCCATGTGAGATGCTAGCTCCTCCCGGACGAGATGCTGACAGACACGAATCATACTGCGCATGGAAAACGCGGCGGCCACCTTTCATGAGCAGGCAGAACTTTAGAAGATGACGACCCAGGTGGCTTTGGACACGGTGTTCCCCCAACAGTTGGTGCCTGGTTGACATAAATGCCTCCGAGTCATCGCGGCAAAACTGGGAGCTAATTAATGATTCCCTGAGCATATAGAAACTGTTCATCAGGCACTCTAATCACATTCTCGAAAAAAGAAGAAAAAGCCATGGCCGAACTAGACTCGATACTTGAGAATTATGCTGCTTCGGGGGCAGACACCAAAGACAAAGTCCTCGGGGTCTCATTCGTGGTGGTCAATGAGAAGGGTGAGTGACGTATTAGTCGTTGATTGTGGAGCGCATTCCCTCATGGCCTAGACTATGAACTGATGCCGGTTGACTCTCCTTGAAGAGACCCTCTACGAGGGCTCAGCCGGCCGTGTAGGCCTCGACCTCAGAGCCGCACCGTACACACCAGACACATTCACATACGTGGCCTCCCTGACCAAGCTTTTAACCGCCACCTGCCTCCTCCAGCTCGTCGAGCGCGGCCAGCTCTCCCTCGACGAAGACCTGGGCGCACGCCTCCCCTTCCTGTCCGACGTCCAGATCCTCCGCGGATTCGACGAGGACGACCAGCCCATCCTGGAAGACAACCACCGCCCAATCACCCTCTGGCACCTCCTATCCCACACCTCCGGCCTGGCATATGACACCTTATCAGAACCGCTCATGAAATGGCGGCAATCCGTCGGCCGGCACAGGACAAACACGACCTGGACAGAGGAAGGGTTCTCGACGCCGCTGCTGTTCGAGCCCGGGGCGCAGTGGCTCTACGGCACGGGGATGGACTGGGCCGGGCAGGTGCTCGAGAAGGTCACCGGGCAGACGCTGCAGGAGTACGCGACGGCGAACGTCTTCCAGGTCCTGGGCATGCACGACAGCACGTTCCGGCCAGGCCAGAGCGCGGGGGAGCGGCAGGCCAGGTCGGCCAGCTTTGCCTTCCGCTCGAAGGACGGCACGCTGGGGGCCGGCCCGTCCCCGCTGGCGGATGAGCACCCCCTCGAGAGCGGCGGCTCGGGGCTGTTCACCACGGCGAGGGACTACGCGAAGCTCCTACAGGGGCTCCTACAGGGTAAGCTGCTCGGTGCCGAAGCGACGGAGATGCTCTTCAGGGCGCAGCTCGGCCCCGAACTGCAGAAGGACTTGATGGAAAAGGTTGCGAGCATGCCTGAGGGACTCGCACCCGAGTATCCCGTCGATATGCCGGCCAATTTCGCCTTCGGCGGCATGTTGAACCTAGAGGACATCCCGGGCAAGAGGAAGGCAGGGAGCATGATGTGGAGCGGCGCGGCGAATTCACACTGGGTAAGTTTGGCAGTATCACCCGGGAGAGAACAGAACTTGAATCACTTGAGGAAATTGTCTGATGTCTTTTTAGTGGATCGACCCCTCCACCGGTATTGCGGCCGTCATGGTGGTCACGCTGTTTCCCTACTCAGACTACGTGGCCAACGAACTCTACTTGAAACTAGAGACTGCGTCTAGTAGCTGGGTCAAGAGAAATCATATGATTCCTAAGACTACTCAAATATTCTATTTCTTTTCTCTCTGCAACTGTTTTTTCTCTGTCAGTCTGTTGTTATTAGATAGGTATTAAGAAGCCATCAGAGAGCTAGTATAAGTTAAGATATCCTCTTCTATGAATGTATTATAAGCTAGTACTATTGAAAATAGGTCTTAGGATTGGGTAGGTAGTCTCTATGACCTTCGCTTTAGCACATCAAGGCGTGGTATGGCAGTCTATGTAATTCCCTTAGTCGGCTTGAAAAGTTGGAGGACACTTTGACAACCCAGTCAGAGGCCAAGAGCTTGCGCAGCGATGTGCCATCAGACATGAATACTATTCAGCTGATCATCTTCTATTCTTTTACTCTATCTTCGGGGAGACCTCACTACCTACCTAGGCAGTGATGCCGGTCATGCACTAGATGGCAGTCTCAGAAGAGCACCGGCTGTATTCGCCCTTGGAAACACACTTCTGGCCGAGGGAAAAGTCAAGGAGACAACCGACGTTCATGTGGCGGGCTGAGAATTTATATCGAGACGTTGGGTGACCAACATGCTTTGGTCGGCAGGTGTTTCTTGCAAGATCGGACAGACCTAAAGTTCCAACTTCTCCGCGGTGCCGATACACAGAATACAAGGTAAGGTGCTGGCTGTACTTTATTCATCCACCTAAGTGGGCTCTTGGTGACTCATTCTCTGACAGCAAATACACACCAAGGAAATTGACCGTGTTCATGGCTCACGCCCAGATGTGGACGTAAATTATTCGTCTGTCACGTTCTATTGTGATCACTAGTTCTATACTAGTGACTGGCCTACGGAATATCACAACCTATTGTCTCTGTTGTAATGATGATGCAGTTTGAAAGGGGCAAGATCGAGGTCCGGCTCCTCACCAGACATTAGTTGGCTCATAAGCCGTCCGCTTCCCATGCCGAGGGTCAAACCGTAGGAACCATGACCCCAGCAAACGAACAAGCCACTTGAGTTTTCAGCACCGTTGTTGTAGTTCTTCATACTGCCGGTCACGTCAGAAGGATCGACCTCCGAAATGACAGGTAGAGAAGATTCTGTCGCTGGCCTAAATGCACGACCCTTCTTCAACAGCTCAAACCTCCCCGTATGCTTCTTCGCACAAGCACAGCTCCAGTTCAACCATCTCTGTGCGCGATCGCTGAGTTCTGCAATGAGCTCTGCATCTGGTTCATCCTCATGACGAGGAGACGGAAGATTCGCGTCGAAATTCCTCCTCCCACATGCCCAGATAGTCCCATCATTGCGAGCAGCAAACTCTAGCTTCTCACCAACAAGACTGGCAAACGACACGAAAGCAGTGGTGTCCTGAGAAATGGGGCACGGGTTCTTGCAAAGGATCCAATCTCCAGCATCTGTGGTTCGGTGCAGGTCCAACGGTGAAGACGGGAACAGTGTCTCATACACTGACGGGGTCCATGGTCCGCACGCTAGGAGCACTTGCGTACAGGCGAGACCTGTCGTGGTCTGATCGTCGTGTCTCCAGAGAGTCACTCCTCGCACTTCGTTCTTTTCCGAAAGATTGACGGCCACGATTTTAGAATTCGTTTGAATATCGACTCCCATCGTGATGCATTGTTTCTCGACCCATTTGCCGATGCCGGCAGGGTTGCTAGAAGCAAGGTTAACAAAACGTTGGCTGATCAAGCATTGGGTACAGGGACAGAACTAACACTGTTGCAGTTCGAGCTCCAAGAACGCCGGAGTCCACATTCCATGAATCATCCTTGACAACCCAGTCCGGCAGCAAACCAAGCCCTTCGCCGTTGCCCCGGTATATCCCGTAGGAGGACTGGGCCCTATAGCCCGTGGTTGATCTGAAGCCCGGGTGTGCGAGCTCAGCCTCCCACAAATCGAAAGAGTATTTTCCGAGGGGTAGCATCGGTAAGAGAGTCTGGTCTGTGAAAGCATAGTGAAAGCAGCCGGTGCAGTGCAATGAAGACGCCGTGAAACACGCGTCCGAAGCCTCTATGACGATGATTTCCCGTTTGCGAGGAGACTCCAAGCTCTTTTTCGCAAGTTGATAGGCGGTTGAGAGACCGATCACTCCTCCCCCGACAATGACAGTTCGTTCTTCACCTCTCAAATTTGACATTTTAGTGACAGGATGTTGGGACAGTGGAATATTGCTTTATCGACGAAAGATTGCTGGGGTTGTTGGTTGATTACCCCACTTGTTGGCTGTGACTTTTTCTTATAAATACCATTTCTGCTCCCTGTCACGGGGAAAACAGAGGCAAGGCAGCTGTCCTCCATAAATCAACTACAGTTAAGTCGGCGCCACGTTCTATGTCAGGGAGAAGCTCTAGGGGGAAGTGAGAAGAAGACTGAGGGTGAATGGGCCACACTGGATGACCAAAGCAGAAGCCCGTGGGGTCCCCAGTCACCGGAAAACAAAAGTTGCCCCTCCCCCCCACACTCAAGTTTTTTTAAGATATAAATACTACCAACCTAGACAGTTAAGTAACAAATTTATAGTAGGCTCTTTAAAGGGGAGTATTATTAATATAATAATAAAAGGACTCTATTTAAATGAAGATAATAAGTATTTATGGAAGGAGCCTGATCCGGCCTGGCCATACCTGAACCGTTGTGGAATGGTATTCAGGGTTAGGGCTGTATTCGTTCATGATTCTGACACCCATTGAAGGAGCGATTAATATGCTTTGTACTGCCTCACATCCGGGCAAGCCGCAGATATCGCCGCTATACAACATCCGCGGCCAGCCCCCAAAGTACTTAGCCAGCCGGAGATATCTGCTACCGAGTGATTGAGCCCCCAGAGCAAGTTGGAATCGACGCTGGCAAACATGGTACCGGTAGAACTCGGGCGAACCATTCAAGTCCCCAAAGCCCGGGATGACCGACACGATGTGCCAACATCGTTGAACTACTACCCCATTGATGCTGGCCCCCCGATACCTGTTACTGTGGGAAAGTAGGCGATTCCATTGCTTCAAATACCTGAGTGAAGTCTTAGACAGCTTCATATGTTTCGTGGGAGCTGACGTTGCGGGCGCATGTTGAAGGACTAGCGTCAATAACAAGCGGCCGTCCGTATCAGTCGATGTCATTGTGCAGGATGTCTCCGGCCATGAGGACCGATTCACCCTCGACAAGAACGGGTTTCAGTTTGTCCAGCACACTAGCCGAGAGAAGGACTTTGACGACGAAGAACGAATCACCGGGATTTATTATTCTGAAGTGGAACAACTGCTTAAACAAGTGTAAGTGTCAAATGGTCTCTGGGCGGTGTATTCCAACTTGGGTCGCCTCCGTCTATCAGAGGTATAGAGCTGAACTGATCACATGATACAGCACTGGTGCCTCACGAGTTGTTATTTTCAACCATAGAGGACGCAGAGGACCATCAGACTGGGCCAAGGCGGGGCTAGACAACCGCTTGAACGCAGGACCGCTCTTCAAAGTCCACATTGATCAGTCATACGACGGCGCGGAGCTTCAATTGCGGAATGTACTTCCCGATGAAGCGGATGAGCTTTTGAAAGGCAGATACCAGATAATCAACGTTAGTGTGCAAACCTCTGGTCTACGGGAAAGTCGTCTACTGACCGCTGTCTATGATTACCCAACAGGTGTGGCGACCGATCGAGACGGTACTCCGTGATCCTCTTGCGATCGCGGATGCCTCGACTGTATCGGACTCAGACCTTGCCCCGGCTGCTGTAATCAAACCAGACTCGAGATCTGAGACATGGTCTGTGAAGCCCAACGCGGCCCATCAGTGGTTTTATAAATACAGACATGGACCAGACACGGCTGTACTCATCAAGTGCTTCGACTCTGACACGTCTGTGGCAAGGCGTTCGCCACATTCTGCTTTCAGTTTCAAGGACAATGAGAAAGACCCAGATAGGAAGAGCATAGAGGTCCGAGCCTTAGTATTCTACTCCTGATTTAGTAATGTAGATCAGAGCCAGATAATGCCCCGAATCATATATTGAAATCGTCTTCAGTATACATCGAGTTGCTCCGTGCCTGAGGCTTGAAGTTAAATAGTGGAGGCTAAGGCCTATAGGGTTACTAGCGAAACTGCATCTTCTATTCTTAGAATTTAATAAATTACTAATTACCTAGTTAGTGAAGAAGGTAGCTATTTATATAAAGATAGAAGTATTTATATAGTAATAAAATAATTTTAATATTATTATTATCCTTTATTTCTTAAAACATAAAAGTTTAAATATATTAAATACTTATATTAGTGAACCTCCTGCCTAAAGTAGGAGATCCTGTATCCTAGTGTGGGCCCCTTTTTCTTTTAGCCTTGAGACACGGTAGTAATGATAGTTAGTAGGTAGTTATATCTCTGTTACTCCGGTTGGTGGTAGTGCTGGCCCCTGCTTCCATCGACATTTTGCCGAATTACCTTGCATCATACAGTTGGCACAAACAGGTTTGCCGTTAAGTTTTTCGCCCGTTAGAGGCCTCGTATAACACCCCTTCCAGAGGCCAGACCCTTTCTCGCACTTATCACAGGCTTCGGGCGCGGCTGTGCCCGCGATTTGCGTAAGAGCAGCGACAAGATGGTCGATACGTCTTGATGAACCGACGTCATGTATGGTCCACGGTTTACAGCGTGCCCTGCGCATGGGATTGTCCAGCAAAGTGTTGACGGCAGGTAGATCGAGCTGATTCTAAATTAGCTCTGGAATTTGGATAAAGAAGAACTACCAAGGACCTACCATGGCCATGACTTGACGATTCTTTGGGAGCTCTCCCGCTCGAAAAGTCAAAGCAATTTCTTCAGGGTATTTGGCCACAAGAACAGACCAGGCAGTACGCGGGGCGACCCCATTCACAGGGTCCATGGGAGTGTGATTCTCGTGACCGTCTCGGGCTTCGCTTTCACCGTGTCTGGAGTGCATGGATATAGTTCGGTCTGGAGAGGGTGATTGACAATTGGCCTCGACGTAATCCGAGTCGTGCTCACCATCTGCATCAGTATCCTGTTCTTCGACTTGACTATGGGTTCTCTTTCGCCCACGCCGTCGTCGCAAAGAACGCGGAGATGACTGGGGCTGGGCCGGAGCATCCGACGAGCTGTTGGCTGTACGGTCATCATCTATAAACGTGACCTCTGAATCTTGGGCGAATCGAGTCTCAGACTCAGGCGCTGGATCGACATTTTGAGGCTCATCCGCTTGTGCTTGTGCTTCGTCTTGGTTTGGGGTCCTTTTGCTAGAAGTCGCTGCAGACCCGTTCGCCCAAGCCTCTAGATCCTGCTGGGAGATGTTGAAGCCGAGAGTCTTGCACCGTTCACGCAACGCTTCGATCTTGCGGATCTTCTCGTCGCGGATCCTTCTGCGCTCGAGCTCTTCCGCCACGGCCTCAAGCTTGGCTGCGATGATGTCAAGTCCTTGATCGCTGAACATAAAATAAGCACTTCCGTCTCTGCTGTCTGTGTGATTTTCATGGTTTGAACTCGCGGTCGCGTCGCAATGTTCAGTGTTTATTACTGACGGCCCCACGCTCCTGACAGTGTCACGTGGTCGAGCTTCAGCAGCACCACCATTTCTGTGGCCAATTCTTTGTTGACTTCGGAATTGGAAGCTTCGAAGTACCTCATCAGGCAAAGGAGGATGGGGCGACGAGTTTGCTGATGAAGAGGCGGGAGAGTTTGAAAATGACAGCATTCCATCTTGAATCGCCACAGGATCCGGCTCAAACCTTGGGGACATCATGATGTCCTAGAGGGCTCGGTTCGGTTGGAAGAGGCAATCAATGCAACCAAAATGCAGTTTTGAACTGAAGAGGCGTGCCTTCATGATTTGAAAATGATAGAGCTCGTGCATGCTTGTCTTGGCGTGTTGTTCCAAGCTTCTGCTACCGCATGGGAACACTGAAGGAAACAAAATGAGCTACTGCCCAGCAGACAGGGGCACATGCACGTGATTTAAGCTTTGCCCCACCATCAATAGCACGTCCCAAACTTGAAGCACTTTAATGTTAGCTCATACGGAGAACAGACCCATGCGCAAACAGACTGCAAGAGATATTCTGACTGGGAAGCGATAGGTAATCAACCTTGGAATGCAAAGCACGAGTTGCGTAAATTGAAAGCAGTGTCTATGCTCCGCTTTTTCCTCATTATGTGGATCCCATCAGGCACCCATTCCACCATTTAGGACCTCTCTGCAAACATAAGTACATACCTAGACAAGGTAGTTTAGGCAGTCATCTGAGTTGACCTACCGAATACACACCGGCTACACCACAATTATGCAGATATGATAGACGGTACGTATTCATTGGCTGTTGTAATATCCCTAGCTCGGCCCACAGCGACAGGTACAAATACCTCGCTCGTCCAGGCAGGCAGCTCCTAAATTGCGCCTCCTTTCTTAACTCGCCCCCATCGTCGCTGTGCACATCAACATCGCCGAAGGATCAACATGGACCCCTTCATCAAAAGGGACGCCCAAGACCACGTCCTAGACGAGAGTTTTCCCAATTTCAACACTCCAATCTTGCGTCTAACCCCTGCCCTCCGACGCCGCATCTATCTAAGTCCATGGCTGAATGTGCTTGTGCGATATCCGACTCACGACGGAGAGATCCATGACGTTTTGAACCTCAGTGGAAGAAACTATCAGCCCTCACTCTATCAACCAAACAACCCTGCACACAAGCTCGGAATTTATGGCCTCCTCGTCTGCTGCCGAACAATCTATGCTGAGGTCTCAGCCCTGCTTTACAGCTCTAACAGATTTGTCATTAGATACTGGGAGAAGCAGTCACTTTCACCTCTGCTAGCCTTGACCCCATCCTCTCTATCTAGCCTAACACATGTAAAGATTGTCCTCAGACAGGGGTCCTGCCATTCCAGAAGCTCCCCGGCTAAGCAACCTGAGGATTACCGGGGTTTTTGTGATGTCTATAGGAATGCCTCACCAACCGTGCCTGGAAAGGCTGATCCGCCTCTTGATCTCCACCAGGCCAAGTCAAAGGCTTTACTCGACGAATGGAAGTCAGCCGCGGAGCACATTTCTCGCCACATTGGCACTGATAGACTCGAGCTATGTATAGTCTGCGATATGGGCCCAGATGACCTGGAGGGCGCCAAAGAAGTGCTTGAGCCACTCAAGCTCTTTCCACGACTACGCAATTGCCACATCCGACTTTCTCGAGATCCTTCACCTCAACTCCAGCGAATGGCCTACGACATGGTACTCAAATCTCGAGGCCCACTTCTGCCGGATGAAGTGGAGGGGTTCTCTCAGACCAAGCCCCGGATAGGGAGCCGTCTTCTCGCGCTACCTCGCGAGTTACGACTCCATATCTTAAGCTACACCGATCTTATCACGCCATGGAAGGAAGTTGAATGGAGTAGGGAGTGTAATGATGATGGGAAATACCTTGTGATTTCCCCAGGCTGTTCGGCTGTCGAACGAGGGCCTTGTAACCCACGTCTGCACCATGGATGTCAGTTCTGGGAATGCTGGTGGGCCCATAATCGGCTTTCAAAGCCCGGCATTGGTTGCTTTTGCAAACTTAGGCACGCAGCTTCCTCTTCGACCTGTATTTGCTGGACGCCACCGACAGCCTTGTTTCTAGTAAGTCGTTCCTGAAAATTCTTGACGTCTTCACTTGCTATTTCTATTACATAAGTGGATCAATGCAAGCCGCTTTCGACTTGTTCAACCTGTTTTGCGAGCAGACATCATATTGAAACCTCCTTCCTTGTACCGCAACCTTGGAGAGCTAAACATAGACACTACAGGTCAACCGCACTCTCCTTCATGATGCGCAGGTCGTGTTTTTCTCCGGAAACCGCTTTGTTGTACATGACTTCCAATTCAAACTTCCCTGGAGTACACCTGGCCGTTCTACACACGAATGGCAGGAGCTGGAAGAAGACGAGAGCGGGATTCAGCTGGAGGGGCCTGGATTGTCCGAGTACCACTCAGATCAGCTTGCACCGAGCATGTTCCTACGAAAGAAGGTCCCGCATCAAATGCTCCGGGAGCTACGTGAGCTCGAGTTTGTCTTCCCACCATACGTGCCCACCGGCTGGCCCGGGGAAGGCCACCGAGCAATAGCCGACTGGGCTGAGACTCTCTGCTGGGCGAGGGATAAGTTGAACCTCCCCGTCTTAACACTTAGTCTTGTAATGTCAAACGCACAAGATGATAGGGATTCACCACTAGGCCGTAAGGAGATCACAAGCGACCAGGTCGAAGCTATACTGTCGGCGTACCGCCGCATCGCATCGCCAATCACTGTACTGGCTCAGACCAAGCCTAGCAAAGATATTACAAAGCTGCGTGGCTTCTATGCTGATGTCACTTGGCCGTGGCACTCGTACTGGGTAGACACCAACAGGTACATGCAATATGGAACGGGGTGGGTGTGGGATCTTTGTAGGAAAGAACACCGAGAGCTAAGTGAAGGCATTGAGCGCTTGGTTTTGGGTAAACGGGATAATGAAACACACACGAGCAGCAGGGAGAAACCATGGATTAGTGTCTGGCATGACTTGTATATCGACAGACTTTGATGATGAAGATGCCAGAGGGGACAGATAGAACCAAGTGCCAGTGACGACCGGGGACATAAGACCAGAGAGGCCTCAGGAGAGAACCTTATATAGAAAATGAAGGACATCGACTAGAGAGCACTTCAAGTTAGATATGTCGGGAATCTGACGAGAGTACCATTCCTTCTGGGTAAAGAATAAGCACCGGACGGACGCGCGTTTAAGTATCGATAGAATCGCGTGTAATGATATAACTGTCAGTGTCTTTAGCGATACGCACTCTAACCCAGAGCCCCACGTTATTCTCTTCCTCTCCCTGAATCGAAATATAAAGGCACTCATAAATTCTTTTTCAATTTAGCGCGTCAGACTGGCTTGCATATTGAGTGCTAGAATTCTGCTGGTACTTCTATATAGGTAGTGGTAGGTCCAGTAAGTCGGTGGAATGGACAAATACATTCCACGCGTGGTACCACAAGAAACAGCCTAGTTCTCGTACGGTGTTAGTACGCAACGGCGTGCGTGAACAACGGTTCAGCCCAGGCCAATGACAAGATTTTATAAAAGACTGTTATCGCGATTTGTCTTACTGGGAACGACACTAGTCTCGGTGTTGAGGCTGCAGGAGAACGTTGGCAGCAAGCATTCCCCAATTCTAGAACAACATCATGGCCACCACGAGATCTAGGACATTATGTGGTCCTGATACTGGGTTTTAGGAAGATTTTGTCTCCAAGCAATAAACACTAGTGTTACTTTATTTCGTCATGCTTTCACTGCTTGGAACGGTCGTGGGCTAAGCAGCCCGTCAGGGCTGGACTACGCCATTTCCTTCTGCAGCAACAGTGCCTGTCGATCATGAGAGCCTCGGACCCTCCATTCCTGGCAATCAGGATCTTTGGAATGTAACAACCTCTCTACGGTCGCGACATGTCGCGGTCGCGATATCGTACAGTCGCGACATGAGCTCGCGCCGGCAAGCTCGAGAGGCCCTATATCAAGAAGGCCAAGGCTGAGATTATGTTTGGGAACTGCTGAATCTTGGCTGCAGTGTCTGCCTTGATACGAAGACAGAAAATCCAATGGTAATATCCCATATTTATTCAGCAAGCTAGGTCTGATCACCAAATGACTTTGGGTCCCCTGTCCAAGATGCCCTCGGTGGCACTCGCACTTTTGTGCTACTGCGTCGTGCCGGCCTTTACTTCCAAGGTGTCCATCTACCATCAAGGCCCGATTGACGGACAGCTTTACTCCGTCACCAACTACAACCAGCAGATCTGGTCCAGCGACTCCCTGGTCGGCAATGTGACCCTCGGAAATAGCCCAACTGCGGTGGCCTACCAGGGCAACACTTATGTCTTCCACAACACTGCACCAGGCTCTGTCAACATGTCTTACCTGGTCGTTGAGACGGGTGAGCACCTGGTGGTGCCGAACACGACATTTTCCCAGACGCCCTCGGCGGTGATCTACAACGAAAGGCTCTTTCTGTTCCATGCCAGCGGAGAAAACAGCAAAGAGCTGTGGTTCAACGTATACGACGGCGAAGAATGGGCCGAGGATACGGCATTGGGCACCGCGACACTCGCGGGCAGTCCGGGTGCTGTCCTTTACAACAGCTTCATCTACGTCTTCCACCGGCTCAGGAGCCAGCTCTGGTATACCGTATTCGATGGCGAGAACTGGCTGGAGGACAAGCAGGTCCCCAGGAGTAGGTCGACGGCTGCCCCGTCCGGGGTCGTCTACAACAACAAACTCTATGTCTTCCACCAAGGCGGCCCGAACGGCACGACGCTGTGGTACAATGTCTTTGACGGATCAAGCTGGGACAGCGACAAGCAGGTCCCTAATACGTTCTTGTTGGACGGACCGACGCCAATTTCGAATGGGAAGCAGCTTGTTGTCTATTACCAGGGAATAGACGGCTTCCTTCACTACAATACTTTGGACGCTGGCGGTTGGGCCGGAGATCTTGTCGCGCCAAATGTTACGATCGGATCCAAACCGGCTGTGGTAGTTACCTAATAACTTCGAAGGTATAAACAGGGAAGCATAAAGCTTGGAACCTGTGGGGTAATACAGGTGGATTCAGAGGGGGGGCATATCTATTGGAAATTAGAGGGTTCAATATCAGGCGTGGAAACTTTACTGTTGTACTTAACATTTTTCCTCAGGGTCTATATTCGATTCTATGGAGAAGTGCCCCGAGGTATGCCACAGGTCAATTTGTGGCTGCAGGCGCCGGATTATCAAGAGAATTGAAAACAGCTGTTCATGCCCTGTTGACTGAAAGAAGAAGATTTGAGTTTGATAACTTTGGTCGGATCTAAATATCAATTTATAGTTACAGTCTCTCGCCCTATTCCAACAAAGCTCATGAATGCCTGCACACATTGTAAACCCCCTTCGATACCTAGTGCCCGCCTTGTCACGTAGTACCAGTACCGGCATGGAACATTCGAAAGCACTCACCTAATAAGTGCAAATCCACACCTAGAAGCAGCTCTACTCGCACTCTCCCATTTGTTTGATGAATCATTGATCATTCAAGGTTCTCCAGGCGTCAATATTTAAGGCATACTATTTCTCAGCCTGTCGAATCCTCCGTGACTCGGCTCAAAGGCAAATTTAACCATAGAGAGCTCACAATGGAAGAATCAACATCGGTAACTGACGATTCTAAATCGTAGAAACTAGTTTAAAGAAGGATAAGAAACGATTCGCATCTCAGTTTGCCAACAACCCCTCGCGCTCAAGGCCCCTTCCCTGAAAAGAGGCACTCATATCGTTCATCGCATCGCGGGCCCCGTGATACTCGTCCAGCTCGGCAGGAGTCATTACTGCCGTCTCCATTCCAATCATCACGCCGATGCTCGCCAGCCCAAAGCCCTCCCATAGCGGGGTCCAATGGCGGCTGTGAAACAAGTCGCCAGACTCGACCTTATCGCGGGCCGTCTTCGCCCACGCGTCCTCGTCCTTGGGCGCCCATCCCATGGGCATGGGAGGCGAGGCTTGGAAGCAGCGGTAGTAGTACTCCCGCTCCGTCTTCAGAGCGCGATAGTATTTCTTCGCCTCTTCCTTCCCTTTGGCAGTGAATTCCACCTTCAGGCTCATGGCGTTCGGCGCGGGCCACAGTAAGGGTGGGTAGGCGACGTCCTGCGGGCCACTACTCTCGTCTTGTGCGCGAATGTTTGCCCAGTGCTGCTTGAGGGCGGTCGCGCGAGGGCCGATGTTCAGGGTATCGATCTCGGGAGTGTCTTTCACAAAATCCTCGAGGTGGCGGAGGGCGCGCTCGTACTCAGTGTACTCCAGGACGAGCTTCGTGATGTCGTGGCGGGTCTCCAGCGAGGCCAGAAGCTTTGAAATGCAGCTGACATCTCCAGTGCCGTTGTCGGGGGCGGTGGTCTTAGACAGGAGAAGACAGATATAGCCAACTGTCTTGGTGTCAGGACGCATTCATGAGTTGGGACGAGGATCTGTACCAACCTTCCTTGACTGCATCTTCTAGATGCGCCGGGGGTGGGCCATAGCTCGGAGGAATCCGTGGCCAGTAATCCTCGGTGGCATTTTCTGTCCCTGTGGATTCAGACCCGACTAAATTGCCGAGGTCAACTCTGCCGCCCAAAGGAGAGTCAACCACGTATCTCGGAAGACGAGCCATGATTGAGTCTGTCTTTGTTCTTGTATGGATGATTGTGCCTTTTAAAGCAGTCTGTCGCAGCCTCACCGTTGACGTGGCCACGCGTAGAGAGAGAGGATTGAGTCTTCGGAGTGTGCCCTGAAGCATTTTCGACTCGTATATTTTGTATCCCGTGAAGGAAAATCTCACCCGTTTTATCATATACAGAAGGGCAGGCAGTTAGCTTTAAAGGGGAATAGCGCCCAGGCGACCGTGGTGTTTAGTGCAATCTGCCTAAATCCCGCCAGGCAGAATCCCCGTGCCAACAACAGTTTGAACGGATGCCAAGCTAAGCGTTGGCACTATAAGAAAATAGAGTACGTTATCGGGTTCCCAGACACCCCCCCCTTTTAGATATAATATTACCTTTTTTCTCTTTCCTCCCTTTTAATTTTAAATTATTATAACTTTATAAAAGAATTTTTTTATATTACTAAATTAATATTAATAATATTATATAACTTTAAAGAATATTATATTAATTTTATACTTAATAATATTTATATTAAAAAGTTATTTTTATATAAAGTAATTAAATAATATAAAATTAATTAAAATATATTATATAACTATTTTTAAAATAGAAAGTTAATAAATAAAGTTTATAAAAGTATATAAAAGTTATTAATAAGGTTAAAACTATTAATTATATAATAAATTTTTATAAAAAACTTATTAATTATTTACCTTTAAAATTATAAGTTAAAATCTTTATTTTTAATTTTTATAAACTTTTAATAATAATAAATATATTAAAAGTTATAAATTAACTACTTTTTTATAATATTTAAAAGTATAAATAAAAGTTAATATACTTTTAAAGAATAAAAACTTTTATTAATAATAAAACTTATATTAAAAGTTTTTAATTTTTAATTATATAGTTTTAATTAAAAGTCAAAATTATTAATATTATTAATATAAATAAAATTAATATTATTAGATAAAAGATTTATTATTATTAAATATTTAAAATTACTTAATTTATAAAAGTATTTTTAATAAATATTATTTTTAATAATTAGTTTATATACTTTAAGGTTATTATTAATAATAGAAGAAAATTAACTTTAATAATAATATTTAAAAGAGAATTTTTAAATTTAATAGTTTTTAATAAAGTATTTAATTAAAAGTTTTTAAGAATAAAAATAAATAGTTTATTATTTTAATCTTTTATAAATAGTTTATAAAAGTTTATTTATTTAAAATTATATTTATAAATAAATTAAAATAATAATTTTTAATATTTAATAGGTTTTTAATTTATATATTTTAATTAATAATAATATAAGTTTAATATTATAAAGTATTCCTTTTATTTATTTTTATATATTTTATACTTTTATAATTATATAATAAAAGTTTATTTTATCTTTAAAGTATTATTATTAAAAGAAATATAATAAGGTTACTTTTATTTTTAATATAATATTTATTAATAAACAATTAATAATTAATTATTATAAATAAGTTTTTAATAAAGTTTTTTATAAAGAAATATTTTAAATAATTTATTTTTAATTAAAATAATCTTATATAATTTAAAGAAAGTCTTTTAATATTTTTAATTATTTAATAATTTAAAAGAGAACCTTAAAGTTAAAAAAGGTTATAAATATTATTATTTTAATTAAAAATATTAATTAACTTAATTATTAAAACCTTTTAAAAGTTTAAAACTTATTTATAATAAATAATTAAATTATTAATAATATTAATTAAATTTAAAAGTAATTAAAATATTATTAGTTAAAATAAATAAAAAGTTAAATAATTTATTTAAAGAAATAATATAATTTAAAAATAAAAATATTTATTTAAATATTTTTATAAAGAAATTAAACCTTAAAAATATTAATAGATTATAAGGAATTTAAATAAAGCCTTTTATAAAATAAGTAAAGTTATAAATAAAGTATTATTACTATTTTATATTAATAATTTCCTTAAATATAAAAACTATTTATAATAAAGAAAGTTAGTTTAAATATAACTAAATTTTATTAATATAAACTTAAAGAAAAGTTTTATATTTAAATTAAATTTTTAATATAAAAATTAAATATATTATATTTATTTAAAGTTTTATAGTTAAATTAAAAAGTATATTTAATAAAGGGGGGTGTTTAGGAACCTAATAATATACTCTATTTATAAATAAAGCTGGTTAACGCTAATACGAAATTTCGAAATGAGTCAAGGCTATCCTCGCAAAAATTAGCTACAGATGACCTTAGAGGCTTAGACCCAGTCACGCTTCCGATTTCTCTCCCGTCTCGGCCGCAGGTGGCATGACCGCATCCTTGAAAACAGCAAAGCTTGACGGCGTTTCCTCCAAGACGGGAAAATGATATTCACACTGCGGGCACTGCTCCCGAAGCACTTCCTGTTCTCGAGCCAGGTCGTATTTCTTGTCCTGGGTGTGGTTGCACACGGGACAGATACGAAGCAGCCTAGTTCCGACAAGTTCAAAGTTCGTGATCAGGTCCTCCATTATGGCGCCGTTCGCCGCCCAAGTTTTGCAGTACTTGTGGTATGTGTTCTTGTGCCAGTCGTAGAGAGCACCGCGGCTGGTCCAGAAGCTGCACTCATTATACCAGCTCCGGTCGTCAGGGTGTTCCCACCATGTCAGATGCAGAAACCCCGGAAGTGTCATGAGATGGCGGCGTGTGTCGGCAAAAAGGACTTTGAACTTCTCGTAAGCATCTGGGCTCGAAAACCGCACGCGTTGCATGCTCAGGTAGATAGGCATCGTGTTGGGATTGAGACGAAAGTGAGGTTGAAGCTGTCTTGATGGTTTATCAATTCTTGATAGGTGTGAAAAAGAAATAAACAATGAGGGCTGTCTATTGTTCTACACTTATGACACTGACAGCAAGCTTGATACAACTGGCGACGAGAATAAGTAGACTGCTCAACTTCTTCAAAGCCGAGGAATTTCCGTCCCCTCAAACTATGAGGCAGCGGGTGAGCAATACCCGAGCGCCACATCGTCAGCCTTCCTTCTTATCTACAACGACAAGGGCATGATGAGGCACCGGGTGAGCAGTACCCGCCAGATCGTCAGCCTCCCTTCTTATCTATAATGATAAGTCAATAAATAGGCACCCAAGACACGTGGTAGGGTGATATCAAAGATTATCGTACTTGGGTATACTCCCTATCAGAGCGGTCGAGAACCTGTCAAACATGTGGCTTGCATGGATGGAACGAAGCCTCCTAGAGCTGACAATTGGTCCCCGCCTGATACGCGAACTCTATTCATGATCGCCAGCTCAAGTGACCTCTGGAGCTTGTCCCCGCACTCCAAAAGGGACTACTATCTGTTATTGCTACCCTATCCTCACTTGTGTCTCCCTTGAATGGTCCAATGGAAGAAGTCCCGATAATCAAGAGGGGACTAATACGCATACATGAGTTTTCCAGCCTCGGGGTTCTACGAATGCCGTTGGTGATGGAAACCGAGGGAGCTGAAGCTAACTAAGATGAGACCGGGTAATCAGGATAGCTACCTAGGTACTGAGAGTTCATCGGAAGGCTTTCTGGTGTGTACTGAAATCGTCTTAGTGTTGTGATTGTGTGCCTATAAGTAAGGGTCAATCTGTCCTTGAGATCTCGCAATGGATATTTTCAGCAAGCATCCGTTTCTGTCGACTTGGATCATTCAATTACAACACAATGGCTCAGCCTACAACTCACACTGTTCATGGTGGTGTCCAATGCCCACCCCAGAATGAATGGAGCGCCTTCGAATGGACGGAGCCAAAACTTGGACCGCAGACATTTGGCGAAGTGACCTATGCGCGCACATTCGGTGTCAGCGGCAATCTCACATCCGGCTTCTGGCGGATGAGTGCCTCGTCTCCAGGGGCGAACCCGGACGGGTCCGGCAAATTAACGTACTCGTCTCCCCTGGGCGATGAGACGGCCTGTGTTATTGACGGCACGGCAACACTCACCGTCGTGTCAACGGGCAAGAAGTACACCGTGGGCCCTGGATCAATTATCAGCTCTCCGAAGAACCTCGAGGTCCAGTGGGAGATTGACGCCCCTTTCTTCAAGAAGTACTGGTGTATCTGGAACGGGACCAAGCCAGCGCCCTCACCCCCGACAGAACTTCTGGTCAATCACGTCGCCGACGACCCAGAGTGGACTGATTACAACTTCACTGAGCCTAAGGAGGGTGACCTCGTGGCCGGCGAGCTATATTTCATTCGCAACGGCGGATCGACCGGCACAATGCTCAGCGGGGTGTGGAGGTCTGGCAAAGGCATTGCTGGGTCCGATGTTGATGCCAACGGGACAATGACCACTCCGTACACTGGGGTGCTTGGAGATGAGACTATACTACTCCTTCAGGGTCAGGTTGACATAACTGAGACTGAGACTGGAAAGAAGCATACATTCAAGGAGGGCGATGCAATTGGGTTAACATCTGGGATGCACATTACATGGGTCTCCAAGGGTCCGTTTTCAAAGAAGCTCTGGGTGATCACTCGAGACTAGTTGCCTCGGGGCTGATGTATCTACCTGGGTGTCGTGGTGATATTAGCAATTCAACTGTTCTCAACTTCTATATCACACTCCTAGCAAATGTAATGAGAAGTCATCACTTGAGGAGATTCCTCCAATGTTCAGGGTCGAAACGTCTGGAATAATGCCAAGGCTTGGTCAAACCACCTAGGTATCCTTGAGTTACATGGCCTTATACTCATAGAGACCTCAGGCACAGTAAATTTCACCTTCAAACCGAAAAAGGACGTTAAAGATACCCTTGGGCCGGTGTATGCTCCACATGTCCGGTATGGGGAGTGTAGCGCGCTAAAATACTTCAACTTGACAACCATCAGGGCATCATGTGGCCTCCCTTGCAAATGTCTATTCACGCCCCTAGATATTCATTCCGAAGGCTTGAAATCTAGTGGAAGGGACAGTGACGTTTGCTAAGACTCCAAATACCCTAGTTGTTTTGAACAGTAGGTCGCTATCTGGGTATGTGTTGGTTGAGCACAGTCACTATCTTTTCGTATACCGGTCAACGAAGTTGAAGAGCATGTGAAGTGATTTGAAATTTTGAAGAACGTGGCTGGTGCTATTTCCATTTAAGAACTGAACCACGGATCCTCCAGGATCTCCTTTGCCTGCGCCCTAGACGATGGCTCGAATTTCAGCATTCTTGAGATGAGGTATCCGACCCTCTCAATATCCTGCTTAGTGAACCCAGAGTCACGGTCGGGATTGAAATAGACCTCCTCCAACCATTCCTGTAGAGTGCAGGGTGGGTCATCACTGGGCTTGATTTTATTCATCTGCCGCCATTTCTCCAGCCAGAGATCTGGCAAGTCATCCTCGCAGCATTCCATCATTTGTGGAATGAGTGTGTCGGGAGTCACCATTATTGAATCGAAGGGTGGCTGTCCAGTGACCAGTTCAAACAACTAGGAGTGTCAGTACAAGCCGTCTTACACATTTGGGATGATAAATTCACCAAGCAAGCCATGCTCCACAAGTCAACACGATGATCCAGTCGATCGGAGAAGATACACTCCGGTGGCCTCACTACCAGCGGCGTATGAAGTTTTGTGGGTGCATTCGGCATTTGAAATGATTCGCCGAAGTCGATGATTTTGATATATGGATTCATGCGTAAGCCTTCACGGATGTGCTTCGTAAAAGAAGTAGGGCGGACCAAGTAAGGCGGCACATTAGGTCCAGGATCTCCTGATGCCTTGCCGTTTGTTCTTGTCACCAAGGCAGTTTCGGGCTTGCCAATCTTCTCGCGAAAATGTTCCTCGCTTAAATGATCAAGAACAGGTATCTTGAAAGCTAGATTCCCTGTGTGTAGGTCTGGGACGAGCCTTTAGACGGGGTCAAGTAAGCGCAGTTCAGTGGATTAGCTGGACCTACCACCATGTCCGATTTGGTGTGTTGCGAGGAAATCAACTCCTGATAAGGCTTGACGGGCGACTATTTTAGCTAGACGTGCTGGTAATCTCTCGTCGCTGTAGGATGAGTCGATCAGATCGGGTACATTTGGACCTAGCAGTTCCAAAACCAGGCAGTCATGTGTGCCATTGGGCCCTTTTTCTTCGAAATGGTCAAACATCTGCACCACATGGTTACGACCCGGGTGGACTCTGGGAAGCGCTGAAATCGCGCGTAGGATGTGCTGTTCTTGACTGTCACTCTTTTGCGACACCGAGACCTTAACAGCGACGTATCGATCTTCTCTACGGCTTGGATCAGTATAGGTTCCGCAGCGGGTCCTGCAAAATGACGAATATTCTTTCGATGCGTCTTACTTTCGATCCATGGCAGCCCAGGTGGTTGAATAGCCGCCCCATCCGAGTTTGTGCAGGATTTTGTATCTATCTTGCTTGAGAACATCACCAAGCTTGAGTGGGTGGTAGCCTCCTGCACAATAACGATGGAGAGGTTCTGCGTCGATGTCACAGGCATAGGGCTGGGGTGCCGTTTGTGAAACGTTTCGAAGGTATCGAACAGTGGTCCCAGAAACCCCCGGACCCCATCGGGCTGATAGAATAGCACTTCGAGATGTTTTGGAAAACATTGATCCATCGGCTAGGGAGTTTTCAGGATTCGGGATTGATTTGGAGACGCTTTGAAATAGATTGGGCGCGTTGGTGCCTGCAGGGTGCGGCTCGCCGGGAATACAGCGGCAGAGAGCTCACGACGAGAATGCCGCAGTGGGACCACATCGAGTGTGACTCGGCGTCACGTGCAGCAGTTTGCGGATATCATCAAAGTACCCTTATGGCGGCCATCAGATGGCTTTCAAGGACCAAAATACGGGCAACGTACTAGGAAAAAGAATTTCCAGACAGCATGATGGAATTTGATATGAATTTCATTCAAGAATGATCATCGCAGCATATTGGGTTGTCGAGATTATTCTCATGAGAATGACCACCTAATCACTGGTAAACCAGGAACAAGATGATGGCCCAAGTAGGCTTCGCGAATTCGTTCTGTGCAGCAGTACCGGCATGACTTGAATTGATCAGCCATGGGTTTGACGGTGCCAACTCGGAGCTTTGACATCGCAACCTTAGAAATCACCAATGTATTCTATTCACGTAATTCAACCGGTTGAGTAGCAGTGGCTGGTGCTGCCATATGGTCAGGGGTGGCAGACGTGATCCAACTGGGTGTAAATGAGCAGAGGGCCTCGACTGGATCTCATAACAGTCTTCCTGCACAAGAGAACATAAAATCCAGTACCTTTCGATACGCGGTAGTGTTCTTTTCTGAATGAGATGGGTTATTCGCACCCACCAAACCGGCTGGTACACCCAAAAATATACTCCTTCTAACTAGCAAACAAACCATAATTTATGCCACTAATTCACTACATATTCCACTAAAGCACATTTATCAACTATGTATGTCCTTATTCATCCTTATGCTCTTCTTACGAGCAAGGTTCTTAGTAGTTAAATTTACTGACAGTAGCTAGTTTACAGTTTTATAAGCCTTGTTTGGAGTCACCAATGTAATCTCACCCATCCGAGGTCACGCCAACGGGTCCTCGCCATATGGCAAGTTGCCCGCCTGGCTGACGCGCCTCCCGCCGTGAGCCTCGCGGTCCTCGGCCAGCGCCTGCGCAAACTTGCTCTTGCGGCGGATCACAGGGCCCTTCCAGTAGAACACGTAGACGGGGACGACAACCAGGCACGACAGGACGGCGAGGATGGTGCTGGCCCACTCGGTCGGGAACTCGCTGCCGATGCCCTCGTACATGGGCACCGCGAACATGGCCGAGATGCCGGCCAGGAGGTCCCTCGCGAAGGCGTTGCCGCCGCACGCCGACGCCGAGTACGGCCCGTACGCCGCGATCATGTAGTCGACGGTGGAGAAGTAGATGGCGTAGTTGGCGACCCCGATCAGGAGGCTGAAGACCATGGGCGCGGCCCAGTGCACCCCGTACGCGGGGCCGAGCGACGTCCACGCGAACCCGATCAGCCCGGCGGGCTCGAGGGGCGCCAGGAACAGGAGGATCTTCATGCGGCGCTCGGCGGCAAAGTCATCGCCCTTCTTGTGCCGCGTGCGCGTGTAGTGGTGGATCCACGGCAGGTAGGCAGCGTACGCGACCAGGTAGGCAACATTGATGGGGATGACGGCCCACGCGGCCTCGAGGGCCGAGAAGTCCCACGCCTTGTAGACGGCCGCGAAGCCCTCGAGGAAGATGAAGATGAGCGCGTCGGAGAAGCCCGACAGCAGCGAGAGGAACAGCACGATGGGTTCGCGCGCGAACATCTCGAAGGGCCGCGCCCAGATCCTGACGGCCTCCCTGAGCGAGATGCGCGGCGCCTTGAGCTCGTTAGGCCCGTAGATCTCGAGCCCCGGCGCCGCCTTGCGCCGCCGCTTGGCCTCCTTGTCGATGAGGATGGTGCTGCGGCACTCGGGCGTGAAGAAGTGGACCAGCTGGACCGCGGCGCCGAAGATGAGCTGGATGTAGAAGAACCAGTGCCAAGAGAGGTCTGCGGGTGCGGGGAGTAGGCCCGAGTGATTAGTTATTAGTCCATCAAGAGGCTGAACCGAGGATATATGTATGTGTGTATATATATATACTACTGCTCTTGTGCATACAAGGATTGGGACGTATGCTTACATTTTTGGATGGGCCCGCCGATGACGCCGCCGATAGAGGTCCCTATGCAGGACGAGAGCACGATGAAGGCCAGGGGCCACTGCTGGTCGTCTGGCTCGTACAGGTCGGCGATGAGGCCGAGCGTAACACTGCCGCCTGCCGTGGAAAGTCCGCCCTGCATGAATGAAACCGTCAGAGTCCGTTCCGAGATGCCACCGCCAAGATGTCAAGCACCAGCAGCAGCAACGATGACGAAAAAGAAGGAGAAGAAGAGGCCTACCAGCGCCCGACAGACCACAATAGTCCCAAAGTTGGGCGCAAAGGCACACGGCAGCTGCCAGATGTTGATCAGGAACATGCTCAGCTGCAGGACCGGCCAACGCCCAAACTCCTCGCTCCAGGGGGCCCAAAGCTCGCAGCCGAAGCTGTACAGGACCAGGTACACGCACTGCCCCACGCGCGCCGCCTGCTCGCTGATGCCAAAGTGCTCCGACAGCGGCGCCACCGCGCTGGGGAAGACGGACGTGTTGAAGTTCATCGACACCTGGATGGCGGCGATGACGCCCAGGAAGGCCCACTTCTTGCGGCGCGGCCAGCCGTACGCGAGCCTGTCGTAGCAGTCGTCCTCGGTCAGCTCCTTCATCCCGCCGGGGGGTTCCGGGCGGTCCTTCCTGGTGAGCCCTGCGAGCGAGCTGTGCCGGCGGCGGTGTGTCTTGGTGTACGGATCCGAGGAGTCCTCTTGGCCCTCCTGCTGCGCGCCCATGTCGTTCTCCTCGCGTGGGACATCCAGGTGGCCTTGTTCCTTGTCATGCTCGGCCTGGGCGCGGTGGTTGGGCGCCTGTGGGATGTTGAAGGGCGGCTGCTTGTAGGCTTCGGGGTCCATTCCGGGCTGTTGTTGCTCGCCCTTGGCCGGGTTCTGTCCGGCGACCATCTTTGACACGCTGGCTGACTGAGTGACCACCGGAGAGGTGGTAGGGAACTCGTGCAAAAGAACATATATAACACTACAAACTCAACAGCATTTCATGGCTTTACTGCACGGTATTATACCACCCCATATTCACAGTATGACGTATCCGGACCCATGACGAGATGTACAGATATGCTGCAGTTATTAATGCGCGTGCGTGTGGAGGCTCGGATTCGCACCTACTGTGCTACAGCAGAGGGATAAAAAAAAATGGGGAGTTTCCTGCGCTGGACATCGCCGCATCGCCATCCACGGTGTCAATCGAAAAAGGCAGGGCGAGGGAACGGCGAGTGACGCAATGCGGCTGCGGTCTTCTTCCCACGCGCGGCGGACGTCTGCATATTTATGGATCTGGGTAAGAAACTACGCATTGAGCTTTTTCGGTGGAGCGTTAAGTAAGCCAGTGTGGACATGTATGTGGGAGGCGTGGGATAGGGAGTCTCCCGTCGATCTCAAGCCCGGATTGATGCGCATGCAACATCGTCACATCCGGGCGGCCACGCACCAGGCACTCTCACACGGAGATAACATTGAACATGTGCTGGGTGTGGAGCTGTGGCAATTGGCTTTAGTAAAATCAATGTGGTGCCTTTGGTGGATCTATAAGAAGTGGGTTCGAGATCGTCCACATGGATTTTTTCTGTCCACCCACTCTAACCCCACCCATGAATTCATGGCTGCTAATAACCCGGCCTAGACAATTGAGCCTCAACCGAATTGTGTCTGCCGATCCCTCTGCTCCGTATTTTCGGCCTTAACACGGCGAAACATAGCATCGCATTTGGGGCCAGTATCGGCCGATATTACTTCCGCAGGACCGGATTTCTACTCGCTGAGACCAGCATACCCGCAACTTAAATATTTATTAAAATAGCTTTATAGGAAGTAGCAAGGTTTATAATACTTTAGAAAATACTTGAAATATTTATAACCTAGTTTTTATTACTTAAAATAATTAAGTATATATAAGACTTAAATTATAAAAGAGTGTGATACTTTTTTTATAATTTAAGTATATAATATAAATAAAAAGTTATAAAAGATTTATAAGAAATTATAAATTAAAAGATTAAAGGAATATAATAAAGATAATAAAGATAAAGTTTTTAAATAGAAAGATATTATTAACTTTAAGATATAATCTTAATCTCTTTAAGTTAAGTTTTAAAAGATAAGAGAGGTACTGTAGAACATGTGCATAGCTATTATATAAGTTATTATTTACTTTTAACTTTAATCCTAGCATCTTATGTAGAATGATAATACTTGACCTAATATGGAATAATTCGTTTTGGGTCTCTAATTCTTTAACTTTCGTTCCTAAATATTAAACACATTGTTTTTCTCTATAGTTGCATAACCTTTCTTCACAAAACGATAAACCTTTTTGTATCAGCTTGAGTACGAGTGAAGGGGTGTATTGATCTTTCGTAGTATCGTACTACATGTCCGCAGTTCTAGGGCTGACGAGAACAGGAAATGTGGTCTGCCATTTTGACTACATCGCAGATCCATAGTACGTGCTCCGCTGAGGTCAGCAACTGCCGAGGCAAGGCCATCACGGCGTGCGACATTGGTGCTGACATGCCTTGCGGGGTGCAGATGTAAAAGCGAACTTATTATTCTTCGCATTCGAAGTGCGAGGTTACATCGCGTCTACTTACCTCCCGACTCAGAGTGACTTGCCAAATCACAATCCATATGGTGGACTATAAAAGTGTAGTTCGGCATTATAGGAGCCCATAGTCTCTCTGTTCACCTGGGTCCCTTCGTCGAATGCACGAATTCACTGTACATGACAATGTCTACCAACAATGCTGCAACGGCAAACCGGTACAACTTCCTGATAGTGTTCCTCGTCACCTTCGGCTCCCTCACCTACGGCTACAATTCGGCGATCATAGGAGCAGTGCTAGGACTGAACTCGTTCTTCAGGTACTTCGGGATCGACCTGCATGGTCCAAATGCCGCTGAGAGCTCACGAATCACTGGTGCCACGAACGGCGTCTTCGCGGCCGGTGGCCTGCTGGGCTGCATCTTGATGACCTGGCTGGGCGACGCGGCCGGGCGCAAGGTGGCGATCCAGGTGACTTCGGTCTTGTGCATCATCGCCGGGATAATCCAGGCTGCATCTGTGCATATAGCAATGTTCCTTGTGGGGAGATTCCTGATGGGCCTAGGCGTCGGCATGGTCAACGTGATTACTCCATTGTATCAGAGCGAGATTTCACCGGCTCACCTGAGAGGGAGGATGGTGGGGACGCACGGCTTCATACTTTGCGTGGGATATGTGAGTACCTTTTGGCCCCGTCCGGCCGTGGTACTCTGTCTGTTCCGCTGACTGCCTATCAAAGGCTTTGGCTGGTTGGACGGGATTTGGGTGTTTCTATCTCTCGTCGCCAGACGCACAATGGCGCTTATGCCTCGCGCTACAAGTCGTCCCCCCACTATGCTTGCTCGTCGGATCGCTGTGGCTGCCTGAGTCTCCGCGCTATCTCATGCCATGGACCGCTACGACGAAGGCCTTCGGGTTTTGCAGGACTTGCACCGGCTACCTGGCGAGCAAGACGATATTCTGGCCCGGGAGGAGTTTTACCAGATTCGCCAACAGCTTGACCTTGAGAGAAGAGAGGGGTGGAGGCAGGGGTGGCTCAAGGGATGGGTACTAATATTCAAGAGAGAATCTTGCCGCAAACGGCTTCTGTTTGGATTTCTCACACTGTAAGTCCGCGTGATCTGGCGCATTCCTGTTTGTGCTGACAAATTCACAGTGCTCTGGTTCAGTCCACTGGTTGCCTTGTCATCAACAACTACCAGGTGCTTTTGTACAACGGCCTAGGTCTCTATGGCTCTGTACCTCTCTTACTGTACGCTGTCTGGGATAGCTGGGCCGCCTTTATGAATTACATGAACTCCTTGTGGCTTGACAAATTCGGGCGAATACCGACCATGGTAGTGGGGCAGGTATGCAATTCCACAGACAGTTCTCCCGCTACAAACTCATTGGAAGCTCACCATTTCAAACACGCAGATTGGCTGTGCTATCTCAGTCGCCGGCTTTACTGCCTGCTTGGCGAGGTATGGAAGCACGGACAACAAGATTGGCAACGGATTCGATGTTTTCTTTTTATATTTATGTCAGTTGCCTTTGGCTTGCCCCTCCCTCACAAGTCCGGGCTGATTTTGATGCTTCATCGGAATAGTTGTCACCTTCTTTGGTGGCTCTATGGACGCCACGTCTTATGTCTATGCCAGCGAGCTGTTCCCCACCTCCATTCGCACACAGGGCGCCGGCTTCAGCATATCAGCGCTCTTCTGCATGTCCCTCATCTACACCATGTGTGCACCTGTTGCTTTTACCACCATTGGCTGGAAGTACTATATAATATTTATCGTGCTTCCGATTTTCGGGGCGGCGATAATGTATTTGTTTTACCCAGAGACGAAGGGGCTCACACTAGAGGAGATTGGGAAGAAATTTGGAGATGGTGTGGCTATCGATCTCTAGGCCATGAGTGAGAACGAGAGGAAGCAATTCAACAAAAGCTTAGCTCAGGATGACGTTGAGAAATTAACGACATAGACCTGTATCCGAGGGCGAGAAGAAGGGTCTCAATTAGGCGGATGTCACTGATAGAGGGTAGGCCGAAATGAATGTCCGCTTGTTGCAATACGTAAAATCATTTACAAGCTGATTTGGGACTCGGCGTGGCTGTACATGGGGTATGCAACGCCGCCCCGCACGCGCGAATAAAGGTACACTGCTTCAGAGGCATGATCCTAATGGTTATGTGCGGCTAGCGAAAGTTGCCTTGCCATTCTAGGGAACTTACTGTTGTTTCGGCTTTTCAGGCAGGTTTGTGAGGCTAGTCGTCTCGAGTGAAACTGAGAAGTTCGGCTGCAGGCGGGGCCGAAGCAAATACTACGACACCCAGAGGGACAGAAAATATAGAGAACTTCATTGTTGAAAAGTGCTGAGGAGTGCTTGGTCTGTTAAGTCATGGAGAAAGTTGAGCTGGCTGGTTTAGAGAGAGTTTCTTTGAGTTATGATACATCTAGCTGGGTGTGTGTGAGCAGAGGAGCTTGACTGACTCTCAGTGACAGGCATTGGGCCGTCCTGCGCTTGAGAACACAAAATCCGGTGCCTTTCGGCCGTTGATGCGCGGTGGTGTTCGATTCCGAGCTGGGAAACATACACCGACAAACGTGTATGTCTTCGGACGTATGCGGAATAGAAGCGAAACCAGTTGGGCGTGAAGACTTGCTTCTATCCTGCAGCCTGGACACCCAAATGGCTTGAATCGGGCTGTAACGAGTCAATCATTAGTTAAAAAAGGAAAATTTGAAGTAAAAGCCCAGAAATTTCCCGGTGATTTGCAGTGGCAAAACACCCGGTCAGGTGGTGATAGCAGGGCCCAAGGATAAATGCTACGTCTTGGTTCACATGAAGCATCAATGCCAGGCTCATCACTGTCTCAAATCGTAGGACACCTACAGTCAAGGCACACGGATTGATCACACAGCAGCAAAGCACAAGAATTTAGAAGAGTCTATGACCACATGCGCCAACAGAGTCAACTTGTTGAGCGGCGTGAAGATTGATCTGCGGATCTAATTCTGGCTGTATGCATCCGTCGTCTACAATGGGGGTATCTCAGTGTGCAGGACCGTTCCAAATAGAAAAAAACTCATCAAGTGGACCTCGGGTCTCCCCTCCCCACTTGCCTGAACGCCTCCAGAGATGGATACTAAAAATGAAGAGAGAGAACAAAGGCAGGAAGGATATCTTTGAGTTGTCCAAAAGAGAAAAGCACACGCCCGTGCCATCCAGTCCTCGCTGTTAACACCGACCGGTTGGGCACCGCTGAAAAAAATACCCGCCGGAAAACAGTCCAACAACACCCCAAATCAAACAAAATAAGGAAATAAAACTACTCCAGACCCGGTCCCTCAGTCCGCGCTTGACAATGAGACGGATGGAATGGAGGCCATGCGAGCTGCGCCTGCCTTCAGTCCACGAAACCGATATCACCGCGCCAGAACACCACAAGGAAATCAAGCAAGACAGAACCAAAGTACCTCTTCACCAAACACCTTCAATGCAAACCCAAATAAGTCCTCCTCATGACGGTCGACAACAACAAGCAGATTGCAACCCTAATCCCCGTCCCCCATCGCTAGGACGCGGACTGCCAGCCGTTCTGCTCGTCATAGTAAGACAGATCCGTGCAGACCGCGGCGAGGTCCAGCGGCTCCAAGGGATAGTCAGAGTCGGTGGGCTGGAGCGGCGATGCTGCTGCTGAGGGACCAGGGTCCACCTCCAGGTATTCCCGCCGTTTCGGTTGCGGTTGCTGTTGCGGTTGCTGCTGTCGTTGCTGCCGACCGCCGACACCCTGCGCGGCCCCGACATCCTCGAGGCCCCCCTAGAGCTCCGGCGGTTGTGGGAACGTCAGGGTCTGGAGCGTGGGGTTGGCCAGGGCGTTCTGGATGGCCTGGATCTGCGCCTGCATCTCGCTGTTGGCGCGGCTCTTCTCGTCCAGCTGCTGCCGCAGCTCGTCCACCTCCTTGCGCAGCCGCTTGTTCTCGGAGCGCACGTCCTCGTCCGGCCGGTGGTCGTCCGGGTCGTCGCCCATGGCCTCGTCGAAGCTGCGCTTGCGCTTGATGGCGTGGGTGTGGGTGTGGTTGTGGGTGTTGTGGCCCGCTGCGTCCGGGGAGAGGCGGTCCATGTTCGCGGGGCTCATGCCGACGCTGGTTATGACGGCGAGAGCGGCGGACGCAACATCGCTAGTGCTGTCGTCGGTGTTGTTGTCGCCCGGGCTGTCCATCTGCATGGGGCCGGTGGTTGTGTGGACGCGGCGCAGGTGCTCGGCCAAGTTCTCCTGGCGGGAGAAGCCCTTGCCGCTGGACCTCTTGCAGTTCACGTGTGGGCAGAGGAGCTTCTTCTTGGGGCCTCCGTGTTTGCCGTGTACCTCGCGCTCGTGTCGCAGGAGACCGCCGCTGTACGTGAACCCTTGGATCTTCTCGCAACCCTTGGCGGTGCAAACATATGGGCGCTCGTGCTTGTCCATGTGTTTACTAGCAGCATAATCAGCAAACAAGACGGGCTTCGAGAGCAGACTCGGGGGACGAATATCAACTCACCTCCACTCGCACTTCCTCTGGAACTTCTTGACCAGCTCGGCGCAGCCCTCCCACGTGCATATGAACTTGCCATCCTCGCTCTTTGTCACCTCCCGATTTGGCTTCGCTATGGGCTTGATGCGCTGGGGCTGAGGCTGTGCTGAGCCGAAGGCATTTGGAGCCGCTGGCGACAAGTCCCGAACAGAGACATTGGTAGGGTCAACGTTGGGAGGACCGACAGGGTGTAATTCGAGGGCAGGCGAGGGCGACGGGTCGAAGACGGCTGGGGATGACTCGCTGGCAGGCTCGTATGTGGCAGCGGCCAGGTTTGCCATGTCGGCGACATTGGCCTCGTTGATGAACTTGTTCATGTCATGGTCGTTCTCGCCGACGGGGGCATATGGGCTGTCCTCGTGGAACGAGCGCGGCTCGTAGGCGACACTCATCGTGACGCCGGTTGGGTAGGGAGCGTCGCGATGGCTCGCGGGTGGTGGGGTGGGAAAGTCGATCAATCGGATACTTTTGGTCGGTGGCGCAGGGAGCGGATAGCCGCGGAAGAGGACGGGGTGGGTTGGTTGATATTTGTCGGCTTCGGACTCAACCGGGTATCGATGTCGGAAAAAAAGGTAGGAAGGGTGGGGTCTGCTCGTGTGACAGACGCGATATACTAGAGTAATAAATACGTGGGCGGGAGCCGCGGGTCGCAGGAGCTCGTACAAAGGCGGCGTTTGTGAGGTGATGGTGGTGATGCTTCGTCTGGGTCAGGCGGAAACGCAGTCCCAGCACGAAAGTTGTTGTGCTCTGCCGTTCAAGCTCCCAGTCGCGAGCCTTGGCCAACCAGAGTGCGTAGAAAGGACGGTCCCCGCTGAGTCAGTCGGGAAAGGTTGGGGTACCTGGGTACCTGGGTGGTTTGGTACTTCGGTACTTGGGTACGGGGATACCTGCAGCCTTGAGGCGGCGAAGAAGAGCGATAAGACGGCGATAAGAGATGGGGTGGAGAGACAATGCACGACCCCAGAAAATCAAGGCAAGCAACTCTGCCCTTTCTGTTAACAACGATTCTTACAGGCTGCAGCCGTGGTAGCTCTGGTTGTCGTCATCGTCGCAAATTGGTTTCGATGCAACACACAACGGCCCTCGAGAGTTTGGTCCGGCCGGGAACCCCTTTGTTCTTTAATAAGAAGAGGACGAGACAGGGAGAAGGTGACAGAGAGAAAGGGCCGCTAGGCAGAGATGACTCCTTCGAAGGCACTAACTCCGGCGTGGACGGAGTACCTGCTTAGGCACCTGGGCAGTGAGTGCGTGAGTCACTCTGCCTGCCACTCTGCAGTGTGCAGCTGCCAAATGGGCTAAATTATGCCGTCTCCGTAGGCAGAACTCGCGTCCGTATGATCCCTCCACCCGACTGGGGCATTAGCGATCACTGATCCTGCTGGCCCTTCAGCCTTCAGCCCTATACCTTTTTCTGGCATCTTTTATGCAGGGCATAAATCGGGTTGCCTTGGGCGCGCTTCAGAGTCGGGCGCCTTGGGTGCACACACACGCAGGGAGCGAATGCTGACGCTGCACCGCCACGTCGGCTGCCCCTGTGGAGTTTTTATGCCATGTGGCGGGCGGCCTGCACTCGCCGGCCATGGCCTCAGGGGCCTCAGGGGCTTCATTCTGGCGCTTGCCGACGCCCTCGCCGGCTTGTCTGTAAAACAAGCAAGGGACCAACGCAACGTGGCCCACTCCGTGGACCCTCGGAAGGATTGCATCAAGGCTTGTGCCAGGCACGCACATGCTCGGGCCGTGACAGCGGGCAGGGCTTCGGCAGCAAGCCACCACTGACCTCGGGGCCCAGGCCCACCCCCGAGGCATCACCACTCTCCGCAGACACCAACGCGCCGGGTGTTGGGACTGCCAACGGAGCCGCGCTTCGGTCATCGGGACAACAACATGCCGTTGCTCAGCCCGGGCCTGCGTTGGACAAGCGGGCCAGGCCCCAGGCGCACATGAGGCGCTGTCCAGGGCAAAAGTGTCGGCGACAAAGGTGTGCGTGGCAGCCTGGCTCAGCTTTGCCCTTTGGCGCAGCGGTACTGTACCGCAATGTGTGTACTGTACCATAGATATCATGATGTGTGTGCACGTAAAAACTGCACATGTGAGGGTGTGTGTGTGTGTGTGTGCCTTTGCTCGAGCGGGTGGCCACACCGAGTTCCAAACCAAGGACACCCAGGATCTCCGAGCCCCCGAGCCCCATGGTAACAAGGCTGGAGATGGAAGGTCATAAGCCTTGGGAGGCGGACGATTGCTGAAAGAGGCAGATCCAGTGTCAGTCTACCCAGTTTCTTCTGGTTCCAGAAAGATGAGCCCCGTATAGGTTACATTCGCGGGACGGGACGCTCGCCGAAGGGGAGGTGCTCCACCTGGACTGGAACTTGGACTGTGTCGACTCCGGCGCGGTTGACTTGATCTTTGCAGTTCAAGTACTCCTCTTTGGTGTGCCACAGGCGAGGACTCCATCAAGGCAACAGCCACCACAAGGCGTCACACGGACACTGCGCGTTGCTGTGGTGACTCAGCTCTGATGCTCCCGGGGGGCAACAATCACAGGCCAAGAACCTCGTGAAAGGGGGCTGGGCAGGGGCGATTGTCTCGCCGAGGATGTTCGCGAATTGCTGAGATTGGTTCATTGGCAGTGGCAGCTTTCGTAAACTGCCAGCTTGGCCTCGTAAGACGTGCAACGCGCATCTCAGCATCCAAGGGGGATCGACACACATTGCTGCCACGTCGAGAAGTGGTGCACTTCCCATGTTGTCGACACCTTGTGACCTGTACAATTGAGTGGAGTGACACGAGCAGATAGGCCTTGTCCTGCCTCGGTGTGGTCGAAATGGCTTGTGATGGTTGACGAGTCACCGGTGAGACTAATCTGAGTTGAGGACTTCAGGCGGGGAGCTGCAAGCAAACAGATGTTCGGAACCGTGGCCCAGGCATCACTGCGTTGTGTCCTGAAAAGCGAGGTTGTCACATTTCAGCCTTGTAGCCTGAGGCCCGAAACTGGGCAGTTGGATGGGTGCGACAGCAGTGACCTGGCAGTAAATTATATCCTGAAGCTGATGCAGAATTAAGAATCAAACACAATAGTCTCGGTCCATTTTATCTAGATTCGAAGACATTTGAACTAGAACTTGTCACCTCAGCTGGTGACTGATGGATGGAAGCATCTACAGAGTCCCTTACTTGGATCAATGGCAACCTAGACCAGGCCAACCACCTGGGCACCCCTCCCCGAGGTTCCACGACAACCACAACCCCAACCCTTGCGTCGCAACCTCGGATCAGATAAGATGCACACCCATGTCTGGGTACGTACCTACACACGTAAACTCACCTGGGCATTTGCGAGCTCCACGTTCGTCATCCTCTCTTTTGGATGGAAACATTTGAGGGGACCTCGAATCGCACATGATCACACAACTACTTTAAATACCTTTAATATGTGGACAGTAAAGGCATCTTGTTTTACTCTGCAAAGTAGTGTATACGAAAGTCATCCACGCGGCCACAACGTTGACTCGCCGCCCCAAGCCGAACCGAGCAAAGTAGCGAGGACCGAATCGGGCATGGAAATGCTGGGATTGGCATTCTCCACTTTGTCATTCCGATGGCCTAAACTGGCCCTTCCAGACCGTAACCCCGAATCGGCCTAAAGCATGTATGTGGTGAGTGAATAAATCTCATCGTCGTCTGGCCTTTGATCGAATTTTCTGGCCTGAGACTGAGACTGAGACTCACAAAACCCAGGTACATTGCTCTTACTGGAGAGAGCTTCATCAACATCCATCCATTCCAGACACACACATCTGGCTCGCTGAGGTTCCGACGAGACGTCCTCACTGTCTTCGCAAGCGGAGGTCTGGCCTGAAAAAACTGATAGCACGCTCCTCCATTGCTCTCCAGTTCCAGTATGGCCACCGCCACCACCAAGACACCAGGGGCCTCAGCCACAGGTGAAAGCCTTAGTGTCGGCGACGACGAGTACACCAAGAATGCCGTGGAACAGCCTCATGACGCACAGGTCCTGACTGCGCCTCAGCACGAGGACTACCCCGTGGAGAGGGTCGAGGCAGTCTACCGGAAGCTGGACCTGCGCATCATCCCAGGTACGTCCACCCGCCCATGATGGACCGACCTGTTGGCTCAAAGTAGAGTATTAACCATCAATCCAGCCTTCTGGATCCTGTACTTCCTCTGCTCCGCCATCCGCTCCAACATCGGGCTCGCCCAGACCATGAACGCCGCCCAGGGCCACGACCTCATGTCGGTCCTCAACCTGACGGCGCGCGACACGTCCACCGCCCTGGCCCTCTTCTACGTGTCATATGTCATCTTCGACTGCCCCTCCAACCTGGTCATGAGCAGGCTGAGCCCCCGCGTGTGGATGGCCCGCATCGTCTCCGCCGTCGGCCTGATCGGCATGTGCTTCGCCGCCGTGCGCGCAGCCTGGTCCCTCAAGCTGCTGCGCTTCCTGCTCGGCGTCGTCATCGCCGGCATGTGGCCTGGCATGAGCTACTACCTGACCCTCTTCTACCCCCCGAGCCGCACCGGCAAGCGCATCGGCATGTACTTCAGCGCCGCCCAGATCTCAGCCGCCGTCGTGGGGCTCGTCAGCGCTGGCTTCCAGAAGATGGACGGCCTTGGGGGCCTCGTTGGCTTCCAGTGGATGTTCCTCGTCTATGGCGCCTTGGCCGTCATTCTGGGTTTCACCTTGCTCTGGTGGCTGCCGGATAGGCCCCTGCCCCCCGGTCAGAAGCGGGAGAGGTCAAGATTCATGAGGTTTCTGCCTGCGCCGCCCGAGGCTCTGAAGGGCGAGGACGCCCTGGTGCACTACCACGATCTCAAGAGAGTCTACCACCCCAGGCCCTGGACGTGGGCAGACCTGGGCTATGTGCTGATCGACTGGCGCCTCTGGCCGCTGGTCCTGATGTACTTTGGGGTCGTGGGCGTCGGCATCGGCACCCAGCTCTACGGAAACGTCATCATCGCCTCCCTCAACCCGTCATACACCAGCATCCAGGTCAGCCTGCTGTTCGCCCCGATCTGGATCATGGACTTCATCGCCATCCTGATCGTCACGCCCATCTCGGACCGCTTCCACCGCCTGCGGCCCATCTTCTTCTCCTGCGCCGTCCTCATCCAGATCGCGGGTCTCCTGACCGTCACCTTCGCCCTGGGCAACCCCTGGGCCCGCTACGGCGGCCTGCTCATGGTCGGCTTCGGCCTGGGCCCCACGGTGCCCATCTGCATGACCTGGACCAACGAGATCTTCCAGCGCCGCCACGGCGAGGTCGGCGTCGCCGCCGCCGCCGCCCTCGTCTCCGGCCTCGGCAACCTCGGCAGCATCACCACGACGTACGCCCTCTACACCGGCTGGCCCGAGGACGCCGCCCCGGGGCCACACAGGTACCGCCGCAGCAACCTCGCCATGATCGGCATCCTGTGCCTCAGCATCGTCGCCAGCTTCGCCATGACCGTCCTGATCCGGGTCTTTGGCAACGAGCCCAGTCGCAAGATCGCCGGCGGCGATGGCTCCAGTGATGACGACTTCCAGGACGGCGCAGCTCGCCGCGAGCAGGTGCAGCGAGGCTTCGGCAGGCTTCGGCTCGGCCGGCGGGGCTAGGGGCCGGGCGTCCCATTCCCCACCCCTCAGGCGCCCCCGTTCAGTTTGACTACATACGGTCATGCTGTCAAGGGGGAAAACGCCTTGGGCGTTGTGGGCAAAATGCGACAATGTGGTTCCTTTCAGCCTCGGGGTAGCGCAAAGTGCCCCCGAACCACGCCTTACAAAACAGGATGCATCAACTATCCGCACGACGATGTCAGGCGCATGCATTCTTCAACTTTCCATTCTTAGTACACAAAGCCCCACCGAGGCCAGCTTGCCCGGGATTCCTCTTGCGTATTGAACGCCCTCTTGCCAAGCCTCAAAGTCTAAAAGTCACCAAGGCTAAGTAAGTGGGTTTCCTAACCTAACGGCGCGGCTGCGCCACCACTAGGGAGTGTAGCTCTCACGAGGCATACCAAGCGGATGAACGGATCGATATCCGAGGCTCTTTCTGGTTATTCTTTTTTCCTTTTGCATTTCTGGCATTCTTGTTCTTGTTGTTTCCTTTTTCAATATGATACCCCATCCGTGTTCGGATAACGCTGTCTGTGCGAAGGTTCCAAGGTTACGGTTTTTCTTGGCTGGGATAGAGAGCAAATCCATCCCAGGAGGGAGGAGCCACCTCGACAGCGAAAGTGCTTCTACGCCATCGCTGGGACGGCGTAGGTCTGACGCGAGGAACCCCTGGCCGGCGACAATGCTGCTGCGCTATCGCCATTGGCCGGTTCTTCGTGGGCTCGCGTTCGTTTATTTTCTTTGTGGCTTAGTTTATAATGTAGATGGAGAAGACGAGAGAGAGAGAAAGTGGCAAGGATATAATTACATGGGTATTTTTGCACCTGGAGGAATTTGATAAGCGGGTTGGATGGCTGCATCGACTGGTCGGTCCTTTTGCCACTGTTGAAAAGTGGTGCTGCCTGCGGGAGCTGAGGGCTCCCCGTGAGGCTGAAATTTGAGTCGTTTGCGTACCCCCCACCCCCCATCTTCCCTTGAAGTGTTGTCATTTTAGCCTGTGACACTGTGATGAATGACACAAAGTGTTCTGTAGGAATGTGTAAAATGCTAATGGTCTTCCGGATGGGCCGCGCTGCTTACGGCTTCGGAATTTCCCGACATGCAAGTGCAGGCCTCTGAGACTTGTGTGACAACACCGCCTCGGCCGAGAAGTCCGCCAGCAGGCCTCCCCTTGGCCTGGCCACACCAAAGGACCTACCAAGGTACCCAGCATTCCGCGCCTTGAATCTCGACCCAGCCTTGCCCCATCACCAAGGGGACAAGAGCCTCATCCTTGTCGAACCCGCCAGTCTGCTTACCTGGGTACCTGGGCTGCCATTACTCAACCGAGACTCACGGAAAACTTGGACTGATGACAAGTCCGATGGCCTTTTTGTTTCCTACCAGTACAATCACGCAAGCATGAGAGTCGACGCCATCATTATACCTCATCAACAGCCCAACCAACGAACGGACTAAACCTCACAGTCTTGAATTTTACAAAATCTGTCCTTTTTCTCCCGTGTCACAAACATTCTAGCGGAGACCATGGACCTCTCCATCTTGTGAGAAGAATTTAATCTTGTAGATCCAGTGGGGCTTGAACCATTGCCCACAGCCCAAAACCTCATTCCAGTTCTCCTTGAACACGAAAATGTTCACATAGTAATGTCGAAGACCACAGGCGTCGCGATCGAGCCCCTGAAATGACATGCTCAATCTCTCTGCCTCGCCTTCTGTACATAATGTTCCGACGATTTTAAAATGCTTTGTTTTGCACCAGTAGAGACCCAGGTAGCGGTAGTATAGGGAGCTTGCACATATCAACACCAACAGTTGGATATGAATCCGGGATTCCGAAATGCCTCCTCCCCCGCCCACTTGGTTGAGTTGTCCTCACTGGGGGTGAGGTCATTGACAATGTCCAGGACTGTGGCGTTATCGAGACAGACCAGGGTTCTTGTGGTCCGTCGCTGGGCATACGGAGGTGGAGTATGGCTGCTCGTGCGGGTCTGGAGACTCGGGCGGGGGACGTCAGTTTTCCTCTCATCCGCAGTTCTGCCTCTGGGGCCACGAGGGGGCCGAACACATGTGCACGTCGCCTGGGAGGCCTTCATCCCTGAGGCTTGCTCGTCCATGCTTTTCGGCTGCAAGGGAAGGGCACCTTGATGAAAACAGCGGACGCAATGATTCGAGAGTCCACAAAATGCTCTTGATCAGCCAGCAGTGTCTTCTTATCAGAGGCGGCCCACGAGAAAGTCGGTGCGAAGTAGTGACTCAAAGCCCGCCAAGCTTTCACTACGTCCAGAACGATGCCACAACAACAATACCAGTATGGGCAGAAACCTTCCACAAAGCCCCACAACACAAGGGATCTTGAATGCGTGCTTGATTGTCGGCACAGTTGTGCCATCTTGATGGGATTAACCTCCCAGTAACTGAGCGGACAGCCTTGCCCAGCCGTCATCTGTGCGTTTGCACGCTTTCGGCATAGCTCAACGCCAGGAGGATTCCCCTACGATACCGCCACGATGTTACCCAACGGTAGTGTCAGCAAACCCCACAGTAACTATTTAGGCTGCCGGCTGCCTTGTGACGCATGCTCCATCCCTCGCTCCTTTCATTCCATTTCTCACCCTAGAGCGAAGACCTCAGCTATCATGGCAGGTGTAGAGGACGCTCAGCATCATGCGTTTCTCGCTGTAGCGGCCCGGACGACGTTGTTTTTCCTGGCACTTTTCACCGGACTTTGCATTGTTCTCATGGGTCGGACCTTGTTTCAGAGCCTTGATGATGCCTATTTCTTCCCGAAAGACCCGGCTCTCCCCCCAGACTATATTCCTGAAGCCTATCCCGCTGTCGTGCAGTTTATTCCAGTTGTTTTTGCAGCCATGGTTATGTGGATCATTGTCGTTCAATTGAACCACCAGGACCCGCATCCTAAGACCGCCGCGAGATTGGAGATGCTAAAGGGACTGTCTGCCACCGCCGCCTGGTTGTGGCTGCTCCTGGACATAATCAATTTTGTTCCTAGGCATGATCCGTACTGGAAGTATAGGGAAAGGAAGATCGTATTTCGGGCAACGTCTATCATAATCCTATGTCCGTAACGACTTGATAACTAGATGCCGTGTACCTGCTGACAACTTTTGTAGTCATATTCTTTTATCCTCTCATGTTCTGGAGAGCAATACTGGCCCGGCAGGCCAAACAGAAAGCTGGCGTAGTCGAGCAAAGAGCCACGAGAGATGAAAGCACGCCTTTGCTGCAGCACCAATGAACCTCTCGATCCAGGGCATGGGTGGAAAGTGCAAAACCTTCCCTCGAATAAGCCATAAAAAGGATTTCATGAAGAGTGGAAGGGACAATCGAGGAGGAGACCATCTTAGCGCGGGGAGACCTAGTGGACATTCCGATCTAGACCACTTGAGCCAATATGGATGTTTGCGTTTAACACCAGTGATGTTTCGTCCTCGCTTCGATTTCGCTAGAACGCGAAGTATGTCTCGGTACACACGGCCACCAATTATTCGCCATTTATTACTGCTGTCAGACCAGGGGCTGAGAAAGTTTTGATAATCGAGGTGAGAGTCAATGGTAATGCTGTAGTACGTCTGCGTACTACCGGACCGGTGATCTGTGGACTTGCGCAATAGTTGCCCTAGGGGCCAGTGAAAGGCCTAGGCTTAACAGTTCTTCGATATGGAATACTTCCTTCTTTAAATCTTGGCTTTTGATTAGCCCTCTGGCTATAAGAAGGAGGCGGAAGGTATACTACAAGATATTTAAATTCTTGCTTATAAGGAAGTAAAGGAGGTAGGGATTCTAGAAGTATATAAAGAGAGAGACCTAGACTAAGCTTTATCCTAATACTAAGGTTATCTAAATATAATAAAGACGTATAGGGGATTTTCCTCCAGATAGTTTTGCTCCTAAAGCTATTACAGGTGTTTGTTTAAATTCGCAATGAAATTATGCTGGCACTTACATGCTACCCCTCTAATAGCTCCAAAAACACGACCGTTATAAAGGAACCCACCATTCCATCCTGCCCAAATTCATTCCCGGCCGTTCATTACTCCTAAAGTTACTATCTTGATGGCACTCATAGTTCCGGAAGGGGTTTAAGCCTAACTCCGATGTGTAGCCGATACCTTTTCCAATTGCAAGCCACTTGTACGGACGTATGATTCTCGCGTGGGAGGAGAACAAGAATCGGTTGCGTACCTGCCAGACTCGAGGAAAGTCTGTCATCCAAACACGTCGAAGTGTGCAACAAGATCGCACTCGCTCGTCATAGTCACTGTGGCTGCATGTAAGGAGGTGACGGATAAATAAGCTTAGTTACGCCACAGGCGAAGCTTGGCCTGCAATCATAATAGATAACTCGTGATTGTCAGGGTAGGTTGCAGCATCTCTGATCATCTACGGAGTACGACTCTCTTGTCTTGGCGCATTGCTCGACTCCATTTTATGCGGGCAGACGGCTTGGCGCCGTGCTACCCAAGACACCAACCACCTTCCCTTCGGGGCAAAGCGAAGGCGATATAGGTTGATAGTCCGGGCCCGCTCTCCATGGGAAAGACGAGTTTTGGGGCTGCACCACCTCGGAATTCTTATCATTCCTGCTTGGCACAGCGCTGGGGTAAGGCTTAACCTTCCTCATTCAACGATGGTGCCTGCATATGACTTCGTCTATTACTCACTCAAGAAGAGGAGGCCCGGGATGACGGTAAAATAATTAACAATAAGAATCCGCTCATCCCAGGCGTTTGTTCGGTGGACAGTTCCTAGGATCAGCCAACTCCAATTGTTCGCCCATCCACCATGAAGTCGCTCCTGATCTCCTCGCTCCTCCTGCCGCTAGCAACGGCCGTTGCGGTCCCGGAACGGGCTGCTAAGGTTGACTACAGAGGTTACAAGGCCCTGCGTGTCGACGTGGGCTCTGACGAAGCGGTCACGGCGAAGCTGTCGCAGCTCGCAGCCCATGTGCTCAACCCTGGCACCACCGGGCCTATCGATGTCGTAGTCGCCCCTGATTCGGTATCTGCCCTCAAAGAGCTTGGCGTGAGCAGCACCGTGATCGACGAGGATGTTGGTGCGAGTATCGCTGCTGAGGGAGAGCTTTCCCAAGCTCTCGCCGGTAAGTCCTTGTCTTTGTGGCTCCTGAGGTCTTGTTGCCAATTGACTATGTACTGACCGAATGTTCAAGTTCCTGATGCGTCCTGGTTCACGGCCTACCACCCATATGCCTCCCACCTGACCTTCCTAAACGACCTTCAAGCCAGCTTCCCGAACAACTCCGAGATTTACACCATTGGCGCATCGATTGAGGGCCGTGCTCTTACAGGCATTCACCTATGGGGCAGCGGTGGCAAGGGTTCCCAACCCGCCGTTGTCTTTCACGGAAACGTCCACGCTCGCGAATGGATCACATCCAAGACGGCAGAATACATCGCCTACACGTTGCTTACCCAGTACGGGTCAGATGCCGATAGCACGGCCCTGTTGGACAGGTTCGACTTCTACATTACTCCCGTCGTGAACCCTGATGGATTCGTTTACACCCAGACCTCGGACCGCCTGTGGCGCAAGAATCGGCAGACCGTCAGCGGTAACACGTGTGTCGGCCGTGATATCAACCGTAACTGGCCATACCAGTGGGCTGTCACAGGAGGTGCATCAACAAACCCTTGCACCGAGACCTATAAGGGTAAGGTCCCGTCCCGAACCCCGTAATACTGGTGGTGGTTAGCTGACAGAAATGTCTCTCGCAGGCCAAGCGGAAAATGACGCTCCAGAAACCCAGGGGCTTGTTGCTCAGATCCTGGAGCTCAAGGAATCCAGTGGTATCTCTCTGTACATTGACTTGCACTCATACGGCCAATACATTCTGTGGGGTAACTAAGTTTCACAGCCAGATTGCCACGTCCGATTATTTGCTAATCATTGATCTGCAGCTTATGGCTACGATTGCGACGCCATTCCCGAGAACAATGCTGCCCTCTCGTCCGCAGCCACCGCCGCCAAGACTGCCATCTCAGGCGTCTCTGGGACGACGTACACGATAGGACGATCCTGTGACACGCTGTACCCCACCACCGGATCCAGCGTGGACTACGTCGATGCCGTTGGCAACGCAACGCTTAGCTACACCTACGAGCTCAGGGACTTGGGAACATACGGCTTTGTGCTGCCGGCTGACCAGATTCTGCCGACGGCCGTGGAGACCTGGGCTGGGATTGTGGCTATGCTCGAGAGGGCTTGAATCGATTGATCAGTCAAAGATGATGAGGTCGCATTTGACGAGCACCTCTGTCAGTGAAAGGTTAGGCTTCCTGCCTGTCACAGTGCCATATGCCCTTGTAACTTGTTATAATACTGTATAAGATTGACATCGAAGATTCGCACCCGCGAAGTTGGAGGCTACGCCCGAGTGAGGAGCAATCTACGTCAATAAGTATAGCTCATGAGAGCTTGGGGAGGCATAGGACGACTCAGAAATGTTAACAGTACCCTGATCAATAATAAAAATAACATTCTCATAGGAGGTTAACCCATGGGAGGTTGTCACCTTAGAGGTTGGGTGTATTAACTTACCGTCCGTTTTCGCGGGTGCCAATCTCCGATCTCAATTAATTAAGTAATGATATGAGGTCGTGTACCACGAATAGGTCATGTGTTGTGACCTAAATAATACTACACAGTGCTGGCAAATCATTTGAATCAAGTAATCAGTGCTTTAAAAGCACCTCTTTGTTGCACGTCCATACAAGCTGGCTGTCGGTGAGACGCAACACAGATGATCTCGCGCAAGAATATTCGCATTTGGAAATTCCGGAGATATTCTGAATCCGGGTCGATAACAATGTAAAGCCCATGTCTCATTCACAGCTTTCCAAGGTTTGCGGTGATCTCAACCTCGACGGTGGATTCAACAGCACCAGCGCGAGTGGAGAGCACTTGAGTAGACACTGCCTAACACTATCCGTAGAATACTACCTAGGTACCTAGACAGTTTACAGAAGCGAATTGAAAAGCCACTGTCAAATTCTCTGTATGGTGAGACTTACTGTGTTGATCTTGAAAGACGAATTGCCTTGTTCTTCAGGGGCAGTTACCCCGTGGGAGTTAGGATACTGTTGCTCCGGCCTAGTAGAGGAACTTGAAGAAAACAAATAGCCCTAGGAACATCTTTCCATCCCCTTCGCCTGCTAGAGCTCACTTCCAACAGCTACCGCAACAAAGGCCATTCGGACCATACTTTCGATAAATTTCCAAGGGTCAGTATCAGATCACCCCATAAAGAGGCTGCTGGAAATCCGGCTCATTGACATCCGCCTCATTCGTGTACGGACCACTATCAGGCGTGAGACCAGTAAGCCTCGGACAGACATCATTAGCAACAACAGCTTGGCTTAGAAGTGAGACCTGTCGGCCACATGTGAAAACCAGGACCGCAGCGTCGGGCCACTCTGGCTCACCGCAATTGTGCGGGTCCCCGGCGACCTCTCAGGTCGCATCGCTATGTAGTAATCTCCAACAAAGGGTCCACGAGACAGGCAGTGTTGCGCATAATCCTCGATGTCTCGGTTGTTGCTTTGAGTACTGGATTTCTTTTGTTTCTGCGAGTGGCTTAGCAGGCTGAATCAGCGCATTGGCTGGATGGAGCGCTCGGCTGTGCAAAGTATTGTGATCTGGGAAAAGGATGATGGCTATTTCTGCCCTAAAATGCTTAGAATCCCCGAACAAAGTCGAGCTAAAATTTGAAATACTAAATGTCGGGATTCCAAGGTTCCTTCGGGAATCTGTTCAGGTTAGGCTGAATCCTTGTGGCGGCGGGCTGGAATCAATAAGCCAATATTCGGCATCCCCAACTGAAATGCTGTGTGCAGATTGTAATGTGTGTGGTAAGCTCCAGATAAGTGGCTGTTCATGGATTGTAAGATAGCAGTGGTTACATGATGGGTTATGGAATGAGCTACGCGATATCATCATCTGACATCGATATAAATAACATAGAGGTCCTCGGACGGTCTTTTCTGATGACAGATTCCTCGAGCACTTGAGCTGATTGCGAACATTCTCTTGATTGCAACTCACAGCAAAATACCGTCTTCTCTCGGAAGCCTTCGCTGTCTACGGGGAAGATGGCTGAAACTATTCTTGCTAATAAGGACCGAGCTCATGCCACACCGGTCTGGAAGGCTCTCGCGCATGAATGCCTACCCAGCCGCGGTCGCGATTTGGACCACTGGTGGAATATTACAGGATTCCATCTGGCAAATCTCATTGATAGGGCCGGCTATTCAACCGAGAGGCAATATCAAGTTCTCTTGTTCCACTACCACAACATCGTAAGTGACCCCACCACGACCCTGTTCTTAAACCATCTAACGATGACGACAGGTGCCATACTTTGGGCATGCGCCGGACTCGAAGGGCAATGTGGCATGGAAGTCAATAATGTCAACGGATGGTTCGCCCATCGAATACTCCTGGAAGTGGAGCACAAAGCCTGAAGGCAAGCCCGAGATCCGCTACTCTATGGAAGCGATCGGGGACCTCTCTGGCTCGGCCATCGACCCGTTGAACCAGCAACGCGGTCGTGAGCTCATGCAGCATCTCGCGACTGTAGTGCCAACCGCCAATTTCGATTGGGCTCATCATTTCCTGGCGCATCTCTTCGATCATGATACGGCCAAGTACCACAAAGAGAATGTAGAAGGAGGGATGCCTCCCCGTGGAACCCTTGGTCACGGGGTTGAGTACGGCCATTCGGGCATCAGCATCAAAACCTACTTCTCCTCGCGACGATTGGGCTCTAGCGGCCACCCCACCTTGGAGCAATGGGATGAAGCAATACGCCGACTGGACCCAAACAATGCCAATCGCGATGCGTTGCTGGGGTTCCTTAAAGAAAACCCGGAAGGAAAGCTCCTCACCCCATTGTAAGTGCCATCTCGTATATCGCAATCGCAAAAGGACGAGCGCGAAGGGAAAGGTCAGATGTGATGGGTGCCATTGGATCTGCCGGAATCATTTCAGAGCATTCTCTTCGTTGTGAACATCCATCAGAGGCTGACGAGCAGCAATAGCACACTGGCTCCAGATGGAGCCGCAGCAGATAAGGCGCGCCTGAAGCTGTACTTCACATCACCAAACACCAGTTTCACATCTTTGCGTGAGATACTTACGATGGGTGGCTCCATAAAGGTCTCTGAGGAGTCTTTGCAAGACCTCAGATCGCTCATTACGACTGTCCTCTCACTCCCAGATGACTACGCCGAAGATGAAGCCATCCCCAGCAAGCCTTGGACACCCCCGGCCAAGGAGATCTTCAACGACCAGCCAGCTCTCTTGGGTGGCTACTGCTACTACTTTGATATCCCCCCAGGCCTCTCAAAGACACCAGATATCAGATTCTACTTGCCAGTCCGCCAGTACGGTCCGGACGATGGCAGCATTGCTAATAGCGTTGCGAAGTGGATGAAGGCGCACGGCCGCGGTGCCTATGCCAGCAACTTCCTTCAGATGATGGAAGGCTTCGCTGAGCATCGCAAGCTTGATGAGGGCAAGGGTTTGCAGACTTATATTGGATGTATTATTACGAAGAACGGAGATCTGGATGTTACATCTTATTTTGGGCCGGAGATGTACCACCCTGCCCGCTTCGCAAGCACTAACGGCATCAATGGGCACTAGGTCTATCTTTCTCTACGTGTTCCCATTTCATACTTCCATTAATTTGGATGCAAGCTAGAAAATCTACCAGAAGCTGTCACGTTCATCAGCTCCGGAAATCTACGTCAAGCGTGCTGTTCGCAAGACCTCATGTGAATAGAAGCCCCTTCAGATCACGCGACCCAATCGAGTGCAACATAGTATCCAAAACTTCAATATACATATTCTCAGGCTAAATAACTGCCATTGCACGCTATTTTCGCGGTTTTCTGGGTAGGGATCCTTGGGAGAACTTGGCCATTACGCCGAGTTCCAAACGACTGCCACGGTCACTCCAGCATAGTTCAGCTAGGTACAACCACATGTTTTAGAATAGCGTTTCACGTAATTCCAAAGTCATAATCGCAATGCTTAGTATTACCCTTCGACTTATTGGGAAATTATCTCCACGTTGGAGGTGTCGTGTTTGGACCGAAGTCAGCACGGCGTCCACATCTGTTTTGGATCTTGGAAGTCAATAAAGTCGTTCTGACGACGAATAACACTCAAGATCACATGACATAATTGAATTTCCATGATCAACCCGAGATCTTCCACTAGACTTCCTTCGAGGGATAGTCTGTAGGCAGAGGGTTGTTGTATGCAAATGCATTCAAGGGATCCCACTCCTTCTTCAATGCCGCTAGGCGCGGCAGCTTGTCCCTCCCATAAACCTGCTCGATCGTCTCATCACTATGTGCATAGCTCACATAAACGGACAGGTCCGGATACCCCGATGTTTGGGAGAAATCAGCGCGAAGCTCGCGACCTAGCTTGTTCGAAGCATCTGCCAAGACCTCGTCACGATCGGGGCTAGAGCCTGACCAAGAGAATACCATGAGACTTCGGGACCAACGTTAGTAATCTTACGCATACTTGGATGATATTTAAGAAGCCTTGTGCAAGGAGCCGAATGGAAGAAATGACTGACATGTTTCCCTTGGCGTCCCTCCACGGGTACGCAGTGGCCTCAGTTGGCACTGCCATCGCCGCTTGGTTCGGCCAGGTTTCCAGTGCTAGAGCGCTGCCGCGGGCTTCAGGATATTCTCTGTAGAAATTTCTCATCTTTTGAAACACCGAATGATAAGTCGCGGAGTGCAGTTGTCGGACATTGACACCATAAACACTGCGGTTCGCGGCTCCTTGACAGAACGCCACATCCAGCATACCAAACCCCTGCGAGGCTGATATCTTGGACCAGGGCACCATCCTGACCAAGGACTGTGGCTGCTGGAGCTTGAGCAGTGGCTGCATCGCTACACGTCCTTCTGACTCTGGGCCCATGTAGACCCAGTTGATCATGAGCTGGGCCTTGATTGAGGGTTAGAAAAGTTTCAAGGTCGGAATAAGCCGCTTGATGTTCCGAGTGTGGTGGTAAGAGGACACTGACAGACTTACATCATCGTTAGCCTCGCTGTACATGATCATGGAGTATATTGCAAGGTTCTCCGGCATGTAGTCGTTGAATGACTGCAGTAGCTCAAAGTATTCAGCAGCCTGTGCGGCAGGAATCACCATGTCGGCCATCAAGACACGGCCTTGGCTGTGGTTGGCACCGCTGCCAATTCGTTGCAGTTTATAGGTAGCTGATGCGAAAACTCCAAAGTTTCCACCCGCACCGCGGATCCCCCAGAATAGGTCTGGATGTGAGTTTTGAGACACATTCAATAAGCGGCCGTCCGCTGTGACAAGCCGTACGGATAGCAGTGCGTCGATGACGAGGCCAAAGCGGCCTGAGTAGCGTCCTATGCCTCCTCCGAGCGTCACACCGATAACCCCCGGGCAGGAGCATATGCCAGTCTCTGTTTGAAGTGTTTGTGAGTACCGAACTTCTAATACACTAGTGGTTTTGCCGTACCACTGTCTGGAAAATATCGAAACTTACGCATTTCAAAACCAGCATCAAACACAGGATCGAGCACCTGGCTCCAGCGCACCCCTCCCCCGACTGTTAAGGTCTCAGCGGATTCATCCACCTCAACTGTGTTGAGAGCGCTGAGATCGATTGCGAGGCCATTCTGCAGTCGCCCCAGACTGGTAGTGTAGCCATGTCGACCCCCTGTTGCAAGGAAAGGTATTTGGTTCTTCGTTGCCAACAAGACCTACATATGCGCCCAAGTGGTTAGCTTGAAGTTGTCAAATCCCGTTTGGGGTTCTAATTTCTTTTGTTAAAATCATTATGAGTGGATCGACGTACCGTCTTGGCCACGTCGGCTTCAGTGGCGGGGCTGATAGCTGCAGAGTACGTCGGCGCCTCGAAGGTGTTCCATCTCTCAGTCAGCTAGACCATATGCATTAGCGAAATACTCAGGCTCTCTGGGGCAACTCGGGTCGAAGCTTTTCTGTGCCGGAAAAGGTGTGATTACCTTGTGGAATGACTCCTCTCCGGGGAATTGGATAGCGGTACCGTTACACCAATGATTACTTTTATCAAGTAGTATGTGGCGTAGCTCGGGGGTTTTCCACATCCGGAACGGCACGTAAGGTTGATACGACAACCACAGGTAGATCAAGCATGACACCAATCCTATATACAGAGCAGGGGTACCTATCATCTTGAAGTGTTCAATGCTGTTTTTTGGGAGATAACCAATGCAGCGAAAGCCTTTTGTGATGGCCTTGAGGTCGGCACCATGTATATACTGCGATGGTTCCCCCGTTTGGTTAGTGTGTCGGTCATGCATGACATCTTTTAGTAACACCGAAGGTCAGCGAGACACCGAGTGCCCGATGTCAATGTGGTCTGGAACTGCAACGGGCATTGAGCTGTTGTCACGGGACCACACCGTTAGAGGACTTTCTGTCAGTGAAAGTGTTTGCCGTGGGGGACATTATAATTTTTCAATGCGCACGCAAGGGGAATTCAATTTATAAAACAGCAGGACTCATTATGCAGGTTTGTTACACTAAGAAAGACTTCTGAAATAATTTGAAAATCTGACGCTGGCACGTCTATGTAGAATCTAAAGTCTTCTAAAACAATAGGAGAGTCAGAGAGTGACAAAGTACACGTGTACTCCAATCTGTTCTAGCCACGACATGCTCCGCTCCGTCAAGTCGCATATCTGAAGTCTAAATCCGGTGAATCCAAAATGTACCAAAGAAATGAAAATGTGCCCCAAAATGCTTCTGGAGATCGTCGTATGTGAACTAACTTACACACCATTCCTACTACTAACGGATCAAGTGAATCAAGGGTACTTGGTGGGCAGCGGGTTGCTGTATCCAAAGACCTGGCTGGGGTCCCACTTCTTCTTGGTCGCAGCGAGGCGCTTAAGCTTGTTGGCGCCGTACCTCTGCTCGAGCGTCTCGTTCCCGCTGGCATAGTTGACGTAGACGGCGAGGTCGTCGTACCCCGAGGTGGCGACGAAGTCGCGGCGCAGGTCCTGGGCGAGCGCGATGGCGGCGGCCTCGCCCAGGCCGTTGGACCAGGTCAGCTCGAACATCATGTAGGCGATGGAGTCGCGCCAGGCGTAGGCGGTGGCGTCGGCGGGGACGGCGCGCATGGCGTCGCTGTTGAAGATCTCGAGCTCGACCGTCGTCCCCAGCGTGCTGGGGTCCGTGGCCTGCGCCGTCTGGTAGAAGGCCGTCATCTTCTCGAACATGGTGCGCATCGTGGGGGCGTCGAGGCGCTTCGTGTTGGCCGACAGCTGCGTCCACGGGACGGGGCTGGGCTGGCACCACCCCTGGTCGGCGCCAAAGCCGGCGGTTCCGACCAGAGACTTCCACGGCACCACTTTCTTCTCCCATCGGACCGGGTTGAGCGCGAACACCGGGGCCATGAGCTCGAGCCCCTTCTTTTCGGGTCCTGTGTAGACCCAGTTTGCCAGGATCTGGGGCTGTAGGAGGAAAAGGGGGAGACAGTTGTTAGCCAAATTGTGATTTGATCCAGAACATGGTGGTCAGGCAGATTGAATCAAGGAATATGCGCATTGCTTGGCCTGCGCTGGCTCACTCACCTGGTTGACAGTGGCGTTGTACATGACAAATTGGATAGTAGCAAGCTCTGGCGGCATGTTTTCCAGCGTGTGCAGGATGTCAAAGTAGGAGCCGTTGGCAGAGGCCGGGATGATAAAGTCGACATTCAGGATCTTGTTGTTGTTAGGCACTTTCTGAACTTTGAACGTGGCCGACGTGACAATGCCGAAGTTGGCGCCTGCACCACGAAGAGCCCAGAACAGGTCAGGGTTCTTCTTCGCGGAGGCTTCAACCACCTTTCCATTCGCAGTGACGACCCGGGCAGAGACGAGAGCATCGATGACTAGACCGAACATGCCTTGGTACCGTCCAACACCTGCGCCGAGTCCGGCACCTAGCATACCAGGGCAAGATCCGGAACCAGTTTCTAGGCGAACCGTCAGCAATGTTGCCCGGTTGTGAAATATAGCGGAATAGAAAAGGAGGCACCCTCCGGAAGGGGAACAGGAACTCACGTATCATGAAGCCGGCCTTGTCAAGCGGGTCGTAAATATCGCCGAACCTCACACCAGCTCCCACGGTCACCGTTGCAGCCCGCCTATCAACAGAGACAGACTTCAACAGACTCAGATCGATAGACCAGCCGTTCTTAAGTGACTTGAACGAGTAAGCGATCCCGTGGCGTCCGCCTTGAGCCAGAAATCCAATCTTGTTGTCGGTTGCAAGTTGGACCTGTCGTGTGAAGATCATGTTAGCGCTCGCATTTTTACGTGGTCTCCAAGTCATGGAGTCAGGGTCCAACCTACAGCTCTGGCGACGTCATCCTCGGTAGCTGGCGTGATGCCAGCGATAAAGGTCGGCTCAGCATAGGCGGACCACCGGTCAGTTGCGTTTATGAACTCGGGCGTGTCTGGGAACGAGATGACGGTCTTTGGGTTCCATTTGTTCCTGCGGTTGAGAAGGATACTGCGGGACACGTCGCGCGGGGTGACTGCGGCCACCGCAGACCCAATACCGAGCCAGGCACTGATTAGAAGAGAAAGTCTCATGTTTGAAGCGTAGAAAATATTACAAGACAGCCGGAGAAGGTTTCACGGGTCTTCTATGAAGCTCCGAGTACTCAAGAAACACTAGAATGATGGTTGCTCTGCGGTCTACCAAACATGAACAAGTTGTCGACAACACGTTCATTTTATACTTGCCTGGGCTCGTTTACATTCTCAAGTCCACCTTCCTATCACCGCCACATTGTTGCCTATGGTCTAGGCAACTCCCATTCCCAAGTGACTATCGTGTGATGGGCTATGATAATGGTGGTGTCCTCCCGAATGGGTGCCCCCAAATTGAAGTCAGCATCCGTCTATTCTCGTGATGGCCTTGTTGGCGCCACTCCAGGGCAAAAGCATCCTCACAAGACTCCCAGACACCAACATGGGACACCAACACGGAGGCGCAGCGTGGCCTAGAAGGGGGCCCGGCTCATTTGATCCTGCCCCGGAGGAGTGTGATGTGTTAGGGCGGAGGATTTTACCCTCTACTTAGAGTTGGACTGGCGGAAGCGGATTCGTTCACGGCGAGAGCAGAAAGGCAAAGTAGTAGATGACTGTGGGATTTAGCCGCGGCTGGCTGAATGGAAGCTTTGCGAGCAATCCAAGTCTTGCTGAGCACACTTTCCACGTCGCGCTCGCCATTCACAGCCTTGGGCTGTGTTCTTTGAGTAGTGACGTGAAACTACTGGTCACGGGCAACATCAACTTTGATAGGCTGCTACCATCGCTGCTAGGGCTGGGATGAGCCAGGCAGAGTTCTAGGTTCCGCATTTGGGTGAGGCTCATTCATTACTATTCTAGAACGAGATGATGAATCCTTCAAGGCCAATTTTGAGATGGATGAGTGGGTATGAAGAGCTTGGAAGGCCTCCATTACTCATTGGGCACGCCACAAGGACTGCACGTGGCGTAGTGTGGGATCATGTAGGGTGCCACAAGATGTGATAGCTCAAGCGGTTTTATCCAGTGCCCTGGATACTTCGCACGTGGAAGTGATCGCCGAGGTGTGGTTTCAGCTGAGCCTTTGCTCGTCAGCGTCTATGGGGCGAAAGACAACAACGTCAGCTCGAGTCGGGCAGAGCTGTGCTTGGTCACTTTTTTTGCTGACTCGGATCATGGAGGACATCAATTTATGGGTCATTCGCGTTGCCAACGACTGCAACAACTTTGGAGGAGAGGATATAAGGCCACATTGTGACATGATCTACTCATGTCGATCGCATGGAGGGTACGTGGTGACGACTCGGGACAAGTCTCATCCGATCTAACAATCCAATAGCTTGGATAAGATCCTGCAGGGACCAGTTGGTGGCGTATGGCGTAAGATAGTACCAACCAGATCGAAGTTGCTTGACAGGATTCTTAGACCCTGCTGCGCGTTGCGGCAACTCCGGCTTTGAATCCCACATGCCAGTCATTGGGTGTTGTGCCACCCTCCATGGACCTCCAGGGCTGGGCCGCCACGTGGGTTTGTCCCGATCAAAGTAAGCGGGGGCTGAACGGAGCCTCACTGGTGCCTAAAGAAAATTTTCAATTTGGATTCTCCTGTCCCAAGTTTGCAAGGGGCAATCTTGGTTAAGCATGCTAAGCCGAGATCCGTAAGGGAAGACGCTGGGAGCCCGTTGCCCTGTTTTGATGCCAATCGTGTCTGTCACAGTTCTCTATGCATTTTAAACCCCATTCAGCTGTTTTCACCTGGTATTGTGATAGAATCGAATTAGGTGGTCTGTTCTTACAACATGTACATCCTGGACGTGTACAGCCCCGCCACAAAGTCGAAAACAGTCAAAAGCCAAGCACTTGCAAGAAGGCACGATTTGAATGACGGTCGAAGAAGACCCTGCGGCCACGTGGCTTCAACATTGTGAATTTGAGGTGAAAAATGTTATCTGGTACTATTTACTCTCTCATTTTGTTCAGGTCCTCACTGTCGGGTCGCTTCAGGCGTCCTAGGCTTGATGTTGACCCAAAAGTCCCAATGAACAAGTAGTGCCAGATTCTCCTGTCTCCAAATCCGTTTCTCGTCTTGGTGGACGATACTGGGCCTGAAAAGACGGAAGAACTAAGAGTCGAGTCGAGTTAGTCCCTACGTCGTTTCTAGTATTCACAACAAGAAGAATGGGGTGGGTTTTGGTACCTGTATCAGTAGTTTATGCGTCTCCATCAGGGCAATGTTCTTCCCCAGGCAGATACGTGGTCCATAGCCCCATGTAAGGAGGTATTTGTCCATCTCCTGAGCCCTTTCGGGACTCTCGAGCCAGCGCTCGGGGCGAAAGAGGTCGGCGTCCTCACCAAAGACGCTCTTGTCGCGGTGGACAACATATGGGTTCGCCCCGATCTCCGTGCCAGGAGGGACGCGGCGCCCGTACAGCTGCAGTCCCTCCTCGCCGACGTAGCGGGGGATGATCATGGGGGTCGAAGGCTGATAGCGTTGGGTCTCGCGGTGGCACGCCTCGAGATACGGCATGGCCTTGATCTCCTCAAAGGTGGGCACCGGCGACGCTAGCTTACCGCGCCTCTCAAAGTCGTCGATCTCGGCCATGAGCTTGTCGTAGACCCCCGGAGTCTGCAGGACATAGCGCACGAAGCCGCAGAAGAAGGCGGCCGTCGTGTCTGAGGCGGCCACCATCAGGACAAAGCATTCCGTCTTGACCTCCTCGACTGAGATGGGCGTCCCATCTTCGTTCTTGGCAGCCAGGATGTTGTCCAGGAAGTCACCCTTGTGGTGAGCTTTGGGATCCCGGAGTCTTTCGTTCAGTAAATTATCCCGAAACTGAAGCTCACACCGATCAATTAGAAACTGGGACTCAGACCTACGACGCGTGCAAACGAAGCCAAGGATCAGGAGGAGCGAAGGTGGAGGGGAAGGGGAGAGCAAGGATGAGGATGTTGGGACGGACGAACGGCCATGATCTTTCCTGTCCCCGAGCTGTCCCCGGGGCGGGGCATGAACAGCCACTTGGTGATGGGGCTCTGCAGGAAAGGGGCGCAGAGCCAGGGCAGGGCTCCCACGACTGCGGCAAAGGGGGCCATGTCATGAAAATTCTTGATGAGGCTGGACACATCGCGGGCCTCGCGGACAAAGCCCAGCGGCTCGCCAAAGGATAGCTGGCATATGATGTCGTAGGCGAACCACTGCGACCACGCGGCAAAGTCCATGCTGGCGCCGGAGTGGGCGAAGCGCGTGGCTAGAGCCGCCGTCCATTCCTGGACACGGGCGTCGACCTGGCCCTCGAGCTTGACCAGGTTGCTGAGCAGGAAGGAGGACGCCACGCGCTTCCGCTTGCGCGCGTGCTCCCGCCAGTCCAGCTCCTGGAAGGGCGGGGCGAGGTCGCCCAGCACCCCCGTGGTGTAGACGTCGGTCTTATTGGCACGCCTGTGGTAGATGGCGGGCAATAGACGGGGGTCATTGACCGCCAGGAGGTTCGGCGCGGCCCTCACCACGGGGCCGTACCTCTCGTGATACTTCAGGCCGAGCGTGTGCGCCTGCTTGGTGTGCAGGATCCAGAGCTTGAAGAAGTCTGATGCAGCGCCCCAGAAGGGGCCAGGCCAGTGGCGCAGAGGATGGAAAAAGACATTGTAGATGCCCCTGTAAACGGCATAGCACAAGAGAAGACCAGCTGAGATGACAAGGGTGGGGAGGGCAACAGCAGTCACTGGCTCGTGCCTGTTATTACTCACGGCCGGAACGGGTTCCATAATTGCCAAGATGGGCTAAATAAATGCAAGTGGTCAGATGGGGCAATCAGGAAGATTGGGTTGCGGACCGCAACACGAGGCTGTTGGGATCAGGGGCTTGTTTAGTAAGATAAGGGGTCAGTCAGACAACCGGGACGACCTAGCCACTTAGTCCTCACTTGTCTATATAGTCAACCTGAAGTGAAAGGGTGAATAGGATCGGTCTGCCCCGCATGCTTGCGTTGAACGGGCGTGGGATTCCGCCACGGCGATTCTCGGCAAGGCCCGGGGGACCGTTCCTCGATCGGGGACTTGGGAAGACCACTCGGTTGGACATGAATGGCCGAGACTTGCATGCACCCTAGGATATTCTCGCACCCTCATTATCCTGCTTGCTGACAGCCCTATGCCATCCATGGACGGGTGGGACACACCGCTCTCGAGAAGACTGCGGACCAGACCGACATCTGGAGTAGTGTCACGTCACATCCTACGACGAGGTGAAGCAATTGCAGTGACGCGAGGTCTGTTGCGGTTGGCATCCATCCTGCACTCCTATCCGCCCTTCCTCAGAGGCGTAGTAAGCCAGACAACCAACAAAAGATGCACTTTGTGCTTACATGCGAGGATCTCGCCTGCTTGCTTGCCTCTTGAGTGAGGGTCCCAATGGCAGACGCAGATAAGCCAAAGGATGCTGTCTGCATGCATCTCTACTACCGGGGGCACGGCACCTGGGGCGTCTCACTTGTGCTTTGGATCTTTGGCCTCCCGTACGGACTCTTATAAATAGACAGTCCGTTCGGGAAGTAAGATGATGAAGGGGACGGTAATTGGAACTCGACGCTTCCATAATCCGATCCACACATCATCCTTCGAGCTCGTGAGTGTAAGACAAAGATGGATGGAGCCGGGGATCGAGCCCCTGTCAAGTTGCGCGCCTCGTGCAACGCCTGCAACGAGTCCAAGGTGCGTTGTAGCCAGACGAAACCGACGTGCGACCGGTGCAAGAAGACGGGAATGCCGTGTGTGTTTGGCCTGTCACGCCGGAGTCACAAGGACGCGCCTCGCATCATGTCCTCCCACTCGCGATCCGCATCTTCGTCTGTCACTGGCACAGGTGCCGGCGTGCATCTGAAAGGACGCTCAAGGGTGGAAATATTGGATGACTTCAACCTCTTTTCGCAGCACCCAGCCCTGGCGCCAAACAGCGTCATGATACCTCGTTCGGCGGATGGGTTGGCAGGTATAGATGTCGCCGCCTTATGGGCGTTTGACTCCTCAGACCCCATGGACTTTCTCTCGTCCAGCAGCGGTGCCCTTGACCCATCCCTGAACTCGGCCTCCCTTCCGGGGGGCAACTGGGGCAGTGCCGACGATGCTGTCAGCCCTCTTCCTCCGTCGCCGCAGCCGCTGATGCCCCCAAATTCTTCACAAGCGCAGTCACGTCCGAACCAGCACCCGCAGCAGCAGCTGCTGCAACGGCTTCAACACGAGCAGTCATCTTTGCCGCCCCACGACCACCATGGCCCGCAACACGCCCAGGACCCTGGCTCGGGGCCGGAGGACAGTGCCTGCGCCTGTATATCGCGCGTCATACCAGAGGTGGCACGCAAGTCGCAGGCAGCACGTGCCCAGGCGGCAGGAAGGCCGCTGTCGTTCGACGTCGAGCTCTTGCAGCTCAAGCAGGCCATCCTGGCATGCGAGGCGTCCATGGTGTGCCAGTCGCACCCCTCCGACCCCACCGTCATCATGATCACCGGCCTCCTCATCGGCGACATCGTGGACGGGTTCAAGACGCTGCTGGGCGGATCAACACCAGCGACCAACACGTCGCCGTCGTCCTGCTCGACATCCTGGTCCGTCAGCGCCGCAGACAGCGGACCCACCACCACCAGCGACAGCCAGGCCAATAACGTGGGCTCACCGACAGCCCCCGCGCGGGGGTCAACCTGGAACGACCAGAAGGTGGTCAGCCCAGGGACAAGGGTTCGTCCGGGCCCCGGTAATATAGCGGGCGAGCCACGGCTCAGCTGGGGAGTGCTCCAGCTCGAGGACGACGACGAGGTGGAGCTGCGGCACCGCCTGTGCCAGCTCTACTTCCGCCGGCTGCGCAGCCTGCTCAGGAACTTCGAACAGGCCGTCCGCCAGTTCCGGGAGGCGCAAGGCTTGGCCGGATCCTCCACAGCCACCTTTATCATGGCTTGCGACTACCTGCGCATGTGGCTGGAGCAAAAGGTGGACACGGTCAAGGAGCTGTTCAATGATGCGGATAGAGACGAGCTCTAGGATTATGGAAGCATGATAGACGGTGGGTTAGAGGCACAACTTGAAGAGCTACTCCCGTGGTTGCTCGAATAAGATTGTATTATCCCCCAAGGGCCTACAAGTCACTTGAAGCCAGCCGGCGTCGGCTTTCAGGTCAACCCGCCCCGCTCCAGCTGCATGTTCATCTTGTACCTACATTCAATAGAGGAATACATAGTCTCTGAAGGTTCCTTGTTGCTGGGGAGAAAACCCTAGCTGGGTACCCCATGTGATCTTGGTTACTTTTGCAAAAGCCTTGGCCCTCTGCCCAAATTGCGCCCTCTGCCCAAATCGCCGTCTCCATTTCTTGGTACTGCTTAGAAAAGAAAATAGCTTAGTCGGACAGCTGCAGAGTGACTCTTTTTAGCCTGAACAGAGACCTGGGAAGATCGGTTGGTCGGCACTAGCACTTGAAGCGGTGGCCTCCAGACCGCCGAACACGTGCATGCATGCCCGCATTGACCGAGCGGTGGGACCTCAGGAGGGGTGGGCAGGGTGAGATGGAGGGAAGGCTGCGGCACAGCACAAAGCCGGCGCCCTACAACCTTTTGGGTGCTGGAATGCGCAGATGTTACAGGCCCAACCGCGTAATCTCCTGCATAAGACACGCCACCAGATCCAAATACCACCACAACGCGCTAAGAAAAATCCCCTCGTATATCACACAGTTGTGTCAGGACGTTGTACACTAGGCCGGACGTCGGATCTAGGTTCATCGTTCCCGCCGCTACTTGTTTTTTACTTTTGACTTCTAAGGCTTAGATAGTCCCTAGCCAGTCGACTAGTAAATAGCCGAGCCGGATTCCGATACTAGTATGGTGTGGGGGCAGGGGCTTGCCACCACCCACCTGGCAGCAAAAAGAGCCTTGGTTTGAGCAGGTTTAGGCTGGTAGGTAGCAGTATGTAGTCGTAGACATCATGATCGGCCCGGGGACCCTTGGCGGCGAGGCGCAATTGGCTGGTCCTCTGTGTTGGTTGTGGCTCGTCTGAGTGACTAGCACGGCATGTCAGACTGTGGCACAAATCTAGATTCCATGCTGCTGGTGTAGGACCACCTGCAGATCATCGGTTAGGACCGCGTTGGCGCTAATAAATAAGCGTGGTGTGTCCCTCAATACTATTAGCGTCGGGAAGGATGACAGCTGACGCGATGGATTCCCGACTCTTCATGAACCCCGGTCTGGATGTCACCCCCATGCTGCTAGCCCGTGTTGACGTGGGCGTGGCATTGGGATGATTCAGCCATCAGTTCATGCCATGGGGGTTATTCCTTTCTTCCCCGGATCTGTAACAGGTCTTGTGCATATTTTAGGCGACATAAAGACCCAGTCCTAGTACCGGGCTCCACCGCAAACGCGTGCACGGTCTAGGTTACTCTTGGTTACGCGCGTCCTTTGTCTGGGCCTAGCCATTTCTTAATACCGTAGCCTGCTGAGATGTGCTGGGCGTGGATTCCATGTTCTTACAGTGGAAAATGAATAAATAGTAGTTTAAACCACGTTAAATTAAATGTATTCTACATATAACTAAACTAACTTATACTTTAAATATAAAGTATATTTAAATAGTTTATTAGATATTTAATATTATATTTTACTTAGAATATTTATTTTAAAAAATATAAATTAAAAATAATAAAAATATTAATTATTTAAATAAGTTTATTTATAAATAAAACTTTTTAATAAATAAATATATTTAATTTTAAATTATAATAAACTTATATTTAATTATTTTATATATTTATTTTAAAGTATAATAAATTTATAATACTACTTATTTAATTAAAGTTTTAATTACTTTTTTATAATATAATAATATAATAACCTTACTATATATATTATATTATCCTATTTATAACGTGATTAAGATCTATACCCCTATAAGACAGCTATTTAGTAGGAAATGCAGCCTAAATATGCAGTGGCGTTGAATGTCAGTTGGGCCTGTGGTCGCTGCTGGCCATGCTTGCTTATGGAGTAGTATCTGGACAGGTAGCTCCGGCGTTAAAAATACTATAAGGAGCTTGAGATGATTTGAGACCAGATCCTTCTATCTGGCGAGTTTCACGCCGTATTATCAGCAATCTGAAAATTGGTGTGTCAGGGGACTTCAGGACGTATTAATGTTGGAATTGTCAAGACCGGAGAGCGGCTATCCGGGTATATACCAATAAAATACAAATTGATGAATTAGAAGATACCAAATGCCCAAACCAGACTGTCAATGAACTCAAGGATGAAAGACAGACAGAAACATAGAAAACCCGAACCAGCTGCCGCTTCACTTCAACGACTGGAACTTTTCTGCCTGTTGCGCGTTGCCCTCGGCTGCGTACTTGACGGTCCACTCCCACAGGTCATCCTGCTTGCTCTTGTCGTAGCTGTCCTTACTTGACTTGATCTCTTTCGTCCCCTCAAAATACTTGCCCGTGACGCCCTCGACCTCGGGCGACACAGCCAGGCGGGCCAGCGCCGCGGCAGACTCGGCCGGGTGGTGGACATTAGGGTTGAAGATGATGCGGAGGAGGCCCATCACGTGAGGCAGGACCGAGTTCCAGAGCCAGCGCTCGACGGCGTTGCCCTCGCGGGCGAGGCCCGTGCCGGGCATCAGGCCCGGGTCCATGGCGGTGACGGTGATGCGGCGCTCGGGAGCCCGCTCGGCCAGGCGCTGGGACAGGGCGTACGTCCACAGCACGTTGCAGAGCTTGGTGGTCGAGTAGCGCTTGCGGCCGGGGATCTCCAGCTTGGCCTTTGGCGGGTAGGCGAGCTCCTCGGCCGTGGTGTACTCGGCGTCGGGCAGGCCCGACTTTTGCGCGGGGTCGTGCGTGCCGCTCGACGTGAGGACGACGCGGGCGCCCGTGGCGAGGTGGGGGCAGAGGAGGTGGAAGAGGATGGCGTGGCCGACGTGCGAGATGGCGAAGGTCTTCTCCATGCCCTCGTCCGTCAGGTGGAGGGTCGTGGGGAACTGCAGCGCCGCGTTCATGACCAGCGCCTGGATCTGGGGCTTCGTCTTGTCGGCGATCCAGTCGTTGGCGAAGCGCCGCACGTTGGCCGGGTTGCTCAGGTCCAGGGGCATGAAGATGGTGTTGGACTGCCCCAGGGCCTTGTTGATGGCGTCGGCGGCATGGTTCTTGTCAGACCGCGAGGCGACCACGACAAGATAGTCAGGGTGTTCTTTGGCAATCTTTAGGGCTGCATGATAGCCCATGCCATTGGTACCGCCCGTGATGAGTACCGAGTTCTTGTAGGACATTTTGAACGAGGTGGAAGCAACGCGACTAAGCTGGAGTTGTAGTACGACGAGATGAGATGTGGAATGGTGGGTGAGTGAAGGGAGAGAGAAGAGCTGGCATCTTTCCTAGGCTGCATGTCCTTAATAAACGAGTCTCACCTTCTTTGCGTGTGCCGCAATTGTACCATTGGACTGCCCGCTGTGCCGTTGCTTGCATTTGGTGTGTGGCGGAATTGGATTAGGCAACCTGACTTCGCGGGAACTTTACCCAGCCGCCAAGGGATACAAGTAGAACGGTGCACGCCATGGCCTGGGTTTAAGGCATTCCTTGCCAGGGTTAAAGTCAAGTATTGGCCGACGTGAGATGGCAGGGTCACACAGAGTACATGCACCACACCCAGCACTGCCCCGGGATGGAGCGAGGGATGGGTGTAAGATGTCGGCTTTATCTCATCGGGTTTTGGTCTAGTGCCGCCGGCGTTTGGGTGATTAGAATTCTTAATTCCGCAATCACTATTCCTTCTTCTTTGTTCGGCTGGTAATACTTCTCAGCTCATGCCGAAGCGGAATTAGCGCTGCCGCCACATTGCCTAAGTAGAAGAGCCAAGAATCAGGAATCAGACAAGGGTCTAGTGATCTTGTAGCGACATGGACGGATGCTGGCTGCGAAATTCTGTTGACTTTGCAAACTATACTTTTCTGGCTGATACCTACGTACATTGGAGGATGGAATCTAGTTATTCTGGTGAAAGCGTTTCGGACTGCTTGTAAGGCCACATGGGCTGAGAAAACTGTGTGCATAAGCCAAGTGAGTATGGTAGACCTGCCGTGTATCCAGCCAGTCGCTTTATCTGTTCGATTTTGATTTTATTTTAGTTTGGGAGAAAACAAAATGCCCACCTTCATAGACATACGCAGTAAGAAGCCCATATCTCACCAAATAAATAAACTTAATTCCGAACTATTAGCATCAATGATAATGGTTGAAAAATATAAATTCATGGCCTGTGATCCGTTAAGAATCCATTCTGACCTAGTCACAACCAGCTAAGGATAATTCTTCAGGCCTGTCATGATTCCGACGCAGTAAGCCTCTAATAGGCTGTAGAATTGCACAAATCTTTGTCGGAGAATCGATTAAAGCCAGAACCCTCAACATCCACCATGGAGGTAAATGTCGACGACAAAGACATTGCAGGCGACCGACAAGAAAGACCAGGAGGCATGCATGGAAGCTCGGAGGCTGGAAGACTTTTGCGTTTGGTCATGAGAAGCTCAAGTTGAACAGACCCGAATAAGTTCTTCAAGGCCCTGGCCAGCTCATTCCCGTGTCTCTGCTATGGTGAGTTCTGGCAACGTCCGATGACTCAAACTTGGAGTATATCGATATTGCTGACTCGTTTGAATTAAAACTATAGGAAAATACCACTCCAAGACAGGGTTCACATTCCAACAAGGAGTCCACCAAGACTCAACGACACCAGCTTCCCCTACTCCCGAAGTGCGTTGGCTGTCACCCTCGGCGACAAGCATGGTCGCATTGCCATCCTATGCTTCTCGAACGTGGCAAAGCCTACTCATTCCAGGCTTCCAGCCTTGGTTCAATATCATGGTTAATGACAATACGTGTTTGAGTTTCAGCGTATATGAAGTCTAACAGATTGATCTACCACATATCTAGAAAGCGCCACGGTCCTGAGACGGCTTGTGTCGTTCAAAGGCGTCATCTACATTAGTTCGACCGAGGAACCGCTTCTGATAGGAATATAACCATAACTCGCCTGGCTCCAACCCATTGACTCTCTCCGTATGGAACAACCGAAGATTTTTCGGTAATCCCTCCTCGAATTCTGGCTGCTTAACAACATCCAAATAGTCGTAAATGTACTCTATACTAGTAAGAACAGCAAGAACCATACGCAAGCCTTCATCCTGTTCCTCCAACACCATCCACTTTGAGACGAGACTGGTGAATAGCTGTAGAAGTGTTGGATAGCACTCCTGCATTCCAGAATACGTTTCCGGCAGGTTCACAAACCATTCCATAGCAGGGAGTAAGATGACAGGGGGGTAAAGGCGGTTGATGTTGTCCTCGGGATCAAAAAAAGGGTTGTCTCTATCTTCTTCGTTGACCAACTGACTTGGGCTTGGGGCGGGTGGGCCGTAAATATTGCTGAATTGAGGAATCTGATTCAAAGCAAAGGGGAGGTCTCTCTTTTGATAGCCAGCTTTCATCAAGTGGTCTGAGGCCTGTGCCTGGAGCGAGTCGGGGACCACCAGGAACAGGCAGAATGTCTCAGTGGGGACGCCGAGATGCTCCAAAGCATCCTCGCACCAGATGAGGGAAGGAATCCCGGCTGAGCATAGTATGCCGTAAGCTCGATAGCGGGATGGAAGCGTATTGGTGTTGAAGGCAGGTGCCATCTGAGTATCGACAAACTGCTGTTCAATATTTCTGTTGTCGGAGTCCTCCTTTGGCTGACCGCAGAGCTGTCTAAGTAGATGCAGTGAATCAAACATTTCAAGAGGTTCCGCTAGTGTAGTTGCTGCCTTGTGGATGTTGTAGCTGTCGACCCTTGGTAGCACTCTGGCGTTTGAAATAAAGTGTGCCTAGTCTGTAGGTCTTTCAACGTAGACAATAGCTTGAAAGCCTTGCTCACGGTTTCGTGAACCAGAACTGTCGGTAGGAATGCTGACGAGGGAGACCAAAAGGTGGGAGGAGGGTGACAGAAAACGCAGGACGAGGAGGCATTGGGGACCCCGCATGTTAATAATAAGTACTCCAGCGATGAGGGCTTATTACTAAGCAGTCACAGCAAGCTATGTAGGTAATTCCAAACACGTTCAATTGATATAGACACTGGTAGCGGAAGATAGCTACATCTATATGAAGCGATTGCCGATGTTGAACCTCACTCAATCAGGTACGGCTCGTCACCCTGCCTCACAAACGGGCTGAGATCGACCGCGGCCCCAGCCTCCGCCTTGACCTCGAGCTCAGTCCGGCCCCAGCCGCCGAGGAAGGCCCACATGTTGGCCTCGCGGTACCGTATCTCATAGTCCTCCCAGCGCGGCGCCTGGAGGGTCTTCATCATGTGGAGCATGCTGCCGCACCAGAGCATCACCTCGCCGTCCGGCCGCCCGCCGTTCTTATACCACGACCGGCACTCGTCCGCCCAGTGGCTGAACGCCCGGTGCCATGCCGCGTTGTAAGCCATGTACGCGTCCGTCGGCCCGGGCTTGGGGGTAACCGAGTGGAGGCGCTCGGCTGAGATCTTGAGGCAGGCCTGGATGGCGTAATCGACCTGTACCTCGTGCTGCAGAAACGGTCAGAGGAGATGACTTATCAGCGCCCTCCCCCAAACGACACACACTGCTTTGATTGATCGCTCAAGATGACATCCCGCTGTCAAGGGCCCCGGGAGAAACATACAGATGCCAACACGCAGCCAGAACCCCAGTTTCCTGTCGGCCCGCCAACGTGGAAGAAGTTGGGGAAACTCGGGGTGGCCACAGTCAAATACACGCGCGGCTTCTCGGCCCATGCTTGTTGCATTTTGACTCCCCCTAGACCCTCGACCGGGCTACCTCGTCGGCATATCAAATTAGCCCTATCTGCTCAATTTTGCGCCTGTGGTGGGGCTGGGGTGGGGGTAGGAACATATAAAATGGTCCAAATTCGAGAGTAGCGACGCACAAGTGGGGTGTGTACGCAACATCAAAACCGGTACAGCATATGATCATGTCAAATTCGTATTCATGTCCATCATTCGTCGTCAGGCCAGATTCTGTGAACCGTGCAATAGGGTCGCGGACAGTCGTAACATCTGTTTCCGGCGGCTTTAGCGTGAGAATGGCCTCTTCAAATGGACGCCCAGTTCGCATCGGTACAAGCGAGTGGAAGGGGTCTTACTATCACGGAGGAGGGCCTCAATAAAGCCCTCGGCGGGCTGTTGTGGAAACGGGGCGAAACTGTCAGCACCTGCTCTACGTTGACAACTCAACCCAGCCACACGGGCTACTTACCGTGTTGCGACGACAGCCAGGCCCAAACTCGGGGATGAAGGAGTCCGCCAGCTCGCGGCGCTCGGGTCCAAAACGTGCCCGGATGCCCTCGGCCATGGCCTCCGTGGCCGCCTTGGACACGACGCTGTCGCGCAGGAAGACGCCGAACCAGCGCTGCAGTTCTTGGTCCACCTTCTTCCTGTACTCGAGCAGCCCAGCGGGGTCCCCCTTGAGCGCCGCCCGCTCCGCATCGGTATACAGATGCTTGCCCAGCGGACCGGGGGTCTGGGTCTTGTCGGCCTCCACGCCCGGCACGGGTATGTCTTGCAGTCCCAAGGGCGGCGTGAGCCACTGGATCGAACGAGCAAACAAGGTGAGGGACTTGGAGCCTGAGGGATAGTCAAGTCAGCTTGCTGAACTCCAAATACTGAGCTCCACCGCGTTTCTGCGGCGGGTAGGACTCTGTGCGCTTACCGTTGGCGAGTTGCGGCGTCACCTGTACGCCACTGGCTCCAGAACCAATGACTGCTACACGCTTGTCTTTCCAGTCGAATGCCGGATCCCAGTTGGACGAGTGGCAGATTTGTCCCTTGTAGGTCTCTAGTCCAGGAATATCCGGCACTATGGTGTACTTTGAGTCAGCCTAGCAGTCAGGGCGTTTTGGTGCCTTTGGCGCGTTGCGGACGCTCAGAACCGGGGGGCGAAACCACAAGGCAAGATAGACTGGATCATGCTTACTTTTCCACTTGTTCAGAGGACCAGAGCCGTTGATGAGAACGTTGCATCGATCCGTAAACTGGGTGCCATCCCGGCGTTTCAGCTCGACCACCCCTATACGATTAACCGCGGCTGTCAGCATGATCCTGTCTGAACGACATAGCGGGGCCAGTTCAATGCGAGCTCTCACATTCTCCGGTGGCGTCGTCCCACTCGGCGCCCAATACGGTCGTATCCAGCTGGATGAATTGTCGCAGGCCGTACTTGTCCGCGAAGGCTTCCATGTAGGCAAGGATCTCCGGTGCTGGAACGTAGAAGCCTGACCAGTCTGGGTTGGGCTCGAAGGAGAAGGTGTAGGAATGCGCGGGCACGTCGCAGCCGCAACCAGGGTAGCGGTTCTCATACCAAGTACCGCCTATGCCGGCATTCTTCTCGTAGCATACAAGCGAGAAGTTCCGCAACGTTTTCTGTGCCTTGAAGGCAGTAAGAAGTCCAGCTGCTCCTGCGCCGACATGGATGATGCGGACCGGCGTCTGTTGCGAGTGATACTGGTCCTTGAACTCGGCGACATTGGGCTGAATCTCTTTGATAGCCATGGTGTCGTATACTGAAAAGTTTGATATCGGATACGATGTCTTTGTTGTCGATGACTTTGGTAGGTGTTTTTGGTCTACTCAAGGCTTCTGGGGCAAGCGTGAGAAGGGCCGAGCTGTTATGTCACCTTCGTAATTGTGGAAAAGTATCAATGCAATGCGATCCTAGACTCCCTTTCGCGTCTGGTGGATACGGACGCGGCGATTTCAAGCTACCAAGGTACACATGGCCTGATGTCAACTTGATGCGTAGCTACTTACTCGGCTGTTCATAACATAATTCCATGCACGTTTGTGCCCGAATGCCGACGAGCTATTCCCCAATCTAGACTCTATAGGTAATCAATGGCCGAAACATCTTCATAATAATCCAAGTAGCATCATATAGTTTTGGTTGCCGTGCGTCTACGGGCACTCGGCATATAGGGTAGGTTTACTGGTGCACACATAAATACTTACTTGTGTTCCATATTTGTCCGATGACTATCAAACACAAGCCCGCCCGCAGCAGCCTGGATACCATTAGCTTTGAAGACCCAGTTTCGGCCGAATACTCCATTACCTATGGAGGTCTCCGGTTACGCTCTGATCGTGGGTGGAGGTAAGTAGACCCGCTCAGCCCGGTGGTCTGTCGCCGATCAGGCATGGCCGAGGTGCACCAGCTGACAAGCCCATACCCATGGCCGTAGGAAGCGGGATAGGCCGCGCATGTGTGATGGCATTTGCGATCCAAGGCGCCTCGGGCATAATGGTGGCAGACCTGGACCAAGCCGCCGCCAAGGCCGTTACCGACGAGGCCATGCGCGTGGCCGAGAACCCGAGTCTCCGGATCCACTCGCGGGGAATCGACGTGCGAAGCGAGGCGTCGGTCGAGCAAGCCTTCCAGGACATGGCCAGCCTTTTTGGGAGAGTGGATTACTGCGTCAACTGTGCGGGGATCGGGGTTGAGAAGGCTGCTGCTGTCGCCGAGGCAGATGTCAGCGAGTTCGCCCGCTTCCTCGAGGTCAATGTTACCGGGACGTTCCTGGTGACGCGCGCCGCGTCGGCGGTGATGGCGGCACAGGAGCCGCTCCCACAGCTGCAGCGTCGTGGGCCTGGCAAGGAGGCGGTCGGGGGACGCTCGGCCTTTCGAGGCGCCATCGTCAACATGGCGTCGGCATCGTCTTACGTTTCCACTCCGGGCATGGTGCAATACACGACCTCCAAGCACGCGGTGCTGGGCTTGTCGAAGAATGCAGGTCTGTCTTGTCCCGCTTTACCGCCTCCCCGGAAACCATGCAGGAGTGTCTCGGCGACAGGACTGCCACTATACTTGATACGGCCGGTATGCTGACCCGCTCTTTGGGGTTGACTTTAGCACTGGACAATGCTGCCCATGGGATTCGTGTCAACTGCATCTGCGCCTCTTGGGTGCGGACGCCCATGGTGCAGAAAGCCATCGACAACGTGTCGGGCCTCGACAAGATGATCGAAGCAGCTGTGCCGATGGGTCGCATGGCACTCTCCGAGGAGATCGCCGACTCGGTCATCTTCCTGTGCAGCCCGCTGTCCAGTTTCATTACTGGCTGCGGCCTCATCGTTGATGGGGGCACCACGCTTACGTCCAAAGTCTAGAGCAGGCCGGAACTTCTTGGTTCAATTTGGTTCCAAGGTTGTAATGGCGTGCATGAGAGCCCTCGTGCGCCACTTTGGCTGAATTATTGCTGGGGAGGGGTGGGATTGGGTTGAATGGGCCGCAGATCCCTTGAATTACGTGCATGTACTTCGTGCTAGTAGAATGCAACACTGGCAATCGCCAGGGATCTTGATGATTGACAGGGCGCTAGCAATAACACCCTCGGTGCCACAGTGCTACACTGATACTGCGCGATAGGGACGCAATTTTCTGGAACTCACACTTAAGCTAAATTTATAAGTTCACGATAAAGAGAAGTAGAATATTGTAATTAACTTAAACTAAAGACAATTTATTATCTAAAAAATATTAAAATTAGTATTATAATAATATATAAAGAATCTTTATTAATTTATAAAAGTTTATTATATTTTATTTATATAATAATATTTTTAATAATTAAATAATATAGTTATTTGAATTTAATAAATAATAATATTATAAAGTTTAAAAATTTAAAAGTATTTAATAGTTTAAATAATAAATATAAACTATTTTATAATTTTATTTTTATCTTATATTTATAATTAAAAATAATTATAAAATTTTATTATTATTTTTAAAATTAAATAAATAAAGTTAATAAATTTATTATTTATATTTATAATTTATTAATATATAACTTTAATTTATAATATTTATTATTTATTAATAAAAATTTTAAAACTATATATAAAAGTTATAAATATTTAATATAAATTTATTTTAATATACTAACTTTAAAAAGTATTATTTTATATATTAATATTGATATTAAAAATAGTTTTTAAAATATAACTTTATTTTAATTTTTTTATTAAAAGTTTATAATTAAAATTAAAAGATAATTATTTTAATTAAAATATAAGAGAGATAAAGCTTTTAAATATTATTTAAAATTATCAACTTTTAAATAATACTTAACTGATCTAAGAAAAGAAGAAAACTAGAAAGGAAGCCTTTAATAGTTCTAAGTCTAGAAGAGCTTAGGGCCTTGGAGGCTGCAGGTAGCCCATGTGCCTAGTCGCCCACCTTAGCCCCCAGCCCAATGCGGCCATAACAGTGGTCAGAATCTGGGCCGGGGACATCCCTTGATTTTCAGGAGCTCGGGTATGCCGAGCCGGCCATCCTCGATGTAACTAGGTGCTAAGTAGGTACCTAGGTACGTTATTCTTCTGGATATCCCTCTATCCCGGCAAGCAGTGAACTCACATTGCCCGCGTCGCATGCCCGCGTCGCAGTCCAACAAGCACCAATTCTCAGCGGTCGTCACAGCCTTACTCCGAGTCCGTGGTCTTCTTGGCCGAGCATTCGGCTTTGACATAGCACGCAGAAGTGACAACGCCGGCACCGTGCATCGTGGCAGCGTCTCGCCTGTTGCAGGCTGCGTCAACATCATCGGGCTTGCTGCTATCTGTGCGCACTCTTACAATGCATCGGCAAAACGCAGTTTGGTTTGAACTGAATGCCGATTCCATCACAGGAAACTCCCTTCCTTGTAGTCATATATGAAACTATTGGTATTAAAGTGCTGGTAATTCTTAGCGTGGCTCTTCCTTCTCGCCCTCTCAGCCACGACTGGGTATACAACCTTCATCGTGTACTGTCACATAGTCAGCTAAAGACTCAACTCAAACATCATGGCTACTACAACACAGGTGCCTCCGAGCAGAGACGAGGGCCCTCCTACTGGCGCAGAGGGCTTCATCACCGACGGCTTCCCGGCACCCGGCCTCACCAGGACCAGTCGCCACATCACGGGCCATGATGCTGAGGGCAAGTCCGTCTTCCTTGTCACTGACTGCGGCTCTCACCACCGCATCATGGGCGAGAACCAAGCAGTCGCCACCATCCTTTACTCGACCAAGGAGACTCCCATTGAATGCAATGATAACGCGGACATGAAGTTTGCCAAGGAGACCGAGGTAAGCCTTTTTGAGCAAGAGTCATGACCATGTATCGACAACATTCTAACACGGGTTGGATCCTATGACAGCCTCCGCTGCATTACCCTAATGGGTCTGTCGTGCGCATGATCGACTTCGGCCCGGGCATAGAGTCGCCGTTGCACCGGGCTATCTCGGTAGACTACGGTGTCGTCCTGGAGGGAGTCTTCCAGCTGACTCTAGATTCTGGAGAGTCGCGCATCATGCGGCAGGGTGATGTATGCGTCCAGCGAGCCACATCCCACAAGTGGAAGAACATCACTGGCAATGGTACTTTGCCAGGTCGCATGCTCTGGGTCTTGCTGCCATGCAACGATATCATGGTCGGCGGGGAGAAGGTGGAAGGCTTCCTGGGCCATCTTGAGAAGGAGTACGAGCGATAAACCAGCCATCAGATAGCTTGTCAATTGGGACGAATCGTCGTCTCCATACACAAATGCATTGTCCAAGCATCCTATACGAGACTGTCAATTGAAATTGATAAGGCATCAAACTTCAGACTACCTAAATAGAAACTTTCTCTTCTATAAAAATTTCCACAAATACGTTCAAATACCTTGCAAGTTTTATTAAGATAGTCCTTCTGGTCATCCCATCACACTGCCTTGCTTAAAATGTTTAGTTTACTGTCTTTTGGCCCCCGATCGTAGCTAAATTCTCACTACCAGGTAAAGCCGTACGAGAAGATATTGTGGAGCGTGTGCAGTTCGATCTCTGAAAACTGCCTATGTATCAAGCAGACAGAGAATGGGGTCACAAAAGCCAGACATACCAGCCCGTCACTTAGCCGTTACAATACTAGGTACCTAGGTATATAGAGAACTACTGTAATTGAATGGAACGGGATATTTCCGCAATATGTGGCTGTAACTTGTGTGAAACCAAGCGCATGAACAAACCAAATCTTATCATTTTCAAGAAATATCTATATATTTATATGTCCTTTACTAGGTACTATCCGCGACAGGGAGCCAAATCCCATGCTTAGCGGACTTTTTGTGCAGCCTGTAACTTATTGAAATTGAACATGTTCCACATGAATCCATCCTAACGATTTCCATTTCCTAGATTAGCTACCATTTAATCCGGTGGTGTATGGAGGTACGTAGATGTAACGCGGAATAAGACATACCCAAACACTCTGCCATGCGAACGTGTTGAGAAAGCGGACAATCAAAGTCGTCTTGCCGTACCAAAACCAAGCGGAGGGTGCAGGCCGAAGGCTTTCTTGGACGACCTTTGAAGCGTACTGAAAACGATCTGTCGTGTCTTTAATCCATGGTGAGCGAGAAATTCAGGGATTGAAGCGGGAGCTCATGCCCAAGTGAAGTGGGATTGACTCACCAGGAACTCTGTTCACATGATCTTTGAAGTCTTGGGCCAATGGTGCGAAGTAGGACCCTGCTGATTCGTTAATGATGCAACCTCAGCCAAAGCGCAAGCCACTGACCTTTTCGAAGTTCTCTTCCCGCGACTTGGTCGCTCTTGAGTATGTTTGTTCCGATGTTGCCAGAAATCACCTGGAGTTCGAAGCTCAAGTTAGCACGCGCGAGTGACGGGCAGGTCAAGAACTAAATCGCCCTTGGTGGCAAGCTCTTACTGTGACGACCTTCACCCTGCAGCGCCTCCCGGTTAGCCTGTAGTATTTTCCACATTTCTGACAGGTCAAACATACCCCAAAGGCGCCATTTCGACTCTTAATGTATTCGACCAGTGATGCAGGGCGGCTTTCGTGGCATTGTAAGCGGCTACATGCAAGAACGTCAGTAACCAAGAGTACAGGAGACGCGAGGCTCGAATATTGTTTTGAGAACTTGCATCCATAGACGTATGGTACTATGCCACCGACTGACCCGATGCTGACCACTGTGCCGGAAGATTCTACGAGCATGTCGTGGAAGTGATGCACCATACGCATGGGCCCGAAGACGTTCACATTGAACATTTTCGCAACAGCGTCCACATCAGTGTCTATTGCCGTCATGGTATAGCCTATAGTCGGCATCAGCACAGCATCACGCCTTCAACCATATTGTGTCTTACACATTCCCCTGAAAAGTTCCAAAAGTCAGTGGTCTTATTCATTCAACGGATAAAAGCTATAAGCGGGGCAGAAGCCGATAACACTGACGCGTTGTTGACGAGCACGTCCAGGGAACCTCCAGTGAGCTCCAGCAGACGCTTCTTCAAGTCAAGAACCGACTCTTCTTTTGTTACGTCGAGTGGGAACCACTCAATTCCCGCGTCATCTAGATGCTTGCTACTCTCAAACGGGAGCAATGTCGCGATGGGCCGGAGGCCCCGTCGTGCATATTCTACAACGAGCGCCTCGCCTATCCCGCCTTTTCCACATCTACATGAGCCCAGCTACACATTAGCTGGAGGTCCAATAAAAATGATTCATGATAAGATACACACGAACCCTGTTACCAACGCAAATCTTTCCTTGTTCCCCATTGGCTGTTTGGGGGTATACGGGCGATCAACTTTGATTAGATTTCTTTGTCAATGGGGCCTCAACAGAAAGTCCAATAAGACGGATAACTTGTGACTGACTGAACCAGAAGACAGAATGTGTCGCAGCTCATTCAAAGGTCCCAGCAACTAGAGTTCGAACTCGCCATTCAGCCACCTCATCCTGGTCGGAGACTTGTACACCGCTGAAGCGGTTGGCACTACTTTAATTATCCAACGAGGCTGAAGAACGCCAACCAACAAAGACTCATCCTTCACTTAGTGTACGTAAATACAGCCTAGAGGCCGAAATGTGAGCGACATCGAGCAGGATGGATTTGGATGTCTTGAGATTCCCGCGTAAGCCCGATGTTTGGCTCCTCGGGGATGCAGGAAAAGACCGCGTACCCGACATTTGCGGACCAATCACGTGGCAGAACAGCAGGCGATATCCATCTGGGACGGTCACCTTGCCTCTGCAAAATGGTCTGCGCAAGGCTGGTTGGTATCAACGCACATTGGTTTCACAAAGTGGCTGCATCGAAGGATCAGGTGATACACCTCCAACCGCAGAATCAGTGTCTGTATTCCCACGCATTCGCCGTTTCACAGGGAACGTTGAGCCATTCCCACCGCTGTAAGCCGACCGGCATGCCCGTCATCTGGGAAGGACTTGGAGCTGTTTGCTGGGCTAGGTCTCAGTTGCTATCTCGTTCCAATCATGGAGGCCATTCGCCCGGATATTAGTCATGTTTACAGCCAGGAGAACAAGGCCAATCATAACACTCAACTTGAGATATATGCTGAATGCAGCAAAGTTTGGATTTATATAAACCATGGGGCATTCGCTACGCCAATTGTTGACTTTCTAATTGCAGAGCGATAACAATTTCGGATCGCACCTTCGCACCACCGTTGAATTTGCGAGAGAAGATGGAGGCCATAATGCCAGAAAATGGCTTGCACCTCAATGGTGTCAAGCTGCCTGCCAATGGGCCTACGGTGATTAGCCTCAAGGAGATGAAGGCTGCTGAAAGCAGTGAGGAGGCATCTCTCGCCGCGACCGCTGATGGCCGTTTCGATTCGGCGACCGCCAGTCACTCTTCTGGACCGGAATTGGAGTTAGAAGATGATCCTGCGTGCATTATTGGGATTGGTGCGTCTTTTCCTTCCCTTCTTCACAGATCAATGGTCTAACAAACCGCAGCATGCCGGCTCCCAGGAGGCATACGTGCCCCATCCGATCTGTGGAATTTGCTGAAGGCGAAGAAAACCACACAAGGGCGGGTCCCAGCCGAGCGGTTCAACATGGCTGGTTATTATCACCCAGACGGGAAGCGCGCGGGTGCCATGGACGCAGATGGTGGCTACTTCCTCGACGAAGACGTCCGGAAGTTCGATAACGAAATGTTTGGGCTGAATAACCTCGAGGCTACATACATGGATCCTCAACAAAGAAAACTGCTTGAAGTCACATACGAGTGCCTCGAAAATGCGGGCCTCTCGATGGAAGCGGTCATGGGATCGGACACTGCGGTCTACGTGGGCAACTTCACTGTCGACTACCAGACCATGCAGACTCGGGATCCAGATTACCTCCACCGTTACAGCGCGACGGGGTCCGGCACCGCCATCATGTCCAACCGCATCAGCCACGTCTTCGACCTTCGCGGACCGAGCTTCACACTTGATACCGCATGCTCCTCGTCCATATATGGCCTGCACAATGCTGTCATAGCACTGAAAAACGGCGATTGCGAAGCTGCAATCGTCGCTGGAGCGAACCTCATTACGTCTGTCGAGCAACACCTCGGTACTATGAAGGGTGGTGTCCTGTCGCCAACGTCTACGTGCCATACCTTCGATGCCTCAGCCGATGGTTATGGCCGGGCCGAGGCGGTCAACGCCATCTACATCAAACCGCTCTCGCGTGCCCTGCGGGATGGCGACCACATCCGCGCTGTGATCCGTGGCACAGCCGGTAAGTAACCGTCATTTCATTCTAAATGCACCAGATAATTCCCATCACTAACCATTCGGTATCTAGTCAACTCTAATGGAAGGACAAACGGCATTACGCAACCCAGCGCCACCATGCAGGCGGCCGTGATCCGCAAGGCTTACGCCAATGCAGGTCTTCGCATGGACGAGACCGACTACGTCGAGTGCCACGGCACCGGTACCGCTGTCGGAGACCCGATTGAAGTCGAGGGCATCGGGAAGGCCTTTGCCAGAGAGGGAGATTCGCCATTAATGATTGGTGCGGTATGTTTTCGCCCTCACACCCGATGTTCCCTCGTTTCCCTACCCTTTTTAGACCTGATACCACGGACGTTCAGCCCAGTTTCAAATCACTACATGAATTCACCTGAGATTTAACACGTGGAGATTGCGAGTGACTTGCACAGAACTGACGAAAGATAATAGGTCAAAACCAATATCGGCCACAGTGAGGCGGCTAGTGGTTTGTCCGCTATTATCAAGGCAGTCTTAGCCTTTGAAGAGGAGATGATCCCCCCAACATACGGGGTCACAAAATTGAATCCTAAACGTGAGTCACTCTCATACATTTCGGTCCGCCGTTGTGCCCTTTAGTCCCCTCTACGAAAGATAAACCTCATGTGCCGCAAGCCCCAAGCGCTAACTTACCTGCTTGGACACAAAGTCAACCTCGATTTGTACAACCTCCAAGTGGTCAATGAGTTGTCCAAATGGCCCCGACTTCTGCGAAGAGCTAGCATCAACTCCTTCGGTTACGGTGGCGCGAACGCCCACGTGATCTTGGAAGCGCCAGAGAGCTATGTGTCAGGTCTCGAAGGCCATATGCCGGGTCCGGGAACACCTTCATCGTCTTCTGAGTCCGCATCTAATGTGTCCTCGGACTCGGGCAATACTTTCGTACTTCCGGTCACGGCAAAGTCCCAGTGGTCTTTGAATAAGCGCATCGAACAGATCACACAGTACGTCAAGGAGCATCCCGCCAATACGCTCCCGGCCTTGGCCAATACGCTGGCAAAACATCGCTCTCACCACCATTATCGTGCCTGTATCTCCGTCAGCAAGAATGGTGATCAAGAACTAGTCACTGAGGTCTTCAAGTCTGAAGAAAAGCCAGAGGTGTCCCCACCGCCTTTTGCTTTCGTCTTCACTGGGCAAGGAGCACAATACGCGGAGATGGGTCGCGAGCTTCTTCTGAACAATGCCGCTTTCCGCGCCTCAATTCAGCGCCTAGACCTTGTACTCCAGGACCTTCCGGAACAGGACGAAGATGGTGTGGGTTCCAGACCATCCTGGACCCTCGAGCAAACATTGCTGGATCCGCCGGAGACGACCATGATCAACGATGTGACTCGCAGTCAACCCATCTGCACGGCTGTTCAGGTTGCCTTGGTGGACCTTCTGTCAGACTGGAACGTTATGCCCAAAGCCGTCGTCGGCCACTCGTCGGGCGAGATCGCAGCCGCCTACGCCGCGGGTTGGCTTTCAGCAGCTCAAGCCATCAAAGTCGCCTACTTTCGGGGGCAGGCAGTTGGTAGACTACAAAGCAAGGGTGGCATGCTCGCGGCTGGTCTGGCGGAGGAGGAAGCTACCGAACTGATATCCAAGACAGAAGGGTTGGCAGGGCGTGTATGCGTTGCCTGCATCAATGCACCGCAAAGCGTAACGCTAAGCGGCGAGCTGGACGCCATCAATTCACTGGCTAAGATCCTGCAGGAGCAAGGGAAATTCGTTCGAGCCCTGAAGACGGGTGGACGAGCATACCATTCTCACATGATGAAGGAGGTTGGCGCGCTTTACGAAGACATGCTTACGCCGGTATTTGCGGGCGACGACTCGAGCGACGCCGAGAAGGCCAGGCCGTCTCGCCAGGCGACCATGTACTCATCAGTCGGCTCCAGCGCCGAGAATCTCACCGTCCTGGACCACTCGGGGCACGAGAACCCTGCCAGATACTGGCGCGAGAACCTCGAGACCGCGGTCCAGTTCTGCGCGGCTTTGACCAAGCTCACAGCCAGCGCGAAGAAGCTTCATCTCATCGAGGTCGGGCCTCACGCTGCCCTCAAAGGCCCCGTCGAACAGACGCGCAAGAAATCCGGACACGACTTCCGCATCTCACCGACGCTGCTACGCGGAGAAGATGCGGAGGCGTGCATGAGGAGGTTGGCCAGCCAGTTGTTCGTTCTGGGGATCCCGCTGGAATGGTCTGCCGTCAACGGATACCGCGAGCAAGGCACCATGGCTCCGCTCCATGACTTGCCGCCTTACCCATGGGACCACACTGGCTCCCTCCTCTGGAGTGAGCCACGCCCCAGTGTCGAGCAGCGCAACCGTCAGCACATGCGCCACGAGCTTCTCGGAGCCGCCCAGCTGGCCGGGAGCGGCATCGACTTTGCCTGGCGGAACCTGCTCCGACTGTCCGAGGTGCCTTGGGTACGGGACCACAAGCTCGAGTCACAGATAGTCTTCCCGGCTACAGGATACCTGGGAATCGTCATGGAGGCCATGTGCCAAGTCCGTGGTGTACAAATTGGAGACCTGCGGTCTGGCTTTGAGTTCAGAACTGTCAACATCGGCGCAGCGATGGTCGTTCCGGAACAGGAAAACGATGCTGAGATCCACACCACGCTCTCAGCGCGCAAGATCTCGACGGCTTCAACGTCGGGCAAGTGGTTCGACTTCTCGATCTCATCGTGGGACTCTGGCGCATCTACTCTGCACTGCTCCGGCAGTGTGCGGATTCTGGGTGATGAAGATGGAGTCTCGTCCCGATACGGCCTCGTCTCGGTGCAGGATACTGGTGGGTATGAGACCTGGGGATCGATGAACAGGTGGTATGCCAGGCTGGCCGAGGGCGGCCTTTGCTTCGGACCAAACTTCCAGTCCATTACGTCCATGACCACAGATGGAGCCAGGGCCCGGCCTGAAACCATCTCAACCACACGCCTCTTCCAACAGAGCGGCCAGCACCACGCGACCAAGTACCCGCTGCATCCCCTCGTTCTGGACTCCTGTCTCCAGGCCGGTATTTTTGGGGGCACGGCCGGCGATCTCAACAGCCTGCGCGCATACTTGCCCGTCTTCATCAAGTCGTGCCGTATCCGAGCACCGGCAAGTCTTCTTGAACACGACCCCGAAACCGCGGCGATTCATACACGCACTCGCACGACGGGCTTCGGCACAAAGCAGATCGATTGCACACTTGTTCAAAGCAGCACTGGAGACGCGCTTGTTGATATGGAAGGCGTGAGGCTCTCCCTGTACAACAACGGCCCGGTTGCCCCTGTTGGCGACAGTGACGGTGGGGCTCTCGACAGTGGCCCCGTTGACGAGAGCTCCATGAAGCGAGAGCCATGTCTCAGCGTCCGCTGGAAGCCTGATATTCTCCGTCTCCAACCAGAACACACGACCAGGATTAAGGGATATCTTGAACAGGCTGTCGAAGGGTTCCCGGCTGACTTGATTGACCATGCTAGCATGGCCTATATCGTCGCCATGGTCGATTTGGCCAGCTTCAAAAACCCCAAGATGAGCGTGCTTGAGCTTGTTGACGCTGGTGAGCAATGCCAAGTTAAACGCTGGCTCAAGGCGTTGGAAGCCGAGACAACATTCCCCCGCTGTTCGTCCTGGGTTGGAGGCGAGATGGATGCTGAGGGCAAGCTTCGAACGAGTACCACGGAGTCATCCTCTCCTTTTGATACAGTCATAATTCCAGGGGTAAGTCAAAGTTTACAATTGCATCGTTGTCCATGTGGCCTTTCAGCCAAGCCCCCAATCATCGATCATTTCATCTTGCCGAGACTAGTACTGGACCGAACTGACCACGAGATCTTTAGCTCGATGCCTCAGCGGATTATACAAAGCGCACAGCAGCATTTGTCAACCAGATGAGCCCCAATGGTGGTGTTGTCATCATGCGGAAAGTTTCGGGCGCTCAAGAGGCACTGCGAAGTGCTGGACTCTCTGTCATCGACATTGGTCGAGGGGTGCTCGTGGGCCTGCGTCCTATATCCAGTGTCTCGTTGGCCAAGCGCCCCGCAGTCATTCTTGTGCCCTCTGAAGACGCTAAAAGCGCTGATAGTTTCGGCCATGTTCTTGCGAAGCACCTGAAAAGTCACAGTCCGATTTTCGGTGACGTCCGGGTTTCCACGCTCGAGGACATGGAGGAATCAGGACCGGCGCCGTCCCCGTCGGATATCTACATCTCTCTTCTTGAGCTGAAGTCAGAATTTCTGGCCACGATGAGCCCGACCGATATGAACCGATTGCGTCGGGTGACTGACGTCGCAGCTGATCTGATCTGGCTGACGGGGGCCGACATGTTGGGCTCCAGCCCAGACCCAAACCTGACTCTCGCCTCAGGGCTATCTCGAGCGCTCATGCTTGAGCAACCGTCTTTGCGATACACGGTGCTCGATGTGGGATCGCCCATTGCTACCAATGCAGACAAAGCCACACTTGATGCTTTGTGCGCCAACCTAGCCTCTGCGTTGGTGCCTGTGGATGACATGGACGACAAGGAGTTCAGTCAGAGCGACGGTATTCTGCATGTCAGTCGATTTGTGGCCGACAGGACGAATAACAGCCTCTTTCGACGACGCATGGATCCGAGTGAGCCTCTCAAACGCGAGACACTCGGAGAGGCTGGTCTCGCACGCCTGGCCATAGGTAATGTCGGGCAGATGGACACGCTCCATTTCGCACAGGAGACCACGATGCCCGACGGTCAAGCCTCGCCGCCCCCCGGCTTCGTCGACATCCGCACCGCAGCCGTCAGCCTCAACGCCAAGGACATCTACACTGTCAGCGGGCGCGTCGAGACACGCACCGGCACAGCCGCCATCGAGTTCTCCGGCGTCGTCGTCTCGGTCGGCGAGGGGGTGACGCACCTCGCACCCGGCGACCACGCCGTGGTGCTGGCCCCGAACCGCTTTGCCACGGTCGAGCGCGTGCCGGCCTGGGCGGCGCACAAGATGCTGCCGTCTGAGGACCTCTGCGTGATGCCGACCCTGCCCGTGGCATTTGGTACCGCCCTGTATGCCCTGCACGACCGGGCCCACATCCGCGCGGGGGAGTCCATCCTCGTGCACAGCGGCGCGGGGGCCTTCGGGATGGCGACCATCATGCTGGCCCAGCGCCTCGGGGCTGTTGTGTACGCGACTGTCGGGTCGCCGGCCAAGAAGGAGCACCTCGTGCGCGAGCTCAACCTCCCGGCCGAGAACATCTTTAGTTCGAGGGATGCCTCCTTTGTGCCTGGCATACGCGCAGCAACTGGGGGCCGGGGTGTCGACGTTGTCATCAACTCGCTTGTGGGCGACCTCATGCATGACAGCTGGGACTGTATAGCAGACTTTGGGCGTTTTGTCGAGGTCGGCAAGCGTGAGCTTGTTGACGCCGGGAAGCTCGACATGCACGTCTTTACCCGTAACTGCTCCTTTACCGCCTTTGATCTTACCGAACTGTTCTTCCACAAAGACCAGTTCTACCGAGATATCTGGATCAAGTAAGTTGCTTCCTCGGCCTCATCTCGATTCCACTTCCCTCTTGCCGTACCAAGCCTTGGACAGTCTGTGGCAATTCGTTACTGGTGTAGCATCTGAGCTATGACGCTGACTTCACACAGCAAAACAAAGGAGGCGCTTGAGCTGTATCGGACTGGGGAAATCAAACCGGTCCCGATCGCTACATTTGATGTTTCCAAGTTGTCACAGGCCTACCGCTTCTTCTCCGGAAAAGATCGCATTGGTAAGGTTGTGGTATCCATGCAGGACCCAAGTAGCCTCATTCCGGTATGCTGCCCCCAATGATTCCTCCCCATAGTGACTCCAGGCTGTGAATTCCACTCGCATGGTACGGAGGAGCACAAGACGAAGACGCAAACACTGACAGTCAGCAGGTCATGCCCGCTCTGTATCAGACAATCCTGAGCCCCAAAAAGGTCTACCTGCTCGTTGGGTGCTTGGGCGGCCTCGGCCGCAGTCTGAGTCGATGGATGATGTCGCGAGGTGCTCGTCACTTCGTCTTTCTGGGTCGCTCTGGCAGTGACAAGCCCGAAGCCCAGAGCCTAGTGGACCGGCTCCGGGGAGCCGGTGCTTCCGTGGAGGTAGTTCGAGGCGACGTTTCGAATCCAGACCAAGTCGATGCTGCCGTCGACGCCTGTTCCGGCCGTCCCATTGGCGGCGTGGTTCAAGCCGCCATGGGTCTGAGCGAGGCACTCTTCTCGAGCATGACGCACAAGGCCTGGCACACGGGGATCCAGCCGAAGTGGGCAGGTTCGTGGAACCTGGACCGCTCCCTGGCCCGCGGCGGCCGCGACGCGCAGCTGGACTTCTTCCTGCTCACGTCTTCGGTGAGCGGGAGCGTGGGAACGGCAACCGAGAGCAACTACTGCAGCGCCAATGGCTTCCTGGACGCCTTCGCCCGCTATCGTCGCAGCTGTGGCAAGCCCGCGGTTTCGGTAGGCCTGGGCATGATCTCCGAAGTAGGCTACCTGCACGAGAATCCCGAGATCGAGGCTCTTCTTCTCCGCAAGGGCATCCAGCCGCTCAACGAGAATGAGTTCCTGCAGGTCATTGACTTCGCCTTGGCACCAGGGGCCACCGCGCCACATATCCTGACCGGCTTGGAGCCCTTTGGGCTTCGTGAGCTCATCAGAAAGGGCTTTGACGTTGAGAACGGGACCACGCAAGATCCACGGTGCGGTTTCCTTGCCGCTGCCCTCTTCGCCGACCAGGAAGCGAGCAAAGATGCCTCGTCCGCCGGCACTGTCACCTTCACAGCGGCCCCAGCCTGGCTCAAGGCGCTGCCTGCGGGTACCGCGGCCAAGGCTTTGACCGCAGAGGCAGACGCCCCCACTCTGGCCGAGGCCGTGTTGCGCCTGGCTCGCAAGCGCTTCTCAAACCTGATCCTGCTGCCCATCGAGAAGATCGACGATTCCATGGCCCTGCCCCAATTTGGCCTGGACAGTATGATTGCGGCTGAGTACCGCACATGGTTCTGGTCGACTTTCAAGGTCGATGTGCCCTTCTTGGATATCATGAGCCCCAAGAAGTCATTGACGGCACTGGCGAGCTTTCTTGAGGAAAGCATCACTGCTTCTTTGGCTAATGAGGGCGCGTGATGCATGACTTGGAGGTTATGGGACCAGTATGCCAAGAACGCCGACACAACAGACCATGCCAAGTTGAAATGAAGATTTGGAAATCCTACGCATATTCGATCCTCTTGTATTCCTCTTCGTCGTATGTTGGGCAGTGGCACGGGGTCCCTAGCGGAACCGTCTTGATCAGACCTTGTCCACTATGCTGTTCAATGCGGCCCAGTACTTGGCGAATGAACAGTGCGAATCTGTTGGAGCACATCGAGAGGTGTTGTTGGCTGCGGCAGCTGTGATAACAGTGCCCAACAAAGCGGAAAGTGTGGCAGGCAACATAATGTTCAACTTAAAGTCAAGCTGCAATGAAGAATATGTCTGGATGCTTCAAGTCGTTGGATGAAGACTATGATCTATCTCCGGTGGTTTTAGGCTGGGGTATGAGCCCGAGGTGTCTATGTATTTATATTATACACTTCCTTAGTTCAAAGGCATACCAAGATGTCAGGCAATAGACGTCGATCATGACATCCTTCCCTGCCAGGACCTCAGTGTTGTACCTTTGACGATCTCAGTAGCTTGACATCCACGGAGTCGGGAGGTCTCGCTCACTGCTTGCAATGCGGTACTTAGGCATCATCCTTCTGCATTCGATTGAATCAATGACTATACAAAAACAGGGTCATGGGTAGAAATCATTACTTCTAAAAAAAGTACCTGAAGGACACTACAATAGGCTGACCTGTTGACAAGTCACAAAATTCTCCCGCATGCAGTTTGCCGATCCCCGAGCTACATCAGCAGGCATCATTTTCCGAATTTGCAGTACGCAAACATGCATTCAGTCGAGTGACAGGAGGATACGCCGTGTGGCAGCAGATGACTGCACATGTGCGTGCGCCGATTGCTGCGCCATAAGCAAAGAACCTGGCCCTGATTCGTCGCAGGGGACAAATGGGCGGAGCAGGCTTGCTTTATTAGTGTGCCTGAAAATATTAGACTAGTACACGCACGAAGGGGTCTGCTGCGCTAAGCCACCACCCTGATGCAGAGGTGAGTGGACACAGCGCACCTATCGCGGAGGTTGGAGACCAAGTGGTGCTTATATATCCGGAATCATCGAATGTGTAAGCCAAGCCGAGACCCGCAGCTGTCTTTTTAGTCACAGACTGAGAGGCTCACTGCGTGTCGGCGTGAACGAGACTTCCTATAAGACACGGCCAGGTGCATCTGGCCGCTCGATTCCGGGTTTTCTCAGACAACTGTTACAAATTCCCATGCGGTGCGTTCCGTTCTGGGACGGTGGCACAGTCGGGGCTTCCCGACAGTCCAGCCAGGGCCGGCTGCTATAGGAGGAATATTGCTGTTTCAAAGGCTCCTTTTCAATGTGCGCAGGGGCGCCTGTCATTGGTCGAAAATTCAAATGTCTTGACTGCTTCTTCCCATCAGCTGTAAGCCTCAGTGATATAAAACCAATATAAGGATCCTCGTGAGTGCCTCATTGATGCCCAGGTGGTATCTCATGACCACCTCATCGAAGTCACATACATAAGCACCGGGGAACCCTGAACACACTGCAGTACAAAATCAATCGATACCACCAAAATATTCATTACAATACGAATACGACAGGCTCAAGCCATCTTGTTGCGCGAAGAGCGACGACCACCCAACATGTCAACAACGACGACATCAAAGCTAAGGATACGTCCTGCCCTCGCGCATGAAGGGTCAGCCCTGGCAAAAGTCGCCGCAGCAGCCTTTGTAAATGACCCATTCGACTCTTACATGTACCCAGCAAGGAAAGAGCACTACAGATCCTACCAGAGGATATACCAACAAAAGTTGGACGCTCACATCAACCAATCCCTCTGCTGGGTAATGGTCGCCGAGGTCATCACCCAGGTGCACGACAAAGATGGCAAAATTAGCTACGAGGGCTCTGCACCAGCGGCGTACGCGATATGGACGCGGGAGTCATCCAGGAAGCGCAAGCACACGCAGCGGCGGCTGGAGGCACTGGGCCTGCGGGATCCGACCGCTGATGTCTCGTTCACGCAACGACTAAAGAAACGGGTCATGAAGTACGGACTGGCCGAGACCTTTCGTGACACATCATCAAAACCTGTCATGGATAGGAAAGGCTTCGGCACATTCTGGAGGGGCCTCGGTGATTCGGATTCAGACAACAGCAGCGAGCCGGACTCAGACTCGGAGCCAGACGAGTATTGGCATCTTCAGGATCTTGGGGTGGCGCCGGAGTTCCGCCGTCGTGGCGCCGCGAGAGCGCTGTTGAGCTGGGGCCAGGACTGGGCCCGCAAGGAGAATGTGCCAATTCTGCTCGAAGCGACACCGATGGGGAAATCTCTATGTGAAGGAGCTGGGTTTCTTCAGTACGATACCTGGGAGTGGGGTGACAAACCTGACATGGCATGGCATATGATGCGGTGGCAGCCATCGGTGGCAGCTTGAGCATCGCTTAATACATCAGCGACAACAATTGCTTTCGTGGAATTTCAGCATTTTCCTTCTGTTTGTAGTGGGCTGCCCAATACATCCTGAGCCCGGAGGAGATATCCAAGATACCTAATTCATGAGATTGCACAAGGTTCTATTCCACCAGACTTCAACAACGCCAAAATGATATGAAGGCACCAAAAAATTATACACAGAGATTCAGTCTGTGATAGGACAAAAGGGTCACCAGAACTCTTCCAGCAAAGTGGAAGGCCAAGGAGGGTAACACAATACTCGCTTATGCACAAGTATCACCGCATGAGATGCTCCCGGGCTGGCTCAAATCGGGCTCAGCTATCCATCAACCCCTCACACTCTCAGAACCCCTCTCGCTGCCCAACCGGCCCGTCTAAGATCTCTCTTACGTTCCAGTTTTTGAGTCGCTTGCTGTCGAGCAATCGGACCAACTCTGCATAACTAGGCCACCTTCCCAGCCACTTCGATCCAAACGCTGTGGCCGGACTTAGGAAAGGAATTTCGTATACCAGAAGTCAATGGTAGAGCAGGGGCGCATACTGCATCTCCAATCTAGGAAGACATGCAATTGACTCCACACCGCGGTTCTCGACGCACTTTGGGGGCGGATGAGATCCGTCTTCTCATCTACGATGAAGAGACATCGAAGAAGTCTGGCCTTTTAGCATGTCAAACAAGCATTCAGGAACTGTCTGATCTCAAAGCTCCAGCCGTATGTCTTATGCTGCACTCTCATATGTCTGGGGGAATGCAGCCATCACGACACCTCTGATGTGCGATGCAGTCGAGACACAGGCCACGGTGAATATCCAGTATGCGCTCTCGGCTATCTGAAATGCACGCTCGGAGACATGCCTCTGGGCAGATGCACTGAGCATCACACAGGACAATCTTGCTGAGAGAAACCATCAAGTGTCTCTGATGGGAGACATTTTCCGATCTGCACGTCGCGTCTTGGTGTCACTCGGGCCGCCTCTCAAAGGAGATGATTTGTTCTGGCAGTTGCTTCAAAGCTGTTCTTCTCACAGATATAGAGCCAGCCGAAAGTACAGGGAGGAGGTGAACGAGTTAAAGGGGGGTCCGCCCTGCAGACTGGCTTTCAGGGTTGCCGTTCACTACACTCAGTGTAGTAGTGTAGTGTAGTGGGTGTAAATAAGCCCACTACACTCCATTATATTGAGGGTATTTTTAAGTCCACTATATTACACTAAGAAGTCCAGTGTGTGTAATGTAGTGGGTTTAAGTGTAAATAGGGGGGGGGTAGGGGGAGGAGGGTGATAGAGGGAGAGGAAGGGAGGAAAGGGGAGAGGAAAGCTGACTAAGCGACTAAATAAGATAAGATAAGAGGAGGAGGAGAAGAAAAAAAGCTTACTTATTTATTTATTTATTTACCTACTTATTTACCTATTTATTTACCTATTTATTCACCTACTTATTTACCTACTTATTTACCTATTTATTTACCTATTTATTCACCTATTTATTTACTTATTTATTTACCTATTTATTTACCTATTTATTTTATTTATTTATTTATTTTATTTACTTATTTATTTACTTATTTATTTACTTATTTCTTTACCTATTTATTTACTTATTTATTTACTTATTTATTTACCTATTTATTTACCTATTTATTTACCTATTTATTTACCTATTTATTTACTTATTTATTTTATTTACCTATTTATTTTATTTATTTATTTATTTACTTATTTATTTATTTATTTATTTATTTATTTATTTATTTATTTATTTAAATATTTATTTAGGTATTTATTTAAGTATTTATTTAGGTATTTATTTATATATCCCCCCCACCCCCTATTCCCTAGCCCTCCCCCCTGCATTTTAACTCACTACACTACACACACTTATATTGAAGGCCTATATATTATATTATATTTATATTGAGGGTATTTTGAAGTCCACTATACTATATTGACGAGCCTAGTGCGTGTAGTGTAGTGAGCGGCAACCCTGCTGGCTTTGGGGTTAGACGACCTCATCAATCGCGCTTGGTTTCGCAGAGCTTGGGTAAGAGAACCTCCTGAGAACTACTGTCCCGAAATGGTCAGTTTCTGTGACTGTCTGCATATTGAATTCACTGGTATGTGCTAGGACGCTCTTGTTGACTTTCTGCTTGAAAGGCGACACAGAAATTTTCTGTGGAGATTCATCCATGCCATGGCACGGTTTGGTGAAGTCCATGGACCTTTTGAGCTTGACAGGCATCTTTTTAAGCTCATCTTCGTCGCTTCAACCTCTTCGAACCTTCATGAAGAAACAAGTAATCATGTCCAAACGACCCACCTGGGCAGTTTAGCACGAGTTTCAGTGCTCATGTCAGGAGAACGTTTCACCTTCAAGCAGACATGTGGTTTCGTTTTTAATCCCTATATATGTAAAATGTACGTGGCGCCTTCATACAGTGGTAAACGCTCAAGACCCAGCGTTTGAAGAAATATAGTGCCAATCACAGTGGAAAGAGAATGCAGTACATGGGCACATAGCCGAGCCTCGTACCGCACAGACAAGGCTGGAAGGCATCGCTCCCACATACACCAAAAGAAACTTCCTCAAGTCCTTGTGGATGGGTGGCCAAGAAACGCAAAGGATGCGAGAAATAAGATTTATGCATTTACAAGCTAACTTTTTATCACCAAAAAAAAGCCAAAAAGTTTAAAAACATACAGCACCGGGTATTCGCTGGTCGTCACCGACCCAACTACTAATCCAGCGATTAGTGGCTTGACTATGGGAGAGCGGACGGGATCCCGTATTTTCCACTATCTATGGCCGTATGTGCTTAAGTTTGTACAACGGCAAACTATATACCAACCATGCTCGGCTCGGTTGGAGTAACCATCTTAATTGGTGTGATGGGCTGCTAATAAGACTTCTCATAACCAATGAGAATAAATTGGACTTTCTGAATTACGCAAGAGGAGTTGTTGAGCCTACCCCAATCCCCGAAACTGGTCTCCGCGACAAACATCAGTTTGACTGTATCCATTTGAAGGTACAGAATCTACGTGGATGCCATCTGGGTAGATTGGAAGATGAGAATGATCGGGAGAGGCCCTCGGGAATCGAGGATCTGCCGTCGCGGGCCTGTGATTGGTGAAGGCGAGCCTCCCGAGAAAAAGTAAACACGCAGCCTTTCGGGGGAAAGCACTACTTCGCTGCACGTGGAAAAGTCTTGCCATTGCGACAGTCTGTTAACGGCCTCGACAAGCGACTGGTTTTGAGAGGAGCTGCGCTTGCAAGGGTAGAATATCCACCAACGGAAACCGCCGTATCAACCAACGCCGCCCCATCACGCAACAAGCCCCCGAGTCCACGTAATACCTTTTCGAGACTACCAATCTGCGGGCTGCGCAAGGCCAGCAGCAAGTCTACTAATAATCCCATCCCCCAACAGTACGAAATGTGTAAGCACGACATCCAAAGCTGAGAGAAGAACCTGGCAGGCAGTAACGTGGCCATCCTCCTCCTCCAGACCGTGCTCCATGACCAGACTGGTTGTGATTGCCCTGAATTTCCGGGGAAGGACTCACTTAAGGCTCAAACTCCATACATCATGTATCCAAGGTCATGTGTCAGGAATCTGGACTGGCTTTTTCTTCTCGACGGCTTGGCCGAACCAGCCATATTTCGTCCTCATATCACACCAGGCCAGGGACAGTCCAGACGATCGGAGATCGGGTTTAAATTTGTTTCTGTTTGGCCTCTGTTCGTCAGGCAAGAACGGCAAATTAGGGCAGACTCTTTCTTTGCGTATGGCGTAGTTCCATTCCAAGTGTTATTTTCTTACCGTGCCGTTCTTTGGCAGCCCACCTGGAGGGTCAATATTGCCTTCATAAGTCTTTTTAACCACGTCTTCTCCAAATGAGTCTTCCGATACCTGCAATGTAGGGGAGAAACCTCGTTAAACAGGCCATTATTTCACCATTAGGCAGTTCCTTTATTGCTTAATGACCAGTAGACAAGAGTGCTGCAGAAAGAAAAAGCGCTTGTGACGAGGTCAGCCTAACGTCTTTTGACCTGAAGAGAGAAGTACCCCCCCGCCTCCTTACCTCTTTCCTCCATTTTGCAAGCTCAACTCCAAGTCATCCACCATCCTTCCAAGATCAAAAGTTCGTATCAAAGATCAGGATGCGGGACGAGGCTCAGGCCACGTGCACACGTAGTGTACTCTCTCTGTACTGTTAATGGCATTGTTTCCCCCCCCCCCCCCTTTTCAAAAGCTGGGTCTTGAGCGTCTACCGCTGTATGAAGGCGCCATATATGTCTTCGGACGTATGCGGAATAGAAGCTAACCAGGTAATATGCTTCCGTAATAAGGAAGCTTATTACCTGATTCAGTGTAAGTGCAATGGCTGTCGGCACGCCAGAATCTGACGGGGTGGTTATGATGGACTTCAGGAGGGGCTCGGCAGTGATCGAGGCTGGCGCTGCAAGGGCAGGCAGGTATAACGGAGCCTCACTCGCTGCATAACGCGGTGGCTGCTCCAAGCTCGCAGTGTTTTGCCCTCGCGTTTGATGCGCACATCGGCGGGCAAGGGGAGTGGGAGGCCGTTCATGCCGACTTGACTTATTAGTAACACTACTCATCGGAATGACGGACAAAGCAATTGGTGCTGGAGCAAATGCAGCAGCCTTGCGGCGTGGACTGTCTATGCTTCTGTGTTCCTGCTCCGAGCACTTATTGTGCAGTGGTGAATTAGTTAGTCACAATCGATATCCTCACTGACTGCCAAAATTCAAGACGGTTTAGGCCGGGTCCTTGTAGTGTACCAACGCCCGGCTAAATAAGCTCCATCCCTGCGTCGGTTGGACCCTTGACGGCTTATCGAGGAGGGCCTTGGGGGCGGGCGGGATGCTGGGATGCCAGCACCCGGACGGACATGGGCAGGGCTGAGTGGCAGGCCCCTGGTTGGATGGGGGCCGGATGGGTGGAACCGACCGCCTTAAGCAGCGGTTTGTTGAGACTCGAGCTCGACCGCGACCGAGGTGAGACAGGAGATCAACACCAACGGGGCGCGATGGCATTGTTGGTGTAACCCCAAACGACACGCCACCAGGCCACCACTATTCCCACTGCCAGGGGCCATCTGAGGCGTTGTTCGAGATCGCAGGCTGTACCGTACTTGCAGGGCGAGCTGTCAGATGCGGCAAGACACTGAAGTGCGGGATTAGATGGCTTGATTGATGGACAGCCACATGGAGACCAGTCCAGATTAAGCATGCATGCATGCACGCTTATTAGTGTAGATGCATGCAATCCCGCGCTTGTGTGGAATCCCAGCTGTCTGGACGGAGTAGTTGGGGTGGGGGTTTGGGGTGACAAGCAGCCGGCGTGGAAAGAAATTTCTCCACGGGGGCCGACCACTTCAGCCACTCTGGTTTGTGATGCCGAGACGTAAGGATGTCTGATGGACGGCAGCGCCGGACGGTGTCGCGGCTCGCGAGATAGAATGAATACCCACAACCAGAGTCTCCAGCCTCGGGAGCCGTGGGAGCTGAGCAAGCATGCGGAGCAGCAAATAATTGGCATCTGGAGTGGATGAGCAGGATCCAATGGGATCCGCAGGGTCTTGCAGTGTTGTTTGTCCTCCTTGCACCCTGCAGGGAAAATCGGCGGAAAGTACCCCGCCATGAGGGCACCGCCAACCGCGGGGTCGACGAGGGCGCTGAGTGAGCACAACGACGGTAGCTTGAAGATAGAATCTGTAGCTCGAGCAGCGTTGATAAATGATTGGCCAAGCAGGTCCCTAATTCTCTCGTTCTAGAGACGGCGGTAGAGCACATGCAGCGATGTGAGCCTGCGAAATGGTGAATGGCATCGCTCCAAAGCTCGGGCGATAAGCGAGGGGCAATTACTCAGTCGACGATAATTATGGAGATGGTGACGTCTGGCTGGAAGAGACTGACGCTCGCCTCGAGGAGCTGCGGCCGAGCTGGCGGTGACGTCGATCCGATCCGGCCCATCCGCGGGGCAAAACAGCGGCAAAATTTGAGCTTATACCACAGTACCGCGTGGAATAAACGAACGACACAAGGCAGGCAGGCAGTCGTAGCATGGCGTAGTCCAGTCCTTGTGCGAAATTCTTGCATGTAGTTGACTGATGTCGGAAAAGATGCATCGTGGGCAGCGGGTAAATGGCGACAGGCCATGGGGCATTTCCGTTAATGATAGCCCGAGCTAGCTGGCCCGCCGGGAAAATGCATTGGCGCGGCATTGGAGCTCCATCGAGGCGAGCGAGGACTGGCGATGCGAAGCGGTCGAGTCGTCAACAAGCTTGGAGGTCGACGGCGATGGTGTTGATGCAGATCAGATGCTCATGCTGGATCCATGGTATAGTATAGTAGAGCATATGTGATCGTGCTGTAGATGATGTGTAATGCTGCCTCTTCGGGTGGGTCAGCCAAGGCGTGTCAACAAGGTTGCGAGATGTTTGACTGATGGCTGATGACTGATGATTGAGAGGCGTTGCCAGGGTAGAACTGGCCCAAGCGATGGAGCTGGGATGGGGCCACCACCACTCACACGCCCTGAGGCAGGAGCAGGAAGGAGCACGAAGCACGAGCACGAAGCACGAGCACGAGCTCGCATGAGGCAGGAAGTACTGTCAGACTGTGTAGCAGCAGTTCCCGCCCTTCCACGCCTGCCACGCTTGAGCCCTGCTGCACCCCAAGCTCGAGCTCAACCATTTTACTGGGGCCCGCCTGATGGCTTGCCTGCCTGCCCTGCCTGCCTGCCCTTCTTTTCCATTCCCCTCACCCCTCGTTTTGGAACTTGTTCTTTTCCTCGACATCTTCAAACTCCCCTGCCACACCTTCCCAGCCTATCTGTCCATCCATACACCAGACCATTTTTTGTTATCGAAAAACAGTCTGTCAAGATGGGTTACACAAAGACCGACGAGCTCGCCATCAACACCATCCGGGTCCTGGCCGTAAGTCAATTTGTCCCCAAGAGACACTGCTGCTGCAACCTGCAACGGGCCAGCTTGCCCCTCCATCGCCGTTGTCGCTGCCGCCCGTTGAGCAGCTTGTTTCACCACCAAAATCTGCCACAACCACGCCTCGATAGGATCAATCATGCTCACAACTCTCGTCTATAGGCTGATGCGACCGCCCATGCCAACTCTGGCCACCCTGGTGCGCCCATGTACGTTGTTCTCCCTGCCCCTCTTGCGTCACCTCGACTCTCTTTGCCCCTCCACTCAAATGTTGAGGATGGTGGAGCGGTGATGCGCCATATAAAAACCGGTCTGAACCACAGCTGACAGCCGTCTCAATGCAGGGGCATGGCACCCGTGGCCCACGTTCTCTACAGCAAGTTCATGAAGTTCAACCCAAAGAACCCAAAGTGGCTCAACCGTGACCGCTTCGTTCTCTCGTGAGTCCTTGTCCCCAACTTTCCCCGGGCCAGTGTGCCACCGTCAACATGACGTGCCTCTGACCTCGAAATCACTCCAGCAACGGCCACGGCTGCATGCTCCAGTATGCCCTGCTCCACCTGTACGGATACTCCCTGTCCATTGACGACCTGAAGGCCTTCCGTGTAAGTTTCGCGCCACGTTTTGAGAACGAGGGTCAGTGCGAATAATCCGCTGACAATGAGCTTCTAGCACGTTGACAGCATCACTCCTGGCCACCCTGAGGCCCACGACACCCCCGGTGTCGAGGTCACCACTGGTCCTCTGGGCCAGGGTATCAGCAACGCTGTCGGTCTTGCCATTGCCCAGGCCCACACCGCTGCCATCTACAACAAGCCTGGCTTCGACCTGGTCAACAACTACACATACTGCTTCCTCGGCGATGGCTGCCTGATGGAGGGTGTCTCGAGCGAGGCCTGCTCCCTGGCCGGCCACCTGCAGCTCGGCAACCTGATCGCCATCTACGATGACAACCACATCTCCATCGACGGTGACACCAACCAGGCCTTCACCGAGGATGTCAAGAAGCGATACGAGTCCTACGGCTGGCAGGTCCTCGAGGTCGCCGACGGTGACAGCGACCTCGACAGCATCGAGAAGGCCATCAAGGCCGCCCAGGAGGTCAAGGACAAGCCCACCATCATCAAGCTCAAGACCATCATCGGCTTCGGCTCCAAGAACCAGGGCACCCACGGCGTCCACGGCTCCCCCCTCAAGGCCGACGACATCAAGCAGCTCAAGGAGAAGTGGGGCTTCAACCCCGAGGAGAGCTTCGCCGTCCCCCAGGAGGTCTACGACCTGACCGGCAAGGTTGTCTCTGCCGGTGCCGCCGCCGAGGAGGAGTGGAACAAGCTGTTCGCCAGCTACGGCGAGAAGTACAAGTCCGAGCACGACGACCTCGTCCGCCGCCTCAGCGGCAAGCTGCCCGAGGGCTGGGAGAAGTCGCTGCCCGTCTACACTCCCGCCGACTCTGCCGTCGCCTCGCGAAAGCTGTCCGAGATCGTCCTGCAGAAGATCCACTCCGTCATCCCCGAGCTGGTCGGTGGCTCTGCCGATCTGACTGGCTCCAACCTGACCCGGTGGAAGGAGGCCGTCGACTTCCAGCCCCCCGCCACCGGCCTGGGCGACTACACTGGCCGTTACATCCGATACGGTGTGCGTGAGCACGGTATGGGTGCCATCCTCAACGGTCTGGCTGCCTACGGCACCATCATCCCCTACGGTGGTACCTTCCTGAACTTTGTCTCGTACGCCGCCGGTGCCGTCCGTCTGTCCGCCCTGTCCCAGCAGCGCGTCATCTGGGTTGCCACCCACGACTCCATCGGCCTTGGTGAGGACGGCCCCACCCACCAGCCCATCGAGACCCTGGCCCACTTCCGTGCCCTGCCCAACTGCATGGTGTGGCGCCCCGCCGACGGCAACGAGACCAGCGCCGCCTACTACGTCGCCCTCACCTCCCAGCACACCCCCAGCATCCTGGCCCTGTCGCGTCAGAACCTGCCCCAGCTCGAGAACTCCACGATCGAGCGGGCCTCCAAGGGCGGTTACGTCCTGCACGAGGTCGAGGGCGCCCAGGTCACCCTGGTGTCCACCGGTTCCGAGGTGTGCATCTGCATCGACGCCGTCAAGGAGCTGGAGAAGCAGGGCATCAAGGCCCGTGTCGTCTCCATCCCTTGCTTCGAGGTGTTCGACGCCCAGTCCAAGGACTACCGCCTGTCGGTCCTGCCCGACGGCATCCCGTCCCTGTCGGTCGAGGTCATGAGCACCATGGGCTGGGAGAGGTATACCCACGAGCAGTTCGGCCTGAACCGCTTCGGTGCCTCTGGCGCGTACAAGGACGTCTACGCCAAGTTCGAATTCACGCCCGAGGGCATTGCCAAGCGCGCCAAGGCAACCATCGACTTCTGGAAGGACGTGCCCAACATCCGCTCCCCCATCAACAGGGCGTTCCAGCAGCTCATCTAAGGAGGGGAACGTAGTCTGGCAGAAAAGGTTTACGAGGGATGATACAGATATATCCGTAAGAGGTTTAAATAGACGGGTGCACATTTAGCAAGAATTGCACCATAGCACAATGAATGAATTCCGATGTACTTGACTGTTTTGTCCCTGAATAACTGCATCTTGGGGTGTGATGAGCAAATTACGATTAACACTCTAGGTGTTGTAACTTTTACCAGCATATCCGGCAACGACATTTTCTTCAACAAGATGAAAATCACCCTGGCCTCAGATCCACAGATGCTCTCTCTCCCTGTCTGCTGCCATGGGTTTGTCCGTCTGTCAACTTGTCCTTTTTTCCCCTGCCTCCACATCCGGTCATCTGGGCGCTGTATGCCTCATCCTACTACTACCCCTGTAGAACCAGCGCGAATCTCCTGGTTTTGGGTTTTGTTCCATCGACCCCTACACAGGGTGGGACATGAAGGCTTCTCTCTGCTCGCTCGCACCTTTCGCCGGGCGGGCGTGGTTGTCTCGCCCCGCCCCGCCCCGGCTGTCCTCCAGGCAATCAATCAGTTGATCAACAAACCACATGCCAGCACAGCACGCCCTCCCACGGCCGCCCCCCCCCCCCCCCACACCGATATTTTTTCTCGCCTGGCCGTGACGATGTTGTGGTCCACGCCCTGGGCCCAAGGCCCAAGAGCCTCGTGGCAGCCGCCTGCTCTGCGCGTCGTACCTCGCTGACAGGGCAGGTCAGGTAGGTAGGGAGGTAGGTGAATAGAGGGTCGACTTTCACGCCCGCCCTGCCCTCCTTCCCCACCCCCCCTTAACCCCCTCACCACCCCAGGGACCGACAGGCCTCATCACCGCCGCCCCGTGGAAACCCACTCGGCCTGGAACACCCTCGCGACCTTCTCGAGCCGCGCCGCCGCGCGCCGCGCCTCGCGCAGGTCCTCTGCGCGCGGGGCGACCACGGTGCCGGTCAGCATGGGCGGGTCGCGGGGGTCGACGCCCTCCTCCCCGGCCGCGTCGTCGTCGTCATCATCACCAAACCCCCCATCACCACCCCCACCCCCGCCCCCGCCGGCATCGTCCCCCCCGGCGGTGACCAGGCTCTCCTCGCTGCGCCGCCCGGGGGCAGCGCCCAGCGCCAGGCCCATGGGGCACATGTAGCTGTGCAGGACGACGGGCCCCGCGGCGGGGAGCTCGACCATGGTGCGGAGGGGGGCGCCGCGGCCCAGGCGCTTGGCGGCGTCGTAGGAGAGGAGGGCTGTTGCTGTCAGGGAGGTGAGGGCGCGGGACTGGGTTGTTGCTGGGGAGGGGGGGTCTTCTCCTGTGGGGGTGTCGGTGTCGGAGGAGGCGGGGTTGTCGTCTTCTTCTGTTGAGGATGGGGAGGGGGATGTTGAGAAGGTTGTTTGGTGGTTGGTTGTGCGTTTTCTGTGGTTTTGGCTTGGGTCGTGGTGGTGGTGGTGTTGTTGTTGTTGTGAGGAGGTGGGGTGTGAGGTTGGTGTTGAGGCTGACGCTGACGCTGACGAGATCAGGGGCGTGGTGGCCCTGTCTGTCATGTGGATGGCCAGCGAGGGGTGTTTGGCTGGGAGGCTCGCCATGTTTGGTTGGGTGCCTTGGTGCCTGGCTGGCTGGCTTGCCCTTGTTGGTCCGGTCAGGAGGGAGGGGTCCCGTACTGTGGTAGGCTGAGTGACTGATCGATTGGGGGCCGTTTGGGTGTTTGATGGGATCGCAACCCTGGACGGACGGGGGAAGCTTAAAGAGGCCTCGGGTTAGATCTGACGATCCTGACCGGCAGAGGGAGGGAGGAATGTATCGAGGATCGCCCCGGCCCGCGTGTGGGTGTTTGTGTGACTTTGACTGAGGGTACGGTAGCCAGCCAGAGCAGTCAATCGATGTGCGGGGTCTGCCTGTGGTGTGGTCGGCCCAACTTCTAATTCCGCGACTGAGGACGGACTGGAATGAGATGTTGTAAGCGGGGAGACAGAGACCTGATAAGTATCGTGGATCTCCTGGTCTCCTGGTCTCCTGGTCTCCTGGTGAGTCCAATTGACTCGACTGAGTGGGTTTCGTCCCAAGTTATCAGTCTATCTCTGTTCCGTTGACGCGAGGAGATGACTGGAGTGATGTGCTATCACGAGCTCCCCCTAGCTCTGACCCGCTAGTGCCGAGTCTAGCCGCCCCTCCTCTTGGGTCTGGGGTCTGGTGGGCCCGACCTGCGTTATCAGGGATGGGATCTGATAAGATTGCTGTCAGGGTTATTCAGGGTTGTCGCAAGTACGTACATACTCCATCCACTCCATCATATTAGCAACTCCCCTCCCCTACTTCACAAACACACGAACGCCCTTGCTCCCAGCAACAGGACGCGGCACGAACCGGTCCATGGCCAGCTCCACGTCCTCCCTACCAGTCCCACAGACCTCCACCTCGAACCGCCGCAGGAAGCTGGCCAGCCCCACGTACAGCTCGGCCCACGCCAGCTGCATCCCGACACAGGCCCGCGCCCCGCGCCCAAACGTCACCAGGTACCGCGACAGCTGCCGCCCGTCGGGGGCCAGCGCCTGCTGGCTGCTTTCAGTGCCCAGCCACCTGTCCGGGCGGTACGAGAAGCTGTCCGGGAAGAGGGCCTCGTCGTGCGCGACGTCGTACGTGTCCATGCTGATGGTGCTGCCGCGGGGGATGATGTGGTTTTTGTATACCGTGTCCTCGTGCTCGAAGATGCGTGGGCTGCGCTGCGATAGGCCGTATGAGAGGCGCAGGGCTGGGTGAAGTTGCAAGTTGTTAGCAACAGTGGACTAATTTGCGTAGAAGCAGTTGCACGGTTATGAGGTGAGGGGCAGGGCCAGGGGGGGGGTGACAGGTTCACTCACATTCGTGGATGCAGGCCGTCAGGAAGGGGAGCTTCTCCAGCTCGTTCAGGCTGGGCATCTCGTCCGGGTCCGGGATGGCCGCCTCCAGCTCCGCGCGGAGCCGACGGTGGACTGCTGGGTTGTCCGCGATGTGGAACACCGAGAGCGACAGCGAACGCATCGTCGTCTCGACGCCGGCGCCGACGAGCCCGATGGCCTCGTGCTGCAGCCTCTGCACCGTCACCTCTTCCCGGGGGATGTCCGACTGGATGATCGAGGTGAAGATGGTCTCGGGCTGTTCCTTGCTTTCGGCGCCGTTCAGGACCTCCTTGACCTGCGCCGTCATTTCCTAGGGGGGGACACTTTGTCAGAAAAGCCACTTGCGGCCCAAGTTGATCCGCGCGGACTCACATCATCAAAGGCGATGACCCGTCTCATATCCGAGCTCATCCACCCAACAACCGGGCCCGGGAGTCTGTACAACACCCCGAACAGCCACCGAAACTGCGTGACCCAGTGGATCCCATCAAGCATCGAAAAGATAGCCACGACAATCTCAGCCCGGAACCCAGGCTCCCGGACGAAATCACGCCGCCGCCCAAACACATACTCCATGATGATATCCAAAGCCCAGCACCCCCACATGTCATTCACGACCAGCACCTTCTCCTCCCGCCCGCGGAACTCCGCCTCCACCCGCCGGCACAGCGCATCAGCCCGCTCCTGCAGCAGGCCCGCGCGCTCCGCGACGCGGCGCCTCGAGAAGAAGGGGTTGAGCGCCGCCCGCCGCGCGCGGTGCACGTGGTGGTCGGCCGTCGCGAACACCGACGTGGGGTTGTTGAACCTGTCCTCGAGGTGCCGGGGCCGGCTCGCGGGCCGCGCGCCGGCGTACAGCGCCTCGTGGAAGGATGCGTCCCGGATGTGCACCTCGTGCGGGCTGATGCGGACGATGGGGCCGTATGCTTCGTGCCACGCGCGGTAGGCGAAGGGGAACTGCCCGCCGCGGCCCCTGGTCTTGTCGCGGTGGAGCAGCTCGTAGTAGGCTTCTACCCACCCCGTCGCGGCTGCGAGTTTGGGGCCTGGGATGTGCGCGAGGGGGTGCAGGGTGATGCGGTAGAGGGCTAGGAGGATGGCGTAGCTTGTGAGGGCTGCTAGGAGGCTTAGTGCTAGGCGGGGGGTGTCGATGTGTCCCGTCTGGGCGTCATGGAAGAGGTTGTGTAGCGCCATTGTGAGGTTGTGAAGTCCCTTTGAGGTGCCGCGACCTACTATGTGGCCGCGAAGTGATTCTGAATTTGTCGAGAGGGTATAACGTTCGAGGGCACTGGGGAGTAATCATTTCGAAGCGGAGAAGGTCCATGTATTGGGTCATCTCACATGCATGGAGACATGCACTAGCCAGCACTGGTGGGTTGCTCCGGCATGCGACATTGGGAGAGCGCTTGTCTGCCAATGCCTATCTATGCGCAACAAGAAAGAAGCAGTGGGGACGACCAATCCTTCTATCCCGATTGAGATGTTCACGGGTGGAACCTTGGAAATGACCTGCTTTGGCCGTCTATGCCAAGGGCAAAAGTGATAGCACACACCTTGGCAGGCTTTTGCTGCGAGCCTTAGGTGATGATTTCGTTGTCTCCTGGTTCTGAGGGGAAATGCCGGTGTAACTGTGCTCACTGTCCACGATTGGTGTTGCGTCCTCGGCATATGATTCTCGAGCTCTTCACTGCAAATTTCCTGGTAATCGTAATGTTTGAAGGCACCACATGCGTTTTATATGTACGGTGATCAGAAACGAAACTACCTAATAACATTTGAAACTGGATTCGACTATTTTTATTGATTCGGTTCTTGGGGGAGGGGGGATAAGATCAGTTTCTGCCAGGTGGTGTCCATTTGGGTAGCTGGGCACATGCTCTGTGGTTTACCAAAGGCCTTCCGGACTGAATATCTAGGTAACAGAACGTACTGTATTCTCTTTCCACTGTTATTGGCACTGCTAGAGATGACTTATCAGCAGTTTGGTTACTGTGGTATTTTGGCCCGGCGTTTTATAGCGTAGGACCTGGCAGTCGCTCTCCCGTTGTATCTATCAACAAGGTCTGAGATAGTGCCCAAATTGGGTGCGTGTGCCTGCCGGGGTTCACATGCTCTCACATTGTAGATTGATCCTTCATTAGAACAATATGAGAACAAAAATAGTATGATGTGGTGGCCTGGTTGCTTGCGACACCGCTGATCCAGGGGTTGTCGAAGGGGCAGCTTCAGGGCCCACGGGCTCGTCCATTTCCGAGGTTCCGAGGTTCGAACCTTGGAAGCAAAGTTACGAATGTACTTAGTAATCAGTAATAGTCCAAAGTTGACAAACTCAGGACAACGCTGATCAGCCGATTCAGCCCAATCGAGGTGTCAGCTCAAGCTTGTATTTGGGGGGGGGGGCATGAAAATTGTGACTGCCACGTATCAATTCTTGTGCATTTCCTGGTGGTGTGCAACACAAGCCACAATGCGCAGCTGCTGCTCACCGGTGCTGAAGAACACGTCGGATTGGCTGCATGCGAATATACCTACCTGGTAATCGAAGGACGCCTAACTTACTTAAGTAGCTGATTTCGCCCAACACATCTGCACTTATTACACTTACCACATTGTTGTGCTTTTTGTTGGACCGCAGCAGGCTACATCTACAGAAGAACATCTTCTTCCCCCATCGTTATCATCTAGACAACCTTTCTCGGCGAGTGCTCCTTACCGACTCTCGAAGACTGCCAACGAGGCATTTTAACACATTTGGCATCCAGCTTGGCAGTCTCGCCATGTCCAACGACGGCTACGAAGAGATTTGGTCGACAGCCCCATCGGGGCAAGCAGTCCACTGCTGTCTCCCACTCACACACCCAGACAGGCAAATTCGCGTGCTTGTCTTGGATCCAGTCGACTCCGAGTCCCCCAGATCCGATGAGATACTTCAAGGCCGTATAGATGTTCTCGATGAACTCACCGATGGCCAAGAGTATGCGGCTCTATCATACGTCTGGAACCTGACGACCGATCCACCAATCCCGCCGCGCGAGAACCGGCTCATCATTCGATGCGGCGACCACCAACATCAAGCCCGAATCAAGCCCAACTGCTGGTCCGCCCTTTGGCATCTTTGCAAGATTCGAAGACCTTCGATCACAGTTCTCTGGGTTGACTCAATTTGCATTGACCAGAAGAATGATGAAGAGATGAAGCAACAGATATCTATGATGTGCAAAATCTATAACTCGGCTCAAAAAACTTACTTCTGGGTCGGAGAGGCTGGAACCGGCACTGATAAAGCAATGGAATTCCTTTCGAGTGACAGAATCACATCGGGCACAGGCGGGTCCGGATCTGCATTCCCGATTGGCTTCAAGATCTGGTGGCAATTCACAAGATTGAAAGCGAGTGCATACAACAATGACCTCCAACAAATCTTCACACGGGAATGGATCACACGCCTTTGGACTTTACAAGAGTTCTTACTATCAAGAGAAGGTATTCTTGTGTGTGGAGAGAAATCAGTTTCATGGAAGCGCCTGGTTTGTGCTCTGCATTCTATACACTACTTCCACAAGCACCCCGGGTCACTTTTCTTCGATAGCTCACATCTTCGTTGGCTGAACTTAGTCAACCTTGCACAGTGGTTTGCACAGAACAGTTGGATACTAGTGTACAGAGCATCGGAGGACTTTAACCAGTCGCAGGTTGAAGCTCATCTAAACTGTCTCAAGTGGTCTGTGAAGAACGCTTGGTTGATATATGTGCTATGCACAAGCTTTTTGTGTTCACTGTACATGTATTCAATAGTTTTTTTACTCAATTCAAGCCCCTTGGTGGTTCTTTTTGTTAAGTTTGCTTTATTATATTTGATTTTGTTCCTTCTTGTTTCTGTTCCAGGAGTTGTGTTCTGGCGTGTCTGGAAAGGTAAGCTGTTCTTCCCGAGAAACTCGCCTTCAATTTTGGAGGAACTCCGGAATCGGCAGGTGTCGGACCCAAAAGATATTTATAACGGCACTGTAGGAATTCTTGGTGGGGGCGCATCTACCAGTGGAGAGAGTCTATGTGTTCTTTACAGGAAGCTTTGTACCAGCCTGATGTCCAAAACACAATCACTGGATGTTCTATTGTTTGCCAACACTTATGCAAACCGTAGTTATCCATCCTGGATTATCAACTGGGAATCCGAAATCTCGCACGTTTGGGGCAATGCTCTCTCTTATAGCGAGGCAAAATTCTCTGGTGAGTGGGACCTCCAGTTGATGGCACCACCAGATGTGCGCGCATTTTCGAGTTGGTTATCCATCCTGAACACGAGTAATTTATTTCAACGAACCTATACGCGGTTTTTTACTGATCATCAACAGTGTACCTTTCATACCTGCAATCGTTATTTCGTGCGGAGGAGACATTGGGAAAGTACCGAGGGGTAATGCCCGCGAGACAGGCGCGCTGGGATTTCCGTGATCAAGGCCAAAGCCTTTCTGTCTTTGGGCTGGTCTTGACACACATCTCGTCTCACCTTACACCAACAACATACGCAGATGCGGTCACACCATTGCACCTATTTCGCTGGAATCTGCTTTCGATAAAAGCTTGGGTGAACTACACCTCAGCCAAAGCGTCTAGACTCCTGCAAAAGTCGTTCTTTTGCTTCAGTCGATATGTCGCGGAAAGTCCTGTCGAGATGATCAGGCCTCAATACACAATACCTACTACAGGAACCACTCTATCGCAAATTGAACGCAGACGGTTTATTTCTTTAATGCACGCCGAATACACCAGGATGACCACACGGGATCGGAAACGGGCTGCAAAACAGCTCATGGCTTTAATGACAGTTGCCGCGGGAAACAGGCTTCTAGAACGTGAATTGATGATGTGGTGGAAAACCCTAAGTGAGGCGGCAGACACTATTTATTATGGCGATGAATGGATTGAGAAGAAGGTGTTATCAGACGAACGCGTAGAGAATAGCTTCAACGCAGTTATGCATATTCTCCAGGAAGCGAAGCTAGGTGCGGTCGGTTATGAGACCAGCGAAGTGCTGGATGGATTCTCTCGAGGTTTGGCATTTGCTGCAGCAGGTGCTCAAACCGGGGACGCTGTGGCACTGGTATCCGGGATGGCATTTCCTCTTGTGCTTCGTCCGTGCGGTGAGGGCCGTTTTAGACTGGTTGGTCCAATCTTTTTGCCGGGTGCAATGGATGGAGAACTCGAGGACCAGATAACGAGGATGACACTTGACGAGATCATAATAGTATGATGCGTGCAAGGGTGAAGGCAAAGACGTCGAGTCAATCTCAAGCTCAAGGCTCCTGGGCCAATGATTCTGATAGTCTATTGACCTATGGAGAATGGCTCTATATGTGAATTGAATTGAAAGTTTGAAGCTCTAAGGCCATATTTACCATACCTAGGTATATATGTAGAGGACGCTGAGCATAGTGGAAGAGGTTAATAGATTCATACCGGGTACAAACGTCCCAGGAGGCCCAGGCACTGGTAATCAGAAGGCGAGACAGATCATTTACATTCAGCACGAGAGTTGAATCATGGTTGTTGAAGTGCATGCTCATATAAAGGGATGAGGGGTATGTGGCTAAACGGTGGGTGGTGACGAGGAGTGTTAGGAGGCTGATCGAGATATGATTCCATTACCTAGGTGGTCATGATGAAGGATTGTGTCTATTCAACTAAGTCGGAGATTGAGGTTAGTATATTTCTATATTTAAACATTACCACGATGTCAATAATACATACTGTACAGTCAGTCGATTGCGCTCACCTGCCACGAATGTTTTCCAGATCTTCATCCAGAGCTGTATCGAATACTCGACAATTTGTATTAAAGTAAATCGACTGAAACTAGCCTCAAAATCAAGGTGTGAAGCACCCCGTTCACTGCCTAGAAGCTCCACGGAATGGCCGTTTCTGCCTGCAAGACGCGAGACCATCCCCCCAATGTCTTGGAGTATATGTAGCTTTACCCCGGCGAGTTTCCACTACTCCATCTAATATCTCACTCTTCGCTCAGTACCTTTTACGTTGAGTTTGATGTTAGCCACCGGGAATTGGATTACACCAAGAGTAGGGGTTTTCTAGCTCACCAAGCCATGTAACACCTATCGCGAACCAGTAGTGAATATTTTGCATAGCCTTGAGGTTGTCTTCGGGGAGGTTTAGTATGTCTTTGATCCAATGCCCGGGATACCAACGACTTTCAGACATTGCAAACATCATGAAGCTTTGAGGTAGGAACCCAGCCTGGTCGAAATCAATGACACAGAGGCCACCGGAATCAGTGAAGATAAAGTTGCCGGCAAAGAAATCACTGTAATAAAAACATAGGTCTCTCTCAAGGCACACAGTAGGGGAGTCCTTAAACTTTAAGGTAGATACCTAGAAAATATCTGCATTAGTATTTGTTTGAAATGGATTATACTAGTCTGTGGGATTTCTCCATGACTCATTATTAAAGTACTTCTTAATACCTTATTCAAATGTGCCTCAAGTTCATCAACAGAGGAGTACTCAAGATAGGACATATGATCCTTGAATAGGGGATGTCGGATATAGCCCCCACCAACAGGGCCTGGCTTTTGTCCTGAGGGTGGTTTGATAGACATAAGGAGTCTAATTGCCCTTGCAATGCTGTTGCTGAGTGAGGTCTCCTGAGATTCCCAACCAGGCTGCCGTACTAGTTGTGCAAGCGTTCTTCCAGGTATGTACTCCATGACAATGAAAAATCTCTCGCCATACTCAAATGTGCTGTAGATCTCGGGGACGAGGATGCCTTGTGTCTGATTTGGCGGCATCGCCTTGAGAGCTTCGAAAACGTACTCTTGGTTGCGTAGCTCTGCTCTTAGTTCTGATGCCAAGCCGAACTTGACGTAAGCGATGGGGTGGCTTGGGGGGAAAACAAAACCGGTCACAGCACACCCATCTGGTTTGAATTGAGGTGTCTGCTCGAAGGTGGAAATGAGATCCTCTTTGCTCAAGCTCAGAGCAAGCTGCCGTTTGGACAAGGGCTGCCCTCCTCGATCATTCTCTGCAGCCATGCTGTCTCGGGCGTTGTGAAGGTTGAGTGAAGACTGGCCAGGTGATGAACGGTCAGGTCGGGAAGGGCTGGTGCCTGGCGTCAAATAGTATACAAAAAGCGGGGCGGCCAGAAGCCACCGTCCACCAACACATCACTTGCCACCACCTACATCTTTAAGTACCCATCATTTTCTAATAGTATAATGTGGGCAACAGGGGAGGTGAAGACCCATTCTCTATCATACGATCTGCACAGCGACACGTCCATAAATATATTCACTGGGCACACTTCATATTCGCAATGCAATAATAAGCTCGAGACATGTCGTGATTGTTGATTATTCTGAAGGCCATGCATAGATAATCATTCAAGGTTTCTTAATGCCGAAACTTGAATTATCAATTGGTTCCAGAAGGACTCGAAGTGGGGGCCGACTGAGGATATATTTCTCCTACCCTTCTGGGTAAACAACATCCGAGGATTCGGATCCCACAGCTATGGTTTCAACCTGGCAAAGTGCAAGAACTTGGATTACGACGGGGATGCAAGGCTCAAGTTCAGCAACGCCATCAAGCCATCACGATCGTACGGGAGGTGCGAGATGGATTTTGGGCCATATGTTGTCAAAGTCGAGAAAATTGTCGGGAGACAAAGAACCCAACATGGTGAAACTTGATTTCCGCGTAATCGTCGTCGTCAAGCCGTTCGGAAAATATTCATTCTCTCACCGAACGCATGTGGATTTTGAGTCTTATCGTATTTTAACCACTGTACTGACACCGTATTTTTTAAGCGCTGGGTCTTGAGTGCTTACCACCGTATGAAGGCGCCATGTATGTCCTCGGACGTACACGGAATAGAAGCGAAACCACATATACATTACCAAAGACTCTTTTCTACACGTAGGATTATTAATACTTGCATCTAGTCAATGTTTAAGGGGTTAAAAGCGCAGTTGAGGTAGACTGTCTTTTCCCGAACGGTTAAGGATCCACAATTTTAGAGTTGATTTCGGGAGTTTAGGGATCGGATACACCGGGCTTGGCCCAATGTAGTGTACTGCCCCTGCCTTATTTAGCTGGTGCAGGCAGGGTCTTCTACCCGAAACGCGCGGGACGTTATCAAGAGCTAATTGGTGCGTGTGCATGCTATCAATAGCCTGTCACTCAATTTCGGATCTAAAAGTAAAGTTCACTATGACATAGTTCGTCTATAAACGGCATAGACGGCAGATCTCTTTGGCCATACGTGCTGCGGTTCTCTTGGCCCGCCTCCTGAAATTAGGCGCACATCAAATCTATAAGGTCTCCACGTACGGCAGGACAGGCTTCTCAATATCTGTCAATCATCCCACACGTGTTCTGGTGCAGTGGATTCCTATCCTTCGCATATCAGAGAAGAGTCAATCTTCTCAATCCACAGTCTTTACAGATGGCGTTCCGGAATTTCTCGCTTGGCGTGCTCCTTGCATGTGCCCACGCGGCACAGGCAGCCCTGCAATACAAGGGGGCCGATTGGTCATCCGTTGCAGTCCTGGAGCGCGACAACAATATCCAGTATAAGGACCTCAAGGGGACCGTCAAACCACTCGAGACTATCTTGTCTGAAAATGGCATCAACATAGTCCGGCAGAGAGTGGTACGTTTTTCCAGAGGATGTACATAGACCCAGAGGAAGGCTAACGCATGTTTTAATTGCAGTGGGTAACCAACGGCGATTATGGCCTCGACTACAACGTCGCCCTGGCCAAGCGCGCGAAGGCTGCGGGCATGGACGTCCACATCAACCTGCATTTCAGCGAGTCCTGGGCCGACCCGGGCCAGCAGAAGATCCCCGCAAGTTGGCCCACCGACCTTGCAGGCCTCACCACCCAGATTTACGAGTACACGCTCAACGTGAGCAACACGCTCCAGGCCGCGGGTATCCAACCGGCCATCATTGATATCGGAAACGAGATCGCCGACGGGATTCTGTGGCCAGTCGGACGAGGAAGTCAAAACTGGACCAACACGGCGCAGCTCCTCTCGTCTGCCTCGAAGGGCATCAGGGACAGCGACCTCAGCCCGCAGCCCAAGATCAACGTCCACCTGAACGGCGCCGCCGACCAAGGAGTTCAGGACTTCTTCTGGGAGAACGTCTTGAAGGCCGACCCCAACTTCCCCAAGCAGATCGACATGTTCAGCGCGTCTTTCTACCCATTCTAGTATGTGTCCCCTGCCATCCGGCGTCTGCAGGCAGAGCGCCTTGGCACTAACTTGAGCACGTCGCAGTGGCCCCGAGTGGAACTTCACCAGGCTATCAAACACACTTACGCACATGACGACGCTGCTGCCCGGCAAGGAATTCATGGTATCTGAGATGGCGTGGCCCTTTAAGTGCAACCAAGGTGGAAACTTTGCATTCCCACCTGACATGCGACCTAGCATTCCTTTCAATGCCGAGGGTCAGAAGACGTGGGTCACTGAGGTCGCCAAGAGGGTGGATGCGATCGCCGGTGGGGTCGGTGTCGAGTACTGGGAGATCGGATGGGTGAACAATGCTGGTCTCGGTAAGTCTGACTCTTTCTTAGAACGGCTCTACGCCACTCGCATTTTGGAACGGGAATTGACTAATACATCACAGGGCAAACGGGTTGTGAAGACAATATCATGTTTGAATTTGCCGGCAACGCGAGAGACTCGTTGTCTGTGTTTTCCGAGATTTAGAGAATCGAGAATAGATGACTTAGATTCAGACATCAATCATCAGGTAATGCTGTCAGCAGACAGCAGAAATGCCTCCATGCTATCCTATAATAGGCGCCTTTGTGAAAATATGCTCTTGACCTTTCACATCCAAACACAGTCAAGCCACATATGCGCCTCGCGTATCGTGTTTCGAATCATCTCAGTTGGTCCTATTGTGCTATACTAAATGACATATAGATGAGAGGGAACAACTATTCGGCATAAGGACGGTAACGCCCATCGGATCATGTGGGGTTTCTTCCCGAACTGCAACCTAGGCTCACTGTACAGCTCTATTTTACCCGTCCTGCTTACGTCTAGCGGAGGTGGGGAAGCCTGTTCCATAAGGGGAAGGGGAAAGAAAGAACAACATTAAATACAAATCATTGACATCGAATCACCAACCATGACAATAAACACAGATCAGCTGGAGGAAACTGCTCGCACCACACGAGCGAACCTCAAATATCTACTCGATGGGCCAAAGATCAATCGGCGCTTTGTCTCGGCTGGAGTCGAGGTCAACACAGGCCGCTATGGCCCTTACGAGATGACCATACGCGACGGCAGAGACATCAGGGACCACTTCTCATTCGATCGCCACGGCTTCCAGCTCCTCGACGCGCCAACGACGATGGTGGACTTCCACGACAAGACCGAAGTCGAAGACAAGTACCAGGCCGAAGTACGCGACCACGTGCAGCGCGCCTTCGGGGCGAGCTTTGTTGTCCCGACTGGCTGGATGATCCGCACCTCGGGCGACATCCCCAAGCCGAAGGAGTCAGACGGCCCGTACCGCCATCATGGCGGCGTCCAGCCCCCGGCAGGCGAGGTGCACGTCGACACAGAGCCCAGCCGCCAGCTCGCCTATGCGCAGCGGCTCTACGAGAAGGAGAGGCCCGGCGGCCCTGGGTTCAAGCGCTTCATCATCTCGAGCTTCTGGCGGACGTTCTCCCCGCCCCCACAAGCGTGCCCGCTCGCCGTGTGTGATGCGCAGAGCGTGCGGGATGATGAGGGTGTGCCGAATACCCTCTGGATCGTGGACAAGATCCCCGAGGGAGACGAGATGTTTGCGGACATGGATGACGAGAAACAGTTGGCGGCTGCAATCTTTCGTCACAGTCCTGACCACCGGTGGTGGTATTTCTCGGGCATGGTTCGTGATGAGGCGCTTCTTTTAAAATTCCATGACAGCGATCACAGCGTTGGCTGGCGCACGCCGCACACGGCCTTTTGGGATGAGAGCTATGCGGATGCTCATGTGAGGGAGAGTATTGAGTGTAGAAGCATTGCGTTCTTCGAGTGATTGTTATGGATGGTTGCCAGGAAGAAGTAGACGAAATTACACAAACGATTTCGTGTTTTTTTGCTTAAATTGCGAGCACAACTACATTGTATCCGAATTTCTGTAGGGTATCTCGAAGACGCCACCGAGGAGTAATGATACTGGAATCATCCCTGGATGCCCTCCTGATTACCTTGAAGTAGGGGCCTCACTGCCCGGACTCATGAATTGGATGGAAGCACGCGCTCAGGGCTTATCATGAGATTCATTTTGTGCTCGAATAAGGGGACCAGAGAGCTGAACAATCGCTCCTTGGCAGTGCACAACATTCTAAAGCCTTGCAGGTGCACCTAAGTAGTATAATAAAGCAATTTTACTGCTGGCAGGGTCCCAGGTCTACGTGGAGCCTCACGCTGTGCCTTTTCACTTAACAGTTTGTTGCCCTTGGAAACAGTTTTCTGGTACCTAGGTACTCACTCGGTAGGCAAGGTCACATCAGAAATCTCGATCCTGGGAGCATTTCGCTCAGCTTAGCTTGGGGTTCCTACCCATGCCTCAAAGATGCTATGGTAACACACCTGGGCACTGCAGCTCACCAAGGAGGAGCCTGATTCGGATGGATTTCGGACTTGGCTGCATAGGATGGACGCCGGTCTATCCTATCGGCCTCTCGTTTATTCTATCGGCCTCTCGTTTCGCTGATCTTGCCAAGGTGGGTCGGACGACAAGAGTCTGCATTACCCCTCTCTAGCTCGTGTTACCATGTCTTCAATAGTCGATTCTCATTCGTTATACATACCAGACAAATGAATCACTCTGTGCCACATTGCGACTGCGTTTGTAGACTGGCTGTGCTCACATTGACCTTGGCCACATGCCATTACCCCTGCTGACGGCGGGGCTTCCTCAGCTTCCTATTTTTCAAGAGCCTCAAGGACAATCTACCACTCAACATCGTACTTGATATATATCGGGTCTCGGTTGCCTGGAGGCTGTGAAATTTGCTGCCAGGACATCGCGTGGGCTGTTCTCCTCGCAAATTTGGTGCGTTCCTTTAACTGTGGACCATGACTGAGACCAGCGAGTCGACCACCGATACTCGCCTGATCGGCTGGTACGTAACGGATGATGCCAGTAAGTTGTCTAAAATCACCAGACGCCAAAACTTATTCACTTCCCCAGTTATTAATACCATTTAGCTACGAAGATAAATGCTGGTCGTGGATGGAGCACCTCTGGAACGGTCGCCGGTGACTGTGTCCCGCCCAGTACCTGTGTTCTTCCCACGGCTTGTACATCGAACACACTGTTCTTCGATAACGGGAGCTCAGCAACATGGTAAGTTCGCTTATTTCGTGAGCTTCGTGCATGTGACGGGTAAACTGCGGATACCTATAGATAGTAATGCTCTCTTCACGCTTTCAGCAGTAACTCTAATGAAGCGTGCGGCACCATGACGATTTTTGAGGACATATCGTTTCATGGTCCTTCTGCAACAAACTGGGATTGTAGGAATCGGCAATGGCGGTCATATTCTAATCTGTTCAAGACGCCACCGGAAGCTCGCGCGGGTGAGACAGTCTGTAAGTTCTCTTATCAAGCTCCCGCCAGACATGCTGATGTAGTCAGTCACACTGGTAGTATCTAACGTCTAGTGGCTGCAATAATTACAGATAGCACGGTCAGTCTCACGCCGACAGAAGGCCCCCCGGAAATTTTATCACCTACCTCTGTTCCCAGCCCCTCAAACAGCCTTCCAGCCACCGACAACGGCGAGAAAAGTCAGGCCTGGATCGCTGGCGCTGTGATCGGACCTCTTGTCGGCGTCGGGTTGTGTGCGTCAGTATACTTCTTATGGAGGCGGCGTCGTAAACACCACGATCACAGCCGATCTACGAGTCCAAAGCGTGAGGCACCAGCTGAGGTTGCTGATTCGCGTCAAGAAGTACCCCGTTCCGAGTTGATAGGACATCATTTGGAGCCAGCAATGTTACATTCCGACAATGTGGCGGTGAGATCATCTGAACTTCCAGCCTGAATTTGGTGTGACAAGAGACACAGTAATCGTCAGAAGTGACGTGGACATAGACTTTGAAATATAGGGTTGGCCCGCACTTGCATTCTTTGAAAAATAGAAATAGCGGCAGAAGAAGTCAATTTCCTTGATCCGAAGGACTGAACTCATCATGGTTCTCGGCTGTTGAAAGAAAGGAGCTTGGCGGCCGGGAGTCGAGGGTTCTCCGGAACCTGCAAAAGAAACCCTTTTCCCTCAGGAACTTCCCACGGTCGGTCATCGTATTATGATAATGCTAAAATTGCATGCAACACTTAGATTTATCTGAATTGATCAAAAATGTCAGGCCAGAGCCTTAACCAAAGCACCAAAAGCATCCGAAAAGCCACTATCAACGTAGTCTCCAAATTATGAGATGTCATCTGGGCTCGTACTTGGACAAGCTCCTCCGTGTTGGCCCGCTGCCAAGCAGCTTCGTCCTCGAGAAGGCTGCTACGGTGTTGACTTGCCCAACCTTGTAGGACTTTGGCCACAGCAAAGTGGCAGGAGAGTAGGGTTGCGGCATCTATCGCACCATCCAGTCCAGTACTCCCAGGCCGACCGCTCCTCGCTCCAATCTGCAGGAGAAACGAAACCATGTCGAGCCTACCCTCGCAGGCGGCCCAGTCCAGCGGGCGAGTCCGGTGGATTCCCACTGGGTTCCATGTCAACGGGTCGCATCCCATTGCCGATCCCAGAGAATTCACCCTGGCGCCTTGCTCGAGGAGATACTGCGCCATGTTTAACAAACCCGATCCCGCAGCATATTCGAGTGATGTGAGGCCAAAGCCACGAATTGAAGGTGGCTCGTTGACATCAGCGCCTGCTTCTACTAGGAGCCGGATGAACGGCAGAGGGGCCTTTGTAGCACAAGCCTTTTGCAACGCGGTATAATTGTAGCCGAAACGATCCTCGCCTGGTTTCGCGGAAACGTCTGCGCCCCTTTGGATGAGCTCGGCCGCGAAACTCAAACGTCCTCGCGCAATTGCTTGTTGTAGAGGCGTAGTGTGCCTCTTGATACCGCCGCCTCGATCATTGACATCGATACCCGCTTCAATAATCTCAAGGATTAGATCATCTCCGGCATCGGCTTCTAGAAGTAGGTTGATAAGACTGCGCCGTCTTGGACTGGCACGATGTCCTTGGGAAAAGGCAACTGGAGCGCCAATTTTGAACAGCCGTTTGAATACTTCCAGGTACTCTTGCGGTCTCAATGACCTGCCTGAATCGTCGGCTAAAGATGCCTCCAAGATTGTCATGCCGACTCCGTCAACCATATGATCAGCGCTTGCCTGAAGTAGAAGGTCCACCATGGCCGAGCGATCCATAGACTGGGAGAGAAGGGCGCTGTGAAGCATGGTTTGCTCACTTCTCCCACAAGAGCGGGATTGTATTTGGAAACCACGTTGCAGCAGGTTTTTTGCGGTTTGCAGGCTGCACCCATTTCGAATGCTAAGATGAAGCAAATCCAAGCCGTGAATCTGGAAATCCATATTGTCCTCCACGAGACCGGGAATCAGGAGAGCATGAGAACCGTCGATCCTGAAATAGCACAGCCCTTCCCAGAAATTTGAAGGACTCAGGCGTAGATTTTCAGTACTGTAACCCTTTCCGCTGTAAGCGAAAGTGGCGTTTAGTAAATGTGCATCGATGTCGATGCCAAGACTCTTTGCAGCTGAGCGGATGATCTCGATAGCTTCTAAGCGTTCTGCGTCTTCCTTGCGGTGTTTTGCAGAAGTATTGTTCTCATCATCGTGCTGGTTCGAATGCAACGGTTCTGGGGCGAACTTCCCTCGATGTGCCCTGATAGGTGTGCGCAATGGTGTGTCAGAGGTAGCCAACGTAAAGAAAGAACGGATATCGAGTCTGGGACTGGATAGAAGAAGCCTGAGCATCTCCGGCTTTCCAGCCATGGCCGCTCGAGCCACGGGGCTCCACAACAAGGTTTTGTGCCCACGGCTCTCTTCTTGCGACAGGGAGGGAACATTGGGGTTCACCCCAACGTCTAGCAGGCTCGAAGCCGACCTGATCTCCCCTAGATACGCCGCTTCTGATAGGCATCTTTCGAGTATATCGACATCCCCATCATTATCTTGACTCTGATGAGACTTTATGTATGCTTTGAGAACGTCCGGACCGTCTTGAGCGAATGTCAGGACCCCAGCCAGACTTATCCGATCATTCTGCTTGAGAACGACAGCAAGACTATCAAACAGCCTATACAGACGTCTTCGGCCTTCAGGAAAAAAGTCATAGATAACTCGATCAATCGTGAGTCCCTGTATCTCCCATAGGCATAGATGAAGGCCGGTGTCGCCGCCGGGCCATGGGGGCTGGTCGATAAAGAAACCACCCTGGATCAGCAAGTCGAGATAATCCACTACAGTTTGATCTTCTCGTGTTTGCATACTGATTATATTCCGTAAGATTGGGCCAAGTGCGTCTTTGCGATCATCCAGCCGCGCCCTAATGCCGATGCATAGCCGCATCATGGGAACGTCGGCCTGTACTGCTGCTTTGGAGATATTCCAAGATGCGTGCAGTTCTGCGGACCGGGGGAGAGTTGAGTATCGATCAAAAATAAGATCCGGACAGGTCTGCTCAGCAATCTCAAGTATGGAAAGGCTGGCAGCCGATCCAATGCGTACGGCTATTCTGAAAAAGTAATAGCATAGCGTCGGGGTTGTCAGGCTATGGTCCACAGTATGGCGCAATTTGTACAACGATGTGAACAGGGACACGTCTTTGAACTCCCCAGATGCAGTCAGAAGGTGCTCATAAACGGCACACACCGTCTGGGTCCTCATGGAGAAAAAGTCCCGCAGCAACCGGGGATCCGCAGAGGTTCCACACCAATTGAGGAACCAGCGGGCAGCTTGGGATTCCCAGTATTCGCAGCCGTGAATCCTATTTGACAGTATAAATGAGGACCTTGCTATTGCCTCACAAGATGGGTTGTTGCCGAATAGTCGTGGGCGAGGGACGGTGAAGTAATCTCTGAACATGTTGCTAGGGAGGTGATTGCTGGCTAGGTTGTGAGTCAGCAAGATGATTGTATGCTGGGTATTCCATCCGAAGATTTGGAATCTCACCTAGTTCGATCAATTCGGGCAAGAATTGATTGAAGAGGGCTTTTCCACGGAACGCCAGGAGCCTTGAAGCACTGATGTGATCAAACATGCCTGACTGATACGTGGGTTGGTTCTCAGCTCCAGCCGTCACTGCACCAGATGGTAACAGAGCATCGATGGACTCATCATTCCTCGGCGAAAGTGCAGGCGTTCTCAGAATCAATCCATGTGGGAGTCGTGCTGATTCAATGTCAGCGCTCTAAGCTCATCACCACTGGCACAATGGAACGGCGACCAGGGTACCTACATTGGAAATGAAAAGAATGTGTTATCTTGAACGCATGACGGCGATTCCTGAGGACCTCTTTGCGAACCTTCTTTGGATCCATGGGACGATCATTCCACACGACTTCGGTTTCTTTCCCTTCCTTTTTGCGGGCAGCGATTTGCACCCCTATGAAATACCAGTCATCTCTTTTCAGGTTCTTCTTGAGCATCAACTGCTCACGAAGGGCGATCTCGTAGTCACATAGCCTGTAGAATAAAATTTGGTGATATCAGAATCAATGCTATTAGAGGGATGATATTGCTCCATACCTCATCTCTGGGAAGCCATAGTTCGATTCCATAAACCGTTTGACCTTTGCCAAGGTCATATTGTTGGTTATGTAAAGTCGACGAAAAATGTCTCCATACCGAACCCAGAGTTGGTCTGCCTCCATAGCGCGGGTTTGACGCAGACCCAAAACCCCTGTTGCAGCGATAGCACTGGCAGTGGGGATGGCAACGCTGTATCTTGTATAAACCTTTTCTTACCTGTCAGACAATGGGTGATGTGCTTATTTGTCTGCTTGGGCTCAGACGGACGCGGACGAAGGTGACCCTCCCATGGGCGAGGAACGAGCTTTATGAACATAATGACGGCGGTGTTATTGCTGAATATTTGATTTCGACGGGCGATAACTTTTCGCAGGAGTATTTCCAGGTATTCGCCGATGCACCCGACCACAATCTGACGAATTGAAAGGGCCACATCGAATACTCAATGGCGTTGTACAGCATATACGAAGGAGGCAACCGTCTAAATCCCACGTCAGACGAAGCAAGGGGATGCAAGTTGAGGTCCCAATGTGCTGACGCATCATATGTCTCAGGAGACGCCGTCACATATGAGCCCGAGATTGGGGGCCGATTGCAAAACGATGGCATAGGTGTTGTTTCTGAGGGAGAAAGCTGGGGAAAACGTGCTAGGAGGTTTCTCATTACTGTAAATATGTCTTGGGCTATTTCAGGTGATACAGTAGTGAGAGGCACATACACATGTTATCCAGGGGAACTTGACACTGAGTGAGAGGGGCCGAGGGCGGACAACCTATGGGTGGGACAGTAGCATGAAATATTTACCATCAATACTGCGCTTTACAGGAGTCTCGCGTACTACAAGAGACAAATAGGCGTATTCACCAACATGGAATGTATTCATGGCTCCTATTAGGCCCTCGTAGGATGTGTTCCTGGCCCCTAAACGCGAGCTACCTCTATTGTGTGGGGCGATTTGCGCCAAACGACACGTACCGGGCTATGTTTGAAACCACTTACGCTCCAGTATCTCCTCGGCTGAGGGACGATTGGCCGGGTTATACTCGAGAATGCTTCACAATAAAGCCACAATCTGCTACTATTAACTATTAGTTAAATTATTTAGCTTTTTATTAAAATATATACCCTTTAAAGGTATATAATTAAAAAGGAATAAAATAAAGATAATAATAGTTATAATATAAAAGTAATTAAATAAAATTTAAATTATAAAATAATCTTTTTTTAAAATTTATTAAATTAAACTTATTATAAAAATATATTTTTAAATATTTATATATTAAGTTATATCTATTTTTAATATATAGTTAGAAAGTTTATAATTATAATAACTATAATTTTATAATTAATATTTATATAATTATTTTATTATATTATAATTTAATTTAATTTATAACTTTATTTAAACTTTTTAAACTTCATTAAATTTTTACTATTTAAAAGAGTTAATAGTTTAAGTTTTTAAGTTTAAACTTAAGATTCTTATATATTTTAATTTATATTCAATTAAATTTATAATATTTTAACTTTTTAAAAATATATTAATGATTTTAAATATTAATAACTTCTTTTAAAATAATGATCTACTTTTATATA